TTAATCTGCTGAAAGACAGATACTTCCTCTACGCCATCTTAAAACTCTGACCAAACAATTTCCATTAGTGTGCTAGCACAGGACATTCAAACCTGTTATTCTGGAGGTGACATGTATGACTAATATAAATTTTATCTGCTTCTATAAAAAATGATTGGAGCCAGGTCACAGTTAATTCCTCCCCCGAAACTCCAGATGCAGCAAAAGCATCTGGACTAACTAAACAAAGAGCAAACCCTTAAGTTGAATCAACTGCCAAGAAACACTCAGGAATAAATTAAACTCATTTTTAATGCTGCAAAAAGTTTTTAAAAACAGCTTCATCAGAAAAGAGTTGATCCAAATTGCAGTATTTGAGAGATGCAATTTAGATGCTAATTTTAAGCTCAGATTACCCTAGTATCCCATCGCCATTATTTTTCCATATATGGCTTGAAGCTTTGAGTTCAGCTAATCACCATCATTCTTAAAGAGAATTTTCATTAGTTATCCCTTACTTTTCATCCTGCCCCAGATCTAGCCATAAACTAAAAAGGTTCTTTTTTTTTCCTGGATGATTAAAGCTTGGAAGGAAAAAATAGTGATCTCCAAAAATCCAGAGAGAATCTTTGTATGGGCTGATGAAATTCAGGGTGGGATCTGGAGTGCAGTCAGCCATGATAGGCATTGGATTGCCAACTGCCACAAAACTTTATTTTTACCACATTATATAAAACTCCCTTTTTCTGAGCCATGCAATCCTAAATTGATTGACTGGCCAGGTTCTAAGAAATTTAATCTTGTTACTTGGGAACTGTACTTAGAACAACTGCATCACAAGTATTGTGCATCTTAGAACAACTGCATCCTCTTCAAGGATTCCTACCAGGGTGGATAAAAATCAATTATTTTTAAAAAAAAAATAAAAAAAATCAGATTTTTTTGATTTAAATCGGATTTTTTTGATTTAAATCGGATTTTTTTTATTTTTATCCAATTTATTTTAATAAAAAACTTGGGGTAAAAATCTATTGTAAGATAGTTTTCTATTTAAGATACATAAATAATTTAGTTTATTCAGCATGAAATGGAGCTTAGTTATGTAGCATGAGGCTGTATATTCTGCAACACTGGGACTATCGGTGAGTCAACAGTGGGTCAAAGAAGTAGCAGAGATGACAGTTGCTCTTTAAAAATTATGATTTAAATTGAGTTGATTTAAATCAAGCCTTTTTATTAGTGATTTAAATCATGATTTAAATTGTGATTTAAATCAACTCGATTTAAATCAAATCCACCCTGATTCCTACTCTAAACACTGGAATGTTTCAGTTCTTAGAATATGGTCAATCTTCAAGTACAAATATGAGGTTTTCTTGGAAGGCAGGAAGAAGAAACCCATTTTTTACAGGACTCTGATAGAGAAACAACCATTTTGTGAAAATTAGCTGTTTTGTATCCAGAATGGCATCCCAGCTTTTTTGATCAGCAAGTTAATAGCTGAACTTAAACTCTTAATGGATTCTTCTATTGACTGCTAATAAAATGGATCTATTTGCAATAGGATCACTCATTGCAAAAAAAAGAGCGTGGATGCATCTTAAAGACAAGCATGGAAAGTGACACCAAAATCAATATAGCAATTGACAAAAGATGTGAACTTTTATTCAGGGTTTCTTACACTGTACTGTATAAAACTCACCAAATACTCTAGGGGCAGTGTTGAACTATGTAAGTACTATTTAGAAATGTACAATTTCTAAAAGTGCCTCTTCTATACTTCTAAAAAGAGAATGCTGAAATAATGCATGTCATACAATGTTAACTGTAATAGTTGGGATAAGCAACTTCTAAAAGATCAGAAGATAATGTATGGAGAAAGATAATTTCTTAAGATAAACATATGAAGGGTAGATCCTCAAATTGCCAAAGTGATCAGGCAACTCCCAAGGGTTTTATCTATTGCTTTATGAGGTCCAAGATTGGGAATGTCTGAATTGAATTCAGATAAGTAGCTTTGGATTTAATTAAAAATTTCTTCTATAGTTTGCTTACTCCAAATCATCTATGCTGTTAATGCATCAATTTTTATGTGATCTACGTGGTTTGAATCTCTTTTGTAATTAAGAGTTGCAAAAAGGTGCTTATCATGACAAGTATGTTTGCGCAGATGTATTTTCTTACTCCATTTTCTGAAATATGATCAATGGAGTCATTTATTTCATAAATAGAGGGGGGAGATTTTCTACCTCATCTCATATGGGGAAAGTCTGTCTATCTGCATGAAGATAAGGAACTTGGGCAAAAAAACCACACCCAGCTTTTCCCAGCTGGTGGGACTTTTAGTCATTGAATCAGGATAAAGCTGGAAGGGACCTTGGAGGTCTTCTAGTCCAGCCCCCTGCTCAAGCAGGAGATCCTATATCATTTCTGACAAGTGACTGTCCAGTCTCTTCTTAAAAAACCTCAATTTTTTTACATACCTAGAGGTGTGTATATGAACAAAGTTGTTCTGATTCAATGTGAGTCACTTTTGAACATTTAAGAGCAAATACTTGCAGTTTTCTTCTGCTTTCAGGGATTGATTGGTTTAGTAAATTTATAGGCCACCTATCTCATACACAAGACTGGATAGCTCACAATAAAACAGAATGAAAAAGAACAAAAGGAACCAGAGTAAAAAACAACAAAAATAACATAAAAATAGCAGTCAAGGAGATTCACAAATACTTTTAACAAGCCGTGAATCAGACTCATCCATGTAATCAAGGCCCCAGGCTCAGTGCAAAATCAGTTTTTTAGATCCTTCTGTAAGGCCAACAGGATTGGGGCAAGTCCAGTGGTGGGATTCAACCAGGATAACAACTGGTTCTCTGAGGGTGTGCTTCACTTGCATGTGTGCCAAACACGCTTCACATGCACGCAGTGCGTTTGAAAACAGCTCTAAAATTTACCTTCTACTGCAGCCCCGGTGAATAAAACAGCTAAGGCGTGGCAATCCGCTCTGCCGTGCCTTAAGACAAAGGAAATATAGGTCGGTATAGCGCAGGGGAGGGAGGGAGGGCCCAGCTGATCATCGAAGCTACCAGTTCGACCGAACCAGTCTGACAGGCTGAATCTCCTGCCAGATCTTACAGGATGGATAGACACCACTGGGGAGAGATAGTCCTGTAAAAAGGTTCTTATAATGGTGGGCAAACAGATACCCATAGGTCATTTGCAGTCCCCTTTTTATGGTCTTCAGTCCTTCCCCAAAAATCTGTAAAAACCAACTTGACATCTTCCTGTCATGGGAACTGCACACATTTGGAAGAGAGAATGAGGGGCAAATAAATGTAAGAAGGGTCTTGAGATTCTCCTTTTTCATAGGGAGATCCCACTTTATCAGGTTACCCTAATAAACTGCTTTTAAATGATCTTCTGACTCGGTTGCTTATTGGAAAGGTAAACCAAGGCAAAACCTAGGGCCAGATTTGGCTATCAAAAGCACGTGAAAACTGTAATGGAAGCCCTAAAAAAAACTTTATCATAATTTTAAATTCAAAGAATTTCATTCTCATCAAATGCCCCAGGACAGGAGGGAAATTAGAAAACCGAGCCACCCTCAACATGTATAAGAAAGCACCTTCCACTTTCTATAAACTTCTCATTTCTGGATACTTCCACTTCCCAAAAAGAGTACCTCCATTTACCAAACGTTTGCCTGAGAGACAGGAAGCTGTATCATTGTACCCATGAAGCTGTGCTATTTTAACACAATACTCTTAGACTGGCCAGGCAAAGTGTGATAGCCAAAGCAGCATTCATCTTGATTAGGGGTTAGTCTTAGCTTGGTTAATTTATTATTCAGGGTTTTTATACAAACTAATCCAAGGAAAATAAATGAAATTATATTCCATAAACGCAGGATTTGGGTGTCCTACCCAGTGCTTTGGTTTATGAGGAAGCTCTTGGAATTCAGAGAGGTTGTTTTTTTTTTTAAAAAAATTGTGTTTTACTTGAAAATATTGTATGTAGATTAGATGGTATATTTGCCATTAACTGGCTCATATTTAAATCAAAAGGATCTATTATTTATGGAAGGAGCACATTCTCTCCCTACATCTTTTAAAAGTCCAGGGTTTCCAAAGAACTCTGGAGAAGAGAACAAAGTAAAGAGGGAAGATGTTGTTATCTACAGTATATAATCTAAAGATGAATGTTAGCTCTTCAGGGTAGTCCAGAGAAGAAGCACCATCACGAGAACTAACTGGTCTTTATTATAAGATCACAGTAACAGAATCTTGCAAAACTGGTGATCACTTTTAAAGCCCTTCATGGCATGAGTCCAGGTTTCTTGAAGGACCGTCCCATCCTTTTCGTGGGATGGGCCTGTCCCACTCGTGCCAACAGAGGAGGCATGATGCAGGTCCCATTAGCCCAGGAGGAAGGTCCTCTCTACTGTGATTTTTGCCCTCTGGAACATCTTGCCCTCTGATGTGAAACTGGCCCCAACCCTCCTATCCTTTCGTAAAGACCTAAATACCTGCTCTGCAAGTTGGAGAACAGCACAGAGGAGTTGGTTGGTTGAGTAACAACAAATCCCTCCTCCCCCATTCCACTTCCACCCTCTCCATGTGTCCCTGATTTTAATTTTTGGTTTTAATTTATTCATGTTTTAATATAGGTGTAACTTTTATGTCTGTAAGCCATCCAGAGTTACCTTATGGTAAGATGGGGGAACCAATAAATTTTATAAATAAAAAATAAAATAAAACTCTTAAGTATTTTCCCCTCTTTTCTTTTTACCCTTCAAAAAAATAGAGAGGGATCCTTATGTAACACGTCCCACATCCTTCTCCTTTGGTGGGCTGAGATATCAGTCTGTAGCTCTCCCTTCTGTCTTCCAAGGTCATTCTCACATACTATTAAATTAGATTCTTCATTATTACATCTGAAATATATTTCCAAAACAATTGTTGAAGATGAGACTTTTATTTGATATTTTTGGATGCACTATGAAATGTGTTCCCTCTAAACAGGTGACACTATGTCTGTGATATATAGCGAGGTGGCTGCCGATGAGCCAACTACCAACAGCTTCTGGATGGTGAGTATCTGACAACAGGGACAGGGTGGCAGGAGGGGAGGAGGTTCAATTTATGTTTATGCAACTTGTTTGACTCATTTACTGAGCTAGCCCATTTTAGATCACCAGAATACCTTGAATCTTAAACTAACCAAATGTGTGAGTTTGCACCACATGCCAAACTACAGAACAAAAATACAAAACAACATCTGGTGGAGCATATTGTGTGAACCTGGCCTCTGAGAACGATGGAAGGCATCTCAAGTGACCTACCTTCCTTCCTTCCTTCCCTCCGCACTCCTTTCTTCCTTCCCTCCCTTCTTTTTTACTCCCTTCCAACCCCTCCCTCCCTCCCTCCCTCCCTCCCTCTTTCTTTCTTTCTTTCTTTCTTTCTTTCTTTCTTTCTTTCTTTCTTTCTTTCTTTCTTTCTTTCTTTCTTTCTTTCTCTTTTATAGGGCCACCCAACTTGGCCCTTATTATTCTGGATGGCTAACATGTTGATAAAACAATTTTAAAAATCTATTACCAAAGAATAAAAAACCAGCATTGGTCACCAAACAAAACAATTAATAGAGACCTCTCAAGAAGCCATCTAACCTTCAACCTTCACTTCCAACCAGGGTGTTAATGCTTTATGAAAGGCCAGCAAGATCAGGTCTAATCTGATCTCAGGAGGATATAGTGTTCCAGAGAAAAAACACTATGAGGAAGGGAAAAATCATCTTTAATTGAAGGGGTCCAGAGTGTGCCCCCTTATTGGACCTAATAGGGCGGGGGGAAACAATCAGGAAGAGGCAAATAACCCAACCTCATATTATGGGTTACAGCACTTCATATTTTTTAAAAAAAACATTTGTTTGCTTATTTGCATCCTGCCTTTATTATTTTTACAAATAACTCAAGGTGGCAAACACACTTCCTCCTCCTATTTTCCCCACAATAACAACTCTGTGAGGTGAGCTGGGCTGAGAGAGTGACTGGCCTAGTCACCCTGTTGGCTTTCAGGCCTAAGTGGGGGACTTGAACTCACGGTCTCCTGCTTTCTAGCCTTGTGCCATAATCACCAGATCAAAGTGGCTCTGAATTTCATCCAGAAGCACAATGACAGCTTGTGCAGGTCTCAGAGGAGAGGTGTAACATGGGCATCCCAAAGACCACCTGTAAGCTGCCCATTCTGCTGAATTCTGCAACTTCTGAACTGGCTCCAAGGGCAGCCCCGTATGAATTCCTTGGGATAAAAAGCAGTGAATCAAGACTACATGACATTGACGAAAGGGTAGCAAAAAGATAAATTGGGAGAGCTGAGGTGCTGAAAGTTTCTGATTTTCCTAAAAGTAATGAAGGCATATCCAAGTTGTAAGCTAGAGTAGAAAGTTGAAAAAAAAATAGAAAAAAGCAATAACAGTCCCAAATTGCTGTGAAGAAAATCACATTAGGACATCAACAGTCTGCTTATTCAAAAATTCCCTTTCTCTTAATGCGGATTTTTCATTATCACATAACTTGATCTTAAACAGGAAAAAGAACTTGACTATAGCACTGCAAACTTCAGTATCAGAATTTTCTGTTATGTCTGGCTGCATTCCTCCCCTAGAGTTTTTTAAAATAAATGATAACTTAAAAGCAGTGTTCCTTGAACTTCAGACTAGCTACTCATACTTTAGCCTACTGTGTTGAGTGAACCCAACTCATAATTTATGGTTCTCTGTGTTGTGCAAATTCAGAGAACTGGGTTAATTGAGCACTCTGTAATTTGGTAAATTATGGATTAGCATGTTGTGCAAAGACTTCCAGTTTTGAAAACACATTTATCCCATTACTCTATATTCTTTTAAAATAATTAAAAGTCATAATACCTAATTTATGCTTGTTTTTCTGGAACACTTAATGATAGTGCTTGGGATTCTCTGTTTTTCAAAAACCTCAAATGGGGTTGGTTTGATTCTGGTTGGAATTCACAGGAGGACCCCAGAGGAGGTAGAACTCTGTGGGATTTGGAAGAAAAGGCATTAAATGATAGGCATTGTTTTGAAGGGGCATTCCTGCACCACAAAACTGAGACCGCTCCCCAACCCTTCTTCCTATCCCTTCTCCTGCAGCCCAATCACTACCAGAGCACAGTCAAACGTCTGGATGATGGGTACCGTGTCTGTGACCAGATTGTAGCTTGTTTCCAGGAACGGGCAAAGATTGAACGTAACTATGCTTTGATGATGGATGAATGGACTCGCAAATGGCAGCCCCTTGTTGATGCAAGTGAGTGGTTTCATCCTTTTTCTGTGGGTGTTCCAAATTCTGGTTTGCTTTATATGCAGGTTTCATTTGAAAGAAATGGGGATCAGGAGGAAAAACTGATAGAAATGTATGTTCTAACTGTAAATTAGTATGCTTGTTATTTCCTTCAGGATTAAGGCCAACACTTTGCCACACCTAGAATGTTACTTGCAACATTACTAGAGTGTGTTGTAAATCCAACCTTTCTTGTGTCTTTGATGCTTGTCCATGTCTCCAAGTTCTGAGTTATGCAGTTTTACCTGATTTATTTCTGTAGGCAAAGCATCAACCCACCACAAAAACAGAAAGCAGTATAGGGAGTTAGGGGAATTAATTATTATCCCACCAGCCTTTTTGGGTCTTTCCCCACTTATACCTAACTATTGCCCCAAAGCATCCTTGCAACATCTTTTTCCTACCATGTGTCCCAGTGGTGGGTTGCTCCCGGTTCTGTCCGGTTCTTTAGAACCAGTAGTAAAAGTGGTGGGAGGCGCTGCCCACCCGCCCAGATGTCATAATTGACGATCTGCGCATGTGCTCCCGTTGTGAACTGGTTGTAAAAGTAAGTAGAACCCACCCCTGATGTGTCCATGATGCTGCCTTCAATTTGTCCCCAGTCCATGTGTGAAACCTATGTTAAAAGGTATTTCCCTTTTAGTCCAAAAACATTCAAGGACAACCTCAGATTTTGTCACCAATTACACATAATAGCGATTGCAATGATTAGGAATTGTGGAAGCGAGGGACAGCAAATATTGTACAGTTTTCTAGAGATCACATGGATGTAAAGTATTTCAGCTCAGCAGCGGGAAAAGTCTCTTTTTTTCTATTTCAAGATCCACAAAAGTTTGTTTTTGCCATAAATTTTTAGTTCATTCTTTTTATTCCTAGAATATAGTATGGAACCATTTCAAAAAATGTTCCAGGAAAATTCTCCTTTCAACTTTCCCAGCCATGCTGTATTTATTTAGAATGTTGATATAGCTAGTCATAATACTATAATGCATTTCCTGAAACTAGCCCTAGTTGTAACTTCAAAAGATAGGTGGATAATTCCCATGATATGGGACTGGGTGATTTTTTTCCCCTTTGAAGTAATGATTTCATCTTGATAAAGTGTATGGGAGGATAAATAGTTCTTACGGGATGGTAATACTTTACTCTGATGCCTACAGAAGAAACTGGTTTTCCATGGATAGTTGCTGTTGACAACCGATGCAATTGAAAAGCCGAATAAATCGTGCCTTTTAAAAGTTATCTGAGAAAGTCTAGCTGTTCTATATTCCAGAGACTTGCCCTTCGGCATTTTAACATCTATTATACGAGAATGCTGTTAGGTTTTCTTTTGTTTTTAATGTACCTGAAACTGCAGTCTTGAGCAATTAGTAAAATGCTGGGACTCATCTGCAAATAATTCAGGATACATATATTTTTTGGAATTATCTCCTAGAGGCCAGGTGATGTCATTCCAAAGGATGCTATCATCATATTATTATAGACTGTAAACCATAGTTGGATAGTCTGTGGTCAGGAAGTGTCCTGTCAAAAATCAATAATAAATGTTGCACTATAGAAAATCTTGAGGTCCATTTCTGTAGCCCATGAGCATAGCTGAAATACCTGATATAAAATTCATGGCTGCCTGTTGGCCAATGGTATTTGCAAGGTGTGATTTAAAAAAAATCAAGCTGTTGGCTGTGATAAGGCAATCAAAGCACCGTGATGAACATAAAAAAACAGATGGAGTTTCAATTACACAGTCACAGCTGCCATCTTGACTTTTTAAATCATATTCTATAGATACTCCTACAACTGCCATATCATTTATCTGGCTGATTCCACTTAAATAGTAATAGCAGTTAGACTTATATATCACTTCACAGTGCTTTATAGCCTTCTCTAAGCAATTTACAGAATTAGCATATTGCCCCCAACAATCTGGGTCTTCATTTTACCAACCTTGGAAGGATGGAAGGTTGAGTCAACTTTGAGCTGGTCAGAATCAAATTCCTGGCAATTGGCAGAATTAGCCTGCAGTACTTGCATTCTAACCACTGCACCACCATGGTTTTGTGGTAAAGCAGCACTTCTCATGTTGCCCCCTTCAAGATGTGTGGATAGCACAGGTGGCTGTGGAATTCTGGGAGTTGAAGTCCAAATGTGGCCAAGGTTGAAAAAGACTCCTTTAGAGTAGGCCAATTTCTGTCTACCAGTCTGAATATGGATCTCTGCCCACCTTCACTTCCCATGCACTGACATCTGTGTTAGTGAAGAAAATCCCCCACATGATTACAGCAGAGTAAAAGTTTCCAGTGAAGTCAATTTTTTAATGACTTCTCTACCTAGATCACTTTTCCAGTTCTCCAGTTCCTCAATAAAGCATCAAGGTTGCATTCTTAAAATCCCAAGAAATCACTTGTTCTCAATTTTGCTGCAGTGAAGAAATTTATGAATTCCTGTCATTCCTTATCTTTCTTCCTTCACTTCTAGGTCCAGCATATGGTTCCCTACTCCGGGCATGGCAAGCTTTCCTGGGGGCTTCTGAGCGGTTAAGCAGACTACACATGGAGATGCAAAGGGCTTTGGTCTCTGAGGATGCTGGGCGTATCCGATCCTGGCAGCACGACTCCTATCACCGCAAGCTCTTTGGTGGCTTCAAGGAGGCTTGTGAGCTAGAAAATGGTTTCCAGCGAGCTCAGAAACCCTGGACTAAAAAGCTCAAGAAGGTAGGGAGAACCTTTGGGAATTCTCTAGGTGTAGAGATAGGTAAAGACATGGAGGAAGAGAATCCAAGGATTTAGGTTTGTTTAGGAAGCAGAAGAAGTCTGGTGAATCAGGTTTATTTTTATTGTGAGCTTGTATTTCCCTTTCCCTTTATCCCTGATCTGTATCCTTTTCCAACCAGGTCCAACATGAAGCAATAGAATGAGGTTGGATGGAGTCCTCAGTTTATGAATAGTAGGAGGCTAGCATTGGCTGCCTATGTAGACTTATAGATTAAGGGTATATGGAAACTAAGGGTATATGGAAAATTAAGAAGCAGGATTTCTGGGACTACTGGGTCCCAACTGTCCTGACTTTTCATCCCTTTCTTCCTCATCCTCTTCAACTTCTACATTCAGACAGAGAAGGCCAAAACTCTTTATCACAAGGCCTGTCGCAAAGAGCATATCGCAACACTGCGGGAGAGTGGAATTCAGGCAGCATCGGGGACTGAAATATCTCCAGATCGGCAACGTGCTTTGCGGGAAGAACATCAGCGTTGTAGCCAAGAAACCAACAAGGTAGGGGAGTTTTCCTACCTCTCCATCTTCTCCATTGCTTCTGGCTGGTGGGGCAGTTTGTCAGATAGGCCAACTACAATGGCTAAAATTGTGGCTGGTATCTCCATCTATTATATGCTACTGTTGGCTTCACCATCAGCTGGCCATGACAGGTAGTCCTCAATTGACGACCACAATTGAGTCCAAAGTTTTTGTTGCTAAGTGAGGCATTTGTTAAGTGAATTTTGCCCCATGTTATGAACTTTCTTGCCACAATTGTTAAGTGAATTGCTAGAGGTGTTAACATGGTTGTTAAGTGAATTTTAACAGAAGGTCGCAAAAGGGGATCACGTGAACCCGGGAAACTGTAACTGTCATAAATGTGAGTCAGTTGCCAAGCATCTGAATTTTTTTTAAAAATTGTTTAAAATTTTTATTAAACGAACATTAAAAACATTGGATATAATGTGACCATCCCAGTCTTATCATGTCTATACATATTTTTAACATAACAACAAATATAATTATTATTTAACATGCATTACTATTTTGTTCTTATATACATACCCCTTGTTTAAACAAATTTACATATTTGTCTAAATATTATCCAGTACCCATTTTACAAGCGTCTGAATTTCGATGACATGACCATGGGGAGGCTTCAATGGTCATAAGGGTAAAAAATGGTCATAAATCACTTTTTTCATTGCCGTTGTTACTTCAAACGGTCACTAAATGAACTGTTGTAAGTCAAGGACTACCTATATTTTGTTTAAAATATAAAGCAGAAACAGAACTACAGTTCCCAGCATTCTTCATTTTAGCCAGAGTGGCACAAGTTGTTCTGAGTTATATTTTAGCAACATCTAGAGAATTAACAGTTCCCTGATACTTTTATCAAATATATCAATTGACTGGCGGGGTAAGAGAACATTTTCCTCTCTTATGCCTTCAGTATAGGGGGGTCTTTGACTTAGGACATAATTGGGACCAGAATTTCCATTCCTAAGCAAAGTAGTTAAGTTAGTGATACCCAATGTTGTGTCCTTTTTTACCATGGTCATTAAGCAAATCACTGCATCTGTTAACCAGGTGGTTATTAAACGAATCCTGCTTCCATCTTTGACTTTGCTTGTTGGAAGCCAGCTGGGAAGGTTGCAAATGGTGATCACATGAACCCCCTCCCCCCAAAAAACCTACAGTTATTGTAAATAAATGCCCAATTTGATCATATGACCATGAGGTTGCTGCAAAAATCATAATCAGAGCCTCGGTGGCGCAGTGGTTAGAGTGCAGTACTGCAGGCTACTTCTGCTGACTGCCAGTTGCCTGCAATTTGGCAGTTCAAATCTCACTAGGCTCAAAGTTGACTCAGCCTTCCATCCTTCTGAGGTGGGTAAAATGAGGACCCAGATTGTTGGGGGCAATATGCTGACTCTATAAACCACCTAGAGAGGGCTGTAAAGCACTCTAATGCGGTATATAAGTTGAAGTGCTATTGTTATAAACGCGAGGACTGGTTGTAAGTTTTTTCAGTGCCATGGTAAGTTGAACAATTGCTAAATCAAGGGTTGTAAATTGAGGTCTATTTGTAAAGTATTTTTTACTGTGCAGCAATGATTGAGATCTTTTGCTAATATCTGAGTAATGTTTGGGACTTGGGGATTTATCTGGAATAAAAAATCCACAATGATTTAAAGCAAACAGTTTTTCTTTTCTTTGATTGGAAATGCAATTATGCAGAACAATACCGTTGTTGCCTGAGTGCAGCAAACTAAAAACAAAATCTGTTTGAAGAACAGTGTGACCTTTAAATATTCTGGATTGGGTTCAAAAAGAAAATTAAATAATTATGAATTGCAGATTTTGTTTCAAGTCAGCCAATTCAAACCTTTTTGCTCATCAAGATGCTGGGTGTGCAGAGTTTTTTTTACCCAGAATTGCAGAACAGTAAGAGCAAATTACAAACACATATTAACAATGTGAAGGACACAATTCTACACATACAATGTATATATAACAAAACATTTCACACAAAAGCTAGTATCCCCACCAAAATCACCTCAAATATTACAAAGTGTTGACAACCTCATCCCAAGATCTCACAGGATCTCAGAAATCTCAAGAGATTTTTTGTGAGATTTCATGAACTTGTAAACATTCAGCAATTATAGACCCACATACACACACATATATATTAAATGGTAATTTAATTTGGAGTGGTATGATGCGATTTGAGTGGGAGTGCATATTCTAACACCCACAGGCACTGATCTCTGTCTACCTCCTACATTTGTTCAGGTTCCCTGGTCTAAGGCAGGAGATAACCCATCAATCTTATTCAGCTCCTCAAAGCAGATGAGTTTCTTCCTCCCTCTCCCTGCAATGCAGCAAAACCAACCAGTCTGGTTACTGTGGACCACAAGGAGTGGCCTGCAGCTGAAGGAGCATTGCCTTGTCCAAGACATCTGAGAGCACATGCTTAGGGATGGGGATCCCAAAGATTGGAGAATTTGAAAGTATATGAATTTTCTTGGCTCTGGTCAACAGATCCGTGAACGTTATGAGAAGGCCCTACAGGAGCTCGACCGTAGCAGCCCTCGCTACATGGAAGAAATGGAGTCTGTGTTTGAGCAGGGGCAGGTTCTGGAGCAGAGACGGATTGTCTTCCTCAAAAGTGCCTTCCTTGCCCTGCATCGGCGTCTGGATATGACTGCAGATTCCAGGTGTGGAAAAAGGAGTCTTGCATCAGGCCCCAAGAATAACATATAGAGTTGTTTCTTTATTGTTGTTGGCCTGCAGACGGAATCTTGCCTGACTAAAACCACAATCTGCATAGTTATAGATATATTCTGTGAACTGCTAGGGAGGTTTGTCTTTGTCCTCTTCCTGCCTACCAGACATTCCAAACTTCACTGCCCTTTTGCCTTCTGGATTTCCTCTTATGAAAGAAGCCATTCCTCATTAAAAGGGATGGTAAAATGGCCATTATTGGACACCAGGAGCATTTTTTAGTTAAAAATGCAATTTATCTACTTCATGCCTGTCTGGAATTCTGGGAGTTGAAGTCCACACATCTTAAAGTTACTAAGGTTGAGAAACAATGATCTACTCTGTCTATCCTCATGGATGCCAGATATGGATTACTGGCTAAAAAGGGATGAAAGGCCACTCCTCCAGATGTGCAGTACCACCATTTGCCATTAGATGGAGGAATAAAGCTAAGGGTGATCATTGAGGGATCAAAAAAGTCAAGATGCCAACTTTAATTATACAGTCAAACCATCATCTTGACTTTTTTGATCAGAAGATGACTGGATGCTTCCTTCATTCCCTTGAATCTATCTCTCCACAGGAAAACTATACCGTAGATGTCTTCTGCCCTTTTTACTAGAATGCCACATTCCACAAAAGAACTTGTAATTGATTTACAATTAGGTAGTCAGGATGCTTCCAGATGGATACTATAATGCTATTATAACCCTAGCTACAATTTTGGCACCAGTCCTGGGTTCAACAACCCTCCCCATTGCCTACCCTATAGAATATATTCTCATCACAGCTGCCCTGAACTTTCCACTAATAGAGAACTCTTTGGGGTTACTTCCATCCCTCCTGCAGAAAAAAAAAATCACAATTGTCAATGTTCTACAGCTTTTACTAATATTATTAGGCAACAATTTATAAGCACATGAATGTTATACTGAACTATTGAATGACTTGCCCAAAACTAAATATCTCCCCTTCCCCAACCCTTCTGAAATCTGCTCACTCTACTGTAATTGTTTCTGCCCATGTTTCCTGCAGCTGGACACTTGATGTTGAAATGGGACAACTTGACATGTCCAACTTACCTTGGCCATCTTGCTGTGGGTGATCCTCTGTAGGCAACTCTCCTCGGGACAGCTTTTCACAGCCAATTCACCATGGAACAGCTCACCATGGAACAATTCAACGCAGGATAATTCAAGAGAGGGATAAGTGAGACGGGTGACTCCATGCTTCGACTCACCCCAGCCTCGAGGATTTCTAACTTGACAAGGTTCAAACCTAAAGCAAGACAAGGCCCCCTGCAATTCTCTTGCCCCTCTCTTGAATTATCCCACATTGAATTGTCCCACAGTGAGCCGTGGTGAATTGGCTGAAGTGAGTTGGCTGGGGTGAGTCAACCGGGGTGAGACGGTTGGGGCAAGTCAGCCACAGTGAGCTTGATGTTAAGGCTTAGGTAAGTCTTCCATTTCCCCTTTTCCTTTCCTTCACATACAAACTTCTTATTTTTGAGCTACCTCTCCCAACTTCTCAGCTTCTCATAAATGAAACTTCTCATAGATGAAACCTCACTGCTAGTTGATTATGTGATCGATAATGCACCATCAAGCCCAACTCTTAATGATGAGTGTAGGACAACTTTAGGTTTGAACCTTCTCAAGTTAAATGTCCTCGAGGCTAGACTGAGCCAGAGCTTGAGTCACTTGTCCCTCTTTGGTCCCTCTGTTGAGTTATCCCATGTTGAATTGTCCTACTGTGAGTTCTCCTATGGCAAGTTGGGCACAGGAAGTTGGCCTGGTGAGTTGGTTGCAGGAAGACAGCCAGGGTGAGTCAGGCGGAATGAGTCATAGGAGCGGGTTGGCCATGGCAAGTCATCCCATTCTGCTTAGTAACCACAGAGAGGTTCGCTCCATGACAATCAATGCCTAAGCTGTTCTTGCCGCCATCATTTCTACTAAGAAAGTCTCATTCTAAACTATCCCCCATCTCACGGCCTGACCTTTAAAACAGAAGCTAGTTAAACTATACCTTAGCATCTCTCCAAGGTAAATCTTATCTCTTCCCCAAATATGTTCCACCATTTGCCTTTCACCCATCTGATCTTCTTTCCTACATCCTGCAATCTAGCTGCTAAAACTGCAACCTGCCTTGCCTTGTAGCCAATTTTCCTGAAAAGCACCAGGTTGCGCTATCAATCAGAACATAAGACTGTTCAGTCTTTCTCTCTTGGATATATTTTTTTAATGGTTGGAAAGCACAGTAGAATTCCACGTGGCAAATGTTGCAACTCAGTACATCCTGTAAAAACCTGTAAATCAGTTTCACAACGTTGTAAACACCTTGAGGGCAGCATCCTCGGTTAGACTTGTTTTGTACACATTGCTCCTAAGTGGGAATGTTTTGTGCACGGGTGCGTGCTTGTATATGTGATAATCTTCTCATCTCTATTTCTCCTTTTCTTCAGTGTCCAAGCTGTTTATAGTGACTTGCATCAGGCCATTGAGGAGATAAATGACCAAGAGGATCTTAAGTGGTGGCGTAACCGAAATGGCCCAGGAATGCCCATGAACTGGCCAAAATTTGAGGTGGGAAACATTTTTTCTTCAATGATAGGAGAGGAGCATGTTGCTTGGTCTCAGAATCCTTCTGATTTCCATTTATGCACATATAGAAAAATGTCCCAACATAGTAATACAAGTAGTCCTCGACTTACAACAGTTCATTTCGTGATCATTCAAAGTTACAACGACACTGAAAAAAGTGAGTTACTGTATGATCATTTTACACACATATGACAGTTGTGGCATCCCCATGGTCATGGGATCAAAATTCAGACATTTGGCAACTGACTCACATTTATGATGCCTGCAGTGTTTTTAGGTCATGTGATCACTTTTAACAAGCCAAGTCAATGGGGAAGCCAGATTCGCTTAACAACCATGTTACTAATTTAACAATTGCAGGGATTTACTTAATAACTGTGGCAAGACAGGTCCTAAAATGGGACAAAACTCACTTAACAAATGTTTCAGCAACAGAAATTTGGGGCCTAATTATGTTCGTAAATCAAGTTCTACTTGTAGTTTCCAGTGAGAAAAAAATAAATCCACTGTTCAGTTTATTCTAAATCTAGATACTCTCACTTCTCCATGTTGTTTTTTCCCCTCAGAAATAAAGAATTCTTTCTGCTCAGAGCCTTCAGGTTGACAGCCAACCATTGTTTTTAACATCCTCTGTGACAAAACAATTCAGCTGATAGCTAGGGAAATATTTCAGATTGTTTGATAACAACAATAATCTCCTTTGTCCCTTTTTTGACAAGTTACCAGAAATATCTTGAAAGAAGTAAAGATTTTTGCTTTAATTTAACATCCCATTTACACCTCTTAACAATTCTGGCTTAGTGCCATAAAAATTAGATTATGAGTTAAAAATTAGAGCTAAACTCCACAGCTTGGTTTAGAAATCTTCAGACTTTCAGGCTGACAATCTGATTTAATTAATTATGCTATTTACCTTTGTATTTCTTTCAAGGTAAATTATAGGCTTTTACTGTAAAAAAAAATTCTTGGCACCAAATGAAATATAAAAGACACCTAAGTTTTGATAGTGCAAGAATTCCTACAGCTACACTCTTCTCTAGGGTTTTGTACAGTCTGGCAAATGGGGCCTGGTTGAAGGAAGGCTTCAGGAATCTATTTATATGGAATACAGAAAACAGATTTGGAAAGGATCTTGGAGGTCTTTTAGTCCAACAGCCTACTCAATCAGGAGACTTGATACCTGTGATGGCAAGCCTATGGCAGCGTGCCGGAAGTGGCACGCTGTCGCCCATTTCTCTTCTGGGTTCCGGCACGCACATGCACACTGGCCAGCTGGTCTCTGCGCATACAGGAGCACCGGAAACCAGAAGAGTACTCCCTGGCGTGCATGCATATATGGGGAAGCTGAGCTTCCAGTTTCCGGCGTGTGCATGCACGCCGGCCAGCTGGTCTCAGCTCACACAGGCGTGCCAGAAACCGTAAGACCAGGTGACTGGCACACATGCGCACGCCGGAAACTGGAAGCTCAGGTTTCCAACGCGCACATGCACACCAGGGAGTTGCTCTTACAGTTTCCGGAGCTCCCATGCATGCACACCGAGGAGTTGCTCTTCTGGCCTCTGGCGCTTGCACGCACGCATGCGCACTCCCATTTCGGCACTTGGTGCCGAAAAGGTTCGCCAACACTGCTTTATACATTCTAGACAAATGGCTGTCCAATCTCTACTTAAAACCTCTAAACATTGAGCACCCACAACTTCCAGAGGCAAGCCATTCCACTGATTGTTTTTAAGAATTATTAATGGCTTTTGAGAAATAGTGACTACAGGTAGTTCTCAGCTTACAACAATAATTGGCAGCAGAACTTCCATTGCTAAGTGAGGCAATCATTAAGTGAATTGTGCCCAATTTTATGACCTTTTTTGCAGGGTCATTAAATGAATCACATAGTTATTAAGTGAATCCAGCTTCCACCATTGAATTTGTTCGTCGGAAGCTGATTGGGGAAGTTGCAAATGGCAGTCACATGATCCTGGGACACTGCAGCTGTTGTAAATATATGACAGTTGCCAAGTGCCCAAATTTTGATCATGTCACCATGGGGACACTGTAACAGTCATAAGTGCAAGGAGCAGTTGTAAATCACTTTTCCCAGCATCTTCTTAACTGAACAGCCACTAAACAAATGGTGGTAAGTTGAGGTCTATCTATATTCCACACATACAAGTCAAGAGGAAAATTGCAAAATAATACTAAAAATTGTTGGGGGCACTAAAAAAAAACCCCACTAAACAAATTACCAGCAGGTTTTGATGAAAATTTTTTTCAGAGTAAATGTATTACTTTATTAAAGTTCCCATACATTTTTCAATACTTTTTTAGAAGGGCAGGTTTTATTTTTCTTCTTTGACTAGCTACCATCCATCTCTTGAGATAATGTCTTGCTGGAAAACCCACTTCACCTATCTCCAAAATATTATAATGCTTTTCATGCTGTGGTGATTCGAGACTTCCGGCGGGTGACTGACAGATCCAACTACCTAAACAGGTATCAACATCAACAAAGTTCTGTCTGTTGCAAGGCTGCCCTTTCGATTCCTTAACCACTTTCAACTTTTCTTCTTCTTTTTTATTCTGAATGGGATGCAGCCCAAATTCAGATTTCACGTTTTCTTCCTCTCCTCTCCTGCTACCCAGGATTGGAGTCCTGATCATGAGCGGCCACAAGTGAAGATCAAGAAAACTAAAGAACCAGAGAAAGTGACTCCCTGCAGCATCTCCCCCTCCCAGAGCTGGTGAGTTGTATCTCCACCTTCCTCTTCCTTCTCACCCTCCAAAATCAGTGAAAGAGCTAAAACAATAAAATCATGTTGGACAATGTGTAACTTGTAGTGTCCATCCTCCGAACTCAATAATCCTCATATTCCCAGGATAAGAGGACTTCACCTTTCAAGGATTGCTAATTGGTTCAAAATCAGAAAGTACAGAATAGAAATGGATGGGCACTTTTCCCGATTGGGGGGGAAGGGGGGAACAGGAGCTGGAATGATTTTGAGAGAGCTACAAGCTGCCCAAGTTTGCAGATATGATTACAAACAAGATGGTGAAGACTGGAAATAATTATGAAGTGAATAGTCAAATGGCAACTATAGTCTAGTTTAAGTAAGTGTAATGCGATGCCCCAGTGGGGCAGAAAACCCTAACTTTGCATAAACCCAGAGATGATTTAAATTGCTTATGACTAACTGAAAAAGGATATTGACCTCAAATGGAGAATTTGGTGAAAACATCAACTCAATGTGTAACATTGGTGAAAAAAATCAAATTCCATCAGCAAGGACTGAAAATTGCCAACATTGTAATGCAATATATCAAATTCCAAGTTAAGGATCACAAGAAAATGGATTGAAAACTGTCAACATTGTAAAGCAATAACATAAATCTGTTACGTGTATAGTTGGAATACCATATATAGTCCCAGCTGCCAGGTTTAAAAAGGATACAGTAGGCTAAAAAAAAAAAAGTGCAAAAGTGAACTCCCAAATGATCTGGGGGAATCAAACATTCTTCCTGCAAGAAAAAACTGGAATATTTGAACTTGAAAAGAGGAAGAAGGAGCCTGATTCACATGTGGCATAGGAAAACCCTAACTCTTAAACATTAAGGTCAGGGGTTATCCAGTGAAACTGAGGAGATTTAATTAATTCAATTTAATTTAATTAATTCAATTTATATGCCGCCCCTCTCCGAAGACTCAGGGCGGCTGAGTCTTCAGAGAGAAGAGAAAGAAACAAGGGCTTTTTTATAGACCATATAATTAAAATATATGGCTGTCACTGAGATACAGTGATAGCCACAGATTTGGATGGTTTTAAAAGTCTTTGGGCCTCTATCAGGCTCTATCAACTACCTTATCTTGGGGGGGGGGGACTCAGAGGAACAATGGGGAGAGGGAGGAACAAGAACTTCAGAGACATCTGGCTGACCACTGGAAAGTTGTGGTGTGTTATGTTCTTAGTGATCAAGACGCTCTTCTACTGGAATCCTTGCAACTTCGTAAAGTGAGCGAATAGTACATGACAACAGCAGGAATCCTGTAATTAAGAAAGGGTGATTTGCCTACAGCCAGTTACGGTACTTATCTGACTAAGGCACCACACCAACCTATGATTTGCTTAATCATTATCAAATAAGCCACATTTGGCTGGGTTCAAATTCAATGCTGAACCATAAAGCACAGTATACAAAACAGGATGGTTGGATTCACCCGATATGTGTGTGTGGTTTGGGCTTAGTAGTTGTGAAACTCTTGAATTTCATCACCAAAAAAAAAAAAAAAAAGAGTCAGACCCTCCTTGACTGATAAGTCTACTCCAATGATTTTGTGGACTTCAACTCCCAGAATTTCCCCAGTCAGTCTGTTGCATCTTATTCTCTCATACTCTCCATTTATCATTAATAGGTACGAGTGGAAGTGGGAAGGCACCTTCTCACTTGTGAGCAAAGTATGTAATAATTAAAGAGGAGAGAGATTTATTCTCAGTTGCTGTGTTGTTGTTATAACATGAGTGATGGCAAGAAGACAATACTTCTGGTTGGGATTTTGTTTTATTTGGAAGGCATCTTTCAGGTTGTGGCATTTTATAAAACTTCATTTAAAAAGCATTCAGGCTGAGCTTAACTATTTCATAATACAACCAAATGCTCTATAGCAGTGATGGCTAACCTTTTTGCCATTGTGTGCCAAAAGCGGGGGGAGCACAGGGGGGGTCACGCGCGTGTGCCACACCCATAATTAAATGCACCCCGCCCTCCCTCGCATGCACGTGGGACACACTCTTCCCCCCCCCGGCCCCCCGCTTTTGGCCAGGTGGGCCCGGTAGCCCTGTTTTTCACCCACTCCAGAGGCTTTCTTGGAGCCTGGGGAGGGTGAAGATGGCCACCCCACCCTCCCAGGAGGCCCTGCGTAGGCTGGAATTGGCCTGTTTCCTCACTTCAGTGGGCCTGGAAGCTCGAAAATCTGGAGCTAAGCTAGAGCAACGCTCGCGTGCCCACAGATATGACTCCACGTGCCACCTGTGGCACGCATGCCATAGGTTCGCCATCATGGCTCTATAGCCATTTTAGAAATTTGTGCTGATAATTTTTCTGCAGTAAGTTATTTTGAATGTTTATGATTTACAAAAAAAACAACCTCACTTTCCAAAGAATTGAGACTTTAAGTTTGCCTTCAGGATCAAGGAACATTTGAAGACTAACGTTGCTCCTTTACTTAAGAGAGCGACATCTATTTTGTAACGCAGCCCTGCAGTTATAGAGCTGAAATATATTCTCTCTGCTTAACCATGTCAACAACACTTGCAAAGTATAGGTAGTTCTTGAGTCATAACCATAATGGAGTCCTGCAACTACGGTAAGGTGACCAGATTTTAACATTGGTAAAGAGGGACATTGTGGGCGTGGCTTATTTTATGGGCGTGGCTAGCTGGTCATGTGACTGGGTGGGTGTGGCTAGCTGGTCATGTGACCGGGTGGCCATGGCTATGTGTATAGGGTAAGGTGAACAGATTTTAACATTGGTAAGAGGGACACCATTGTGGGCGTGGCTTATTGTGTGGGCATGGCTTGGAGGCCATGTGACTGGGTGGGCGTGGCTAGCTGGTCATGTGACCGGGTGGCCATGGCTATGTGTATAGGGACTACTCAGAGGGCTGGAAAGTCATTTCTGACAGGTCCTCACACTTTTGACTGGTCCTCACACTTATGACCATCCTCACATTTATGCCCGTGCAGTATTCTTAACAACCATGTCACTCATTTCACAACTGCTTCTCTTCACCATGGTGACAAGATAGGGCAAAAAACGTAAAATGTGAGGACAGTCGTAAGTTCGAGGACTGGTCAAAAGTGCAAGGACCAGTCAAAAATAACTTTTTCAGCCGTCTGAGTAGTCCATATGCACAAAAGGACTAACCAGAGGGCTGAAAAAAGTCATTTCTGACAGGTCCTCACACTTTTGACTGGTCCTCACACTTATGACCATCCTCATATTTATGCCCATGCAGCATTCTTAACAACCATGTCACTCATTTCACAACTGCTTCTCTTCACCATGATGACAAGATAAGGCAAAAATGTAAAATGTGAGGACAGTCGTAAGTTCGAGGACTGGTCAAAAGTGCGAGGACCAGTCAAAAATAACTTTTTCAGCCCTCTGAGTAGTCCATATGCATTAAAGGATTACAGCAATAGAGAGGGATGAAGGAATGGAAATTAGAGTAGGAGTGAGGGTAAGAGAGGGAGGAAGAGAGGAGGAGAAGGAGAAAGAAAGAGGAAGTAGGGAGGAGAAAAAGAGGGTGGGGGGAAGAGAAAGTAAGAAGGAAAGAAAAGAGAGAGGTGGTAGGTTTGAGGAGAAAGATTGCTGTACAATAAAAAAGATGAAAGGGAAGAAAGCCAACCCCAAACAAATATAAAGATATTAAGATAAAGAATGAATTGTTAAACTTTAAAGAATAAAAGAGAACAAATATGAATAAATAGCAATAATTAGAAACACACATACAAACATACAATGTATTTTCTTTGAACAGAATATTTGGCTGGTTCACAAATTTAAACAGCGTTTAGTCATTTCAATTAAATTTACAATTTCTATATTTCCTTTTTGCCATATTTATTCCTCATCTATTTTTTAAAAAAACCAATATTACCCTTCATCCTCATCTCTAATCTTAATCAAATTCAATTTTTCCCTTCTAGTCTATATTATACCCCTTCCCATTGTCATCTATTTTTATATCCATCCTCACATTGTTTAATTATGTAATTATGTAATACAGTTGTTTAATACAAATTCAACATTTTAATATAAATCAATTAGTTATAAAACTATCTTTTTTGTATATTAATCAATATGAACATGAATATTCCAATTATTTCCATGCAATCCAATTTCTTACAAATCAATTAATTATATTTACCAATAATAATAAACCAAATAATTTCTCCCATATATTCCTCCGAACCACAACTTAACCATTTCTGCTTTCAACACAATATACAATTAATAGTATCTCAATTATTACAATTCCCTAGTTAAATACAGCTTTTTTTCCTTTGTGTTTTAAAATCTTGAACTCTCCTCCTAAATTTCCCATTGTTTGCAGTTTTTCACCTACCTTTTTTGGGGAGGAAAAATAAAAATAAAAATAAATCTCTCTCTGCCTCATTTTGTCACGCTGCACCAAAGACCCTGGTTTCGGTTTCGTTTCTGAAGCTTAGCTAGGGGAAAAAAAAAACTGCTTTACACTGATTGCCTGTAGGGCGGCCCTTTGAAGCCCCGGGCAAGAGTTTAAACAGTTTTTTTTTCTTCTAGCCATCAGCTGGGGCTCAAGAAAAATCGGGACTTTTTTGAAACGCCGCGGGACGCGGGACAAATTGCTCAAAAGCGGGACTGTCCCGCCAAAAGCGGGACGTCTGGTCACCTTAAACTACGGTCATAAATTGTGGCAATCGGAAAGTGAGCCATGACCAAACCTGATTTTACAACATTTTTATGGTGGTCATTAAGTGAACATTGAGGTCATTAAGTAAATCCATTGTTCACTATGGGGCAGTTTTTGCCAGAAACAAAAAGTAAACTCCAGTTCCCAGTTGTAATGAGAGATTACAAACCCAATAGTGTAATAACCATGAAAGGATTTTTTTAAAAAAATAATGAAGACAACAAAGAAAAATTTGCAGTTTCACTGCAAGCAGTTTATAAATGAAGATTCAGTCATCCAGGCCAAAAGTCTCAGTTTTAATAAACCTTGGTCCAATTGCTATGATTTAACCCAATGATGGCTAACCTTTTTTCCCTCGGGTGCTGAAAACGCGTGTGCGACAGTATACACGCGTGTGCCCACACCCATAATGCAAACCTCCCCGCGTTCCCCCATGCATGTGCGCACAACACCCCCACTCTCCCCCTGTGCATGCATGCGCAACGCCCTCCCCCGTGCTCCCTCACCGCCCCCGCGCATGCGCACACAACACCCCCATGCCCCATTTTGGGCCTAGCAGGCCTCCCTGAAACTTCCTGGGACCACAAACTGGCCACGGGGGAGTGCCGTACCACCTCTCCCCGCGCATTTATTTATTTATTTATTTGTTTGTTTCCATTTCTATACCGCCTTTCTCCAAATAGGACTCAGGGTGGTGAACAGCCAAAGTAAAAAACAGAACATACAAAATTTAAAAACAGTTTAAAATAATTAAATATTTTGGCCGTAAATTAAAACAACCCAATTTAAAATCAATTTAAAATTTAACTCAAGCCAGCCCAGCTAGTTGAAATAAATAGGTTTCAGGGCCCGACGAAAAATCCGGAGGTCTGTTATTGTACGTATCTCTGGGGGGAGGTTGTTCTAGAGGGTGGGCGCCGCCACAGAGAAGGCTCTCCCCCTGGGGGTCGCCAGCCGACATTGTCTGGCAGACGGCACCCTGAGGAGGCCCACTCTGTGCGAGCTTACTGGCCGGTGGGAGGCTATTGGTGGCAGAAGGCGGTCTCGTAAGTACCCCAGCCCTAAGCCATGGAGCGCTTTAAAGGTGGTCACCCAACACCTTGAAGCGCACCCGGAAGACCACCGGGAGCCAGTGCAGCTCGCGCAGGAGAGGTGTCACATGGGAGCGCCTCGTCGCCCCCATAATCCCCCGCGCGGCCGTGTTCTGGACCAGCTGGAGCCTCTGGGTGCACCCCAGGGGGAGCCCCATGTAGAGAGCGTTGCAGTAGTCCAGGCGGGAAGTGACGAGTGCCTGAGTGACTGTGCGTAGGGAGTCCCGATCTAGAAAGGAGTGCAACTGGCATATCAGGCGAACCTGATAAAAAGCCCCCCTGGCCACGGCCGTCAAATGATCTTCTAAAGACAGCCGTGCGTCCAGGAGGACGCCCAAGTTGCAAGCCCTCTCCGTGGGGGTGAGTGATTCGCCCCCAATAGCCAGCGATGGCGTCAGCTGGCTATATCCATATAGCCACAGCCACTCGGTCTTGGAGGGGTTGAGTCGGAGCCTGTTTCTCCCCATCCAGGCCCGCACGGCCTCCAGGCACTGGGACATCACTTCAAGGGCATCGTTGGGGTGGCCTGGGGTGGAGATGTACAGCTGGGTGTCATCAGCGTACTGATGGAACTCCACCCCGAAGCCACGGATGATCTCACCCAGCGGCTTTACATAAATGTTGAACAGAAGGGGCGAGAGGACCGACACTTGTGGCATCCCACAAGCAAGGTGCCTCGGGGTCGACCGCTGCCCCCCTGTCAACACAGATTGCGACCGGTCAGAGAGGTAGGAGGAGAACCACCGCAGAACGGTGCCCCCCACCCCCAACCCCGCCAACCGGTGCAACATGATACCATGGTCGATGGTATCAAAAGCTGCTGAGAGGTCTAACAGGACCAGGATAGAGGAGCAACCCCTATCCCGAGCCCTCCAGAGATCATCCACCAACGCAACCAATGCCGTTTCCGTGCTGTGCCCAGGCCGGAAGCCGGACTGGAGCGGGTCTAGATAGACAGCTTCATCCAGGTACCGGGGAAGCTGTTGCGCTACCACACGCTCAACAACCTTCGCAATGAAGCGAAGGTTGGAGACTGGACGATAGTTAGCCAAAACAGCCGGGTCCAGAGAGGGCTTCTTGAGGAGAGGCCTCACAACCACTTCTTTCAAAGCAGCCGGCAGGACCCCCTCACTCAAAGAAGCGTTAACAATCTTCTGGCGCCAGCCTCGTGTCACCTCCCGGGAAGCCAGTACCAACCAGGAGGGACATGGGTCCAATAAACATGTGGTCGCGTTCAGCCGTCCCAGGACCCTGTCCATGTCTTCGGGAGCCACAGGATCGAACTCCCCCCAGATAACACTCTCAAGACCTGCCTCAGTCATCCCGTCCGGACATACCCAGTCAGAGGCCAGCCCTTCCCGAATCTGAGCGATTTTGTCATACAGATACTGCACAAAGTCCTCAGCTCGGCCCTGCAAGGGGTCATCCCGCACTTCCAGGTGAAGGAGGGAGCGGGTCACCCTAAACAGGGCGTTTCATGCATGCGTGTCTCCTGCATGCGCAGTAGAGAACTGAAAATCAGCTGGCCGGTGGGAGGCGTACGCGCATGCACAGTGGAGCTGATCTAGGGCAACAGCTTGCATGCCATAGGTTCGCCATCATTGATTTAACATATAAACTATAAACTATAACTATAAACTATAATTATAACTTATAATTATAAACTATAAGCAGTTCTATGAAGCTGAGATCTGCTTGTAATTCGTATGTGACCCAAGGAAACAAAGAAACAGAGGTACAGAAGACTAACTAAGCAGTCTGTCACAATTTTACCCACTTCCTGGTTTTTGTAGGCCCAGTGACATTAAATCTGTTCTCAGGGACCTGGTGACCCATGTCTCTTGCAGACCAACAAGCCAAGACTTCTTGAAACAAAGAAATTATAAGTAGTCTTCAACTTACAATCATTTGTTTGGTGCCTGTTCAAAGTTACAACAGAACTGAAAAAAAAAAGTGATTTACAAGAAGTTCTCACACAGACAATCATTACAGAATCTTTGTGGACAGGTATTCAAAATTTGGGCGTTTGGCAACTATCATGTATTTATGATGGTTGCAGCATTTCAAGGTCATGTGAATACCATTTGCAACTTTCTTAGCCAACTTCTGACAAGCAAAGTCAATGGAGGAAGCAAAAGTTGCTTAAGGATCACATGATTCGCTTAATAACTGCAATGCTCACTTAATAATGTAAAGATTGCAACAAAGATAGTAAAATCGGGGATGATTCACTTAATAACCACCTTGTTTTGCAGTGGAAATTCTGATCCCAATTGTGGTCCATAAGTCAAGGACTATCTAGAATCTCTAACTTCCTCTTCCTGGAATCTCATTTTGGAAAGACAGTTCCTGTATTTATGGAGTCCTTAAGAAAGTTCAGCTAGTTAGCAGGTCATCCAAGTTTCAGAATCCTTTTAACTACCAGTATTTATAGATCTTCAGTCCTTTATTAGTTCCTACATTTATGAGTGTCACTCACAAAGGAATGACCAAATGGAGATATATATCGGGATCCACAGAAATCCAGATGTATATCTCCATTTGGCCATGAAATTCACTTGGTGGTCTTCAGTAAGTCAGTGTCAGATCTTCTTTATACTTACACACATTAAGCTATAATATAATAACGCATAATGTGTTTATTTGTGGCTTACCATGTACATTGCTTTAGCCTCTTGTAGGATATGCAGAAGACCAGGGTAGGTATAATAAGCAAAGGTTGAACAAGGTCACTTATAATCACATTCTCCCTCCTTTCTGCAGTCCCAAGCCAGCACCTGCACCAATAGCAGGTCAGCGGGTTCGTGCCGTGTACGATTATATTGGCCAGGAAGCAGATGAGCTAAGTTTCAAGGCAGGTGAGTGTTATCGTCATAATCCTTCCAAACAACATCATTCTTCAAAGGAAGTCTCATCTCCATAGAGACTGGCTGATATTAAAATGGATATGAATCTGTTCCAACCTCCTAAAATGGACTCCAATTTCCCTTCTCTTGTCATCTATATTATTCCCTTCTCTTCATTTCCTCGAAAATACGACCTACCTGAAAATAAGCCCACCCTATTTTTTATGTGTGTGCCTAATATAAGCCTTCCCCAAAAGTAAGCCTTGGTGAGTGGGGGTGGGGGTGGCCACCATAGGAGGATGTGAGCGCACACGAGCCAACGGTGTTTGGCAGCAGCCGCAGTCCGCACAATAAGTAAGTAGGGTGAGGTGCAGGGCAAGGCAGGCGATGTGGACGTGCTGCGTGAGCTCAGGGAAAGCAAAGCGGCGATGGGCCGCAGTGCCGGGCAGCCATGGGAGGCTCATCTTCGCCTGGCGATACTGGCAGTAGACAGAGGCAGAGACGCAGGGGCAGGTGATCCAGATGCGCAGACTGTGGGAAAGCCAAGCAGTGGTGGGCAGGAGTGGCAGGCGGCTTGCATGCAGCCCACATGTTACGCCGGGATAGCCTGTCTTCTACTCTGTGCGTTAGGATTACCTGCCTTCCACTCTGTACAGCTCCAGAGTGTGCCGACTAAAGGACTGGCGAGCTGCAGCTGCTGCCGAATACTGTCAGTCCCTGTGCGTTTGCCAGCTCTTTTGTGTGTATTGGGGGGTGGGGCGCCCAGCCGGGCTGACCACCCTGAAATCGTGGTTTCCCGAAAATAAGTTCTAGTGCTTGTTTTGGGCACAAAAGAAAGTAAGACTGGGTCTTATTTTCTGGGAAACATGGTATATGAAATTCTAAGGGTTAGGGTTAGGACTGTTGGAAAACTGCTGGCCAGGCTGGAAGGAGGAGTCAAGCAAGTGCCTAGTTTGGAGTCCTTGTGTAGCTGTAAGTGGCATAAGCTTGACATCCCCCACCCACTCCTCAAGATCCATGAAGCCTTCTCTAGTCATTCCCAGGGGAAGGCAAGCATTCTGGTGAGATTCTTTTAATATAGTGGTTACTGACTATTGTTATTCATGAATGGGCTGTGGTTGTTTGCACTTGACAAGGGTCAGGAGATAGTGGTGTTGGATACAGTCTTGTTCATCTAATATTATTTTCTCCCATACCAGGGGTGTCAAATTCGATTTCATTGAGGGCAACATTAGGGTTGTTTTTGACCTCGGAAGGCCTGAGTGGGTATGGTCGGGGTGGGCGTGGCCATGGTGGGCGTTTGACACAGGCTCAAGATGCATTTTTTCCCCTTTGCATTCAGAAAAGCTATTCCAGACAAAGGGAGATTTACTTTCTGACACAAATAATCTCAATTCCATAATGTAGCAATTAAAGACATGTAGAGTCCCCATTAATAAAAGTTCTTTGAAATCATTAAAATTTTATTCCAGATATTCATTGTAAAGAGAAACACCGTACAACACAACAAAATCATCACAATATATTGCTAAATGTCTAGAAAGATTCAGAAAATATCCATGCTGTGTGGAAACATTTCCAGCTCCATTTGGACTATAACTGGATACACAATTAAATCTCACTGACTTCACTGAATTTTATGCATACCTGACAAAAGCTGCCTTCTATTTGCCAGATTTGCACACTATCTAGTCATAATATGATTTGATTTTAACTCTGTGTGTTCTGTAAATTCAGCCATTTGTGCTTTACACAGTAAATCACAATTTAGAAATAAGTACTGGATGTTTTCACATGACATACTGCATTAAAAAAAATCTTATAGCTTGTGCATACTACCATATCCTACATCCAATCATGTTCTGTATTTTAAGTTCTTAGGCTCATTATATTGTTTACAAACCATTATGGGGGAGATAACACAAACCAGTTGTAAGTCAAAACCAATTACATTACAGCCACAGATAAGTGAGCAAATTCTTTGGATTAGGCCTGCTCCATATTTTTAAACTGGATGAAACCAGGAATCCTGTGTAAAACAGCCAACAGGAAGGAAGATAGAGTGCACGGGGCTGAGAAAGAAACATATAAAAGCCCCCCCCCAGCCCGTTTTCAGCCGCCAGATTGCTCTAGGAGGCTGTAGGGGCTGAAAATGGCCCGAAAATGCCCAGACTGCTGTAGGAGGCCGTGGAAGCTAAAAACAGCCCAAAAACTGCCCGTCCATGGCCTGTTTTGGCCAGCAGAGGCATTGCGGGCTGGTCCTTTATTTCCAGGCCGACCCCGCGGGCCAGATTTAAGCACCCCGCAGGCCGCATCCGGTCCGCAGGCTTTGAGTTTGACCCCTCTGTCCTATACCAAAGTGGTCAGGATTAACTGAGAATAGTCATGCCTCTTCCCAAAGGTGCTCCATGCAATTTAGATACAGTGCTATCTATCAACTCTTCAGATGAGAGAAAAGGATACTAGCATAACAGTTGTCCCACTGTTGAACTTTATTCTGTCATAGAAAATGCCATTAAATTGCATCCTCGTTTATAGTGAACTAAGGAAAGAACATGGAGGGTTCTACTGACTTTGGTTTCCTTCTGTCCCACTAAACATACCAGCCAATGTACTTGAATGGGTTGAGGCTAGGTAACCAGTTAGCTTTGATGGAAGATTATATCAAAGATGGAGTTCTGTCTGTCAGAGGTTATTCCAGCCAGGGCTGAAAAGAGTGGTATTAAGCCTGCAATTTTATCCAGTCAAGACACACAACCAGGAATGCTAGTTCTAGCTTTATTGTAAGGTTTGGGTTTTGATTTATTTTTTGTGCCCTTTGAGTCATTGTTGATGCTAACCAACTGCCTGGACTAGTCCCTGTAATTTTCTTGGCAAGATTTCGGAAGTGGTATGTCATTACGTGCTTCCTAGGGCTGAGAAGGTACGATTGGCCCAAGGTCACCCAGCTGGCCCATTGCCTTAATCACTACTCTAAACTGGCTCTCAATTGTAACATTACATTAAAAGAATCTTGTGAGATGAAAGTATTCTCCCCTTCTTTCATTTCCAGAAAACTAAGGAGAGTCTCTTTTGAAACATCTCCCACACCATTTATTTATTTTTATTTATTTATTTTATTTTATTTTTATACCGCCCTTCTCCTGCGGGACTCAGGGCGGTGTACAGCTGAGATAAAACATAGCATATAAAATTTAAAAACAGTTTAAAAAACAATTAAATAATTTCGGCCCAAAATTTAAAACAACCCAATTAAAACCGAATTCAATTAAAACTGAGAGGATGGGATCAAGCCAGCCCGGCTAGATGGAATAAGTGTGTTTTCAGGGCCCGACGAAAAGTCCGGAGGTCTGATATCGTGCGTATCTCAGGGGGTAGGTCATTCCAGAGGGCAGGTGCTGCCACAGAGAAGGCTCTCCCCCTGGGGGTCGCCAGCCGGCACTGTCTGGCCGACGGCACCCTGAGGAGGCCCTCTCTGTGCGAGCGAACCGGTCGGTGGGAGGCTATTGGCGGCAGAAGGCGGTCTCGCAGATACCCCGGCCCTAAGCCATGGAGCGATTTAAAGGTGGTCACCAACACCTTGAAGCACACCCAGAAGACCACAGGAAGCCAGTGCAGCTTCTATGGCTTTTACATGGCAATTGTCCCATCTGAGATACTCCCTTCTAAAGCCATCCCTCCATACCATCTAGACAAGATGGGCAGCGTACAAATCAAATCATAAATAAACAAACAAGCAAATAAATAAATAAATAAATAAATAAATAGGTTGCAGGAGAAAGGAGGAGCTATCTCTTTTTCACTAGCCTCAACCTATGGCACTCATTAATTGTCTATTGGGTGGGTAAAGACTTGACTCCCTCTTTTTCTTCAATTCCATTCAGCCTGGGGACCTATTGCTAAGACTGAGAGGGGCAGCAGGAGAAGAGGGCAGCCAATTCATCATTAGTATTCTTGACAGGCTAGACTTAAACTTCATCCATCCCCACCTTTGCAGTACTGAAAAGTGTTTTATCTTCACTACAGTTGGCAGTAGGAATTTTAATTTGGATTTGCATAAGGCAGGTAAGATTAAAGTATTCCTTCTTGCCTCACAGCCCTATTGAATATTTATTTATGCTGATTCTAATGGGAAACCTGTTCCCCTTTGTCCAACTGTGGCTGATCAGCAGAGTACCTAAGTTCCTTTGTTCAGGAGACCATAACCAAGGATCTTCTCCTCCTTTTTGTGTGCAGAGGGAAACACTAATACAGGTAGTCCTTGACTTACAACAGTTCATTTAGTAATGTTTGAAGTCACAACGGCACTGAAAAAAGTGTCTTACGACTGTTTTTCACACTTACAACTGTTGCAGCATCCTCATGGTCATGTGATCAAAATTTAGACTTTGGCAACTGACTCATATTTTCAATGGTTATAGTGTCCCTGAGTCTTGTGATTACCTTTTGCAACTTCTGGCAAGCCAAGTTAATGGGGAAACCAGATTCACCTTAACTACTGTGTTACTTACTTAACAACTGCAGTGATTCACTTAATAAATGTGGCAAGAAAGGTCATGAAATGGGACAAAACTCACTTATGTCTTGCTTAGCAACAGAAATTTTGGATTCAATTGTGGTCATAAGTCGAGGACTACCAGTAATATTTATGAACAAGACCAGATGCCTTACAAACCAAACATAAAAGGCAAACATCATGCCTAGTACTTCCAGCTTCAGAGTTGTTACTGTATACCAGATCTCCAAGGTACTTCAAGTCTCAGCTAACTGGCACCTCTGCCTCTTGTTCCAGAACATAGACTCATGCGTACACATCATTTCATCCTCTTACTCATTAAGGCTCAGCAAGGCACATGTGTCTCATTTTCTCAAAGCTGTGGGAGCTGATTCTCGAGAGATCTTCCCCAAACATTACTTTTCCTTAAGGAAACATCAAGACTCTGGGCCATTAACAAGCAATCTTCTGAACAAAGGCATGGCTAGCCAACAACCACAATGCTATTGTGAAAGTATTGTAACACCACAAGAACAACAAGTTTAGCTACAGTTGCCTACTCGTAGGCATAATTGAAATTGGTGGGCATGCCAGCTCCCTTGAGCAATATCTAACCTGAATTGGGAATTAAGGAAGTGGCAATCCACCAGATCTGAAGAGTTCCAGGAAGGGAAAGACAATTCTAAAATCTGATTGATTTCAGTCTGCTTTTAGTTAGCAAAAATAGGTGGTATATTATAACTGCTTGTTTTTGACATATTAGAACTTGAGATGAGATGAGTGGCTTTGAAATTGTGTGTGTGTGTGTGTCAGTTGCCCCCAGTTCGGACCGGTTCTATAGAACCGGTAGTAAAACCAGTGGGAGGCTCCACCCACTGACTCTGACATCATCAGAAGCGATCTGAGCATGTGCAGAAGCAAGGCGCACAAGCGCGATCCCATTGCAAACCGGTAGTAAAGGTAAGTAGAACCCACCCCTGGTATGTTTGTGTGTATGTGTGTTTTTACTTAAAATTCATGTTAATAAAATGCAGAGAGGAAGATGGGCCTGAAAAAGGATGTAATAAACAAAATTTTTTAAAAATATTACCATCTTTTATCTTGATCTTTTGTTTAAAAAAAACAAAAATTCATTACTCTAAATCATTGCTTGTACAGTTTTTCTTCCAGCATTGTATGTTAATTCTTTTGGTAAGTCTCCATGCTTGCACAATCCACCTTTTTGCTTTAATAGATTCTAAATTAATCGCTGGGAATATAGCCAAGAAAAAACAAATGCGTTCCCAACACATAGTCATCAACCCAGAATCATATTAACAGTCCTACTATTCTAAATGTAACAATACCAGAACAAGGCTAGTATTAATAGCAATACCGTTTTATGTATCTGTTTTATACATAACTTCAACTAACTTGTTCCTTACAATAACATTAATAAATATTTAAAACATTTTCACTTTTGGATACCATCTTGAAAAAAAAAATTCTGAAAAGCAACCTAGAAATCCTTGAATTATTTTAGAATATGTACCAAACCATTCTCTAATACAGGTAGTCCTCGACTTACAACCACAATTCAGTCCAAAATTTCTGTGCTAAGTGAGACATTTGTTAAGTGAATTTTGTCCCATTTTACAACCTTTCTTGCCATAGTTGTTAAGTGAATTACTGCAGTTGTTAAATTTGTAACACAGTTGTAAGCTTCCCCATTGATTCCCTTGTCAGAAGGTTGCAGAAGGTGATCTAATGGGACACTGCAACTGTCACAAATCACTTAGTTGCCAAACATCTGAATTTTGATCAGGTGATCACAGGAATGCTGCAATGGTCATAAGTTTTTTCACACATAAGTGTGAAAAACGGTCATTAGTCACTTTTTTTCAGTGCCATTGCAACTTCAAACGGTCACTAAACGAACTGTTGTAAGTCGATGACTACTTGTATTTATGGAAGTGGATGGCAGATCAGTTTATTGACTCAAGCCATTTCACCCTTTCCATTATCTGTAATAATTTATGAGATCCTCCCCTGCTTTTTTTTTTTCAGGAGAGCTTCTCACCAAATTGGAAGATGAGGATGAACAAGGCTGGTGCAAAGGAGTGACTGACAGTGGACATGTGGGCCTCTACCCTGCCAACTACGTGGAACTCTTACAGGGTTAGATAGAATGGGCAAAACCGGGGGGGGGGGGGGAACTTACCTAATCAGTAAAATTACATCTATATACCAGGGTGGGATTGAAAAATTTCAGCAACCGGTTTGCTGCCCGGTTGCTGGGTGGGTGTGGCCATGGAGGCGTGGCCTACTTGGCCTTTTGAACCACAGCGGAGGGGGCATTTTCGCCCTCCCCAGGCTCTGGAGGCTTTTCTCGAGCCTCCAGGAGGACAAAAACAGCCTCCCCAGGCACCGGAAGCCCTCTGAAGGCCGGAAATGGGCCCATTTCCGGACTTCTAGTACTTCTGATAGGCCCATTTTTTGCCCTCCCCAGGCTCTGGAGGCTTTCTTGGAGCCTCCAGGAGGGCAAAAATGGCCTCCCCTGGGCTCCGGAGGCCCTCCAGAGCCTGGAAATGGGCCTGTTTCTGGACTTCCAGTAGGCCTGTTTTTCACCCTCCAGAGGCTCCAGAGGCTTTCCTTGAGCCTCCATGAGGGCGAAAACGGCCTCCCCTGGGCTCCAGAGGCCAGAAACAGGGCCGTTTCTGGACTTCCGATACTTCTGGTAGGCCCATTTTTTGCCCTCCCAGAGCCTCCGCATGCATCCTGCACTTACCTGTCATCCAAAACGGGTGTGTGGAAACTCCTGGGAGGGGAGGGGCAGGGTGGGCAGGGTCAGCCAGTCCTTGGAACAACCAGTTCAGCGAACCAGATTGAAATTAACATCCGGTTTGCCTGAACTGGTCCGAACCGGCTGAATCCCACCCCTGTCTATATATAGTTTGCATTTCTGAGATCACAAGACAGAAATTTCTGATTTCCAAGACAGAAAGATGCAAAATTCAGTTCCTTCAGAGATCCAGTTGCATTTGATAGTCATGGAAGTTCTTAGCTTATGCAGGTGCAAAGTTCACCTTGAAAACTGTGGGAAATACTAGTGAAATCTCAGAAGCTGCAGTGGGTTGGTGGGTGACACCTCACATGGGTGGTTCTGGCTTCTGCATTCAGCATAGCTTTTTGTCCTTCCCTTTAGTTGTAGAATAAATGAATTGCAAAGCAAGCCCTCTGAAGCTCCATTTACATATTGTATTCACAGAAAGTAAGCTTTTTGTCGTTTTGGGGGTGGCACAAATTGGTAAAATAGACTCGAATAATAAAGACTCAGAAACAAAGCCGTGTAAAAGTATAGTTACCAAATCATAGCACTTATAAGTAAATACAAACACATACTCACATACATCTACTGGACACGTACATCCGGTGTGATTTACAACTCGGTATGCCTGTAGATTTTTATGTGCTTACATAGTTATTCATTCTTTCTTCTTGTTTCTCTGACACACAAACAAATCATGGTGCCTTAAAGCTCTTCTTTATTTGCCACAGAGGTTGAAAGCACCCTGCCCTGAAGGGCTGGTCAAACTTCACAAGAAGCACAACAAGAAAGATGTCCCACAATCCCACAAATTCTCTTTAGTCATATCTTAATCCAAAGATCTGCAACACGTGAGATGGATATACATTTGAAAATGGCCCTCACATGGCAAGTTAGTGAAGTATGGGAAGTTTGTAGGACCCAACCACACCGTTCTTTCAACACATCCCTGGATGACTGATATTTGGGGAAGAAAAACTATTCAAAGACAACTGCACTCCACCTATAGAAGTACAGTCCATCCATCAAAGTGTGAAAACTGAGAAATAAAATGAATTTGTGAACATCTGTGGGTTGTTTTCTAAAATTGATACTTTAGTAGCTGTGGATTTTGGAAAATAAAGAAATAAATAAGCATGACAGCCAGTTTTAGTTTTTTGTTTTGTTTCCAAGCTTCTAGTTCTTATGACACACATTTAATCTTACAAATACGTGGGCAAGGCTGATGAAATCCAATTGGTCTACATGTGACTTGTTTCAGCATTTTATTTACACTTTTCTCAAAGTATCTATTGTCAGTTTAATTGATAATAATCCAGAAGCTGAATTAAGATACAGTATGTATGTCATACCAGTCCTAGCAGTGGTGAAATGTAAAATTTGTTACTACCGGTTCTGTGAGCGTGGCTTAGTGGGAGGGTAATGTGACTGGGTGGGCGTGGCCATTTTTTTTTTAACTTTTAAAACCATTTTTTCTACAGCGTCTTTGGCCGAAGAGGTTGTAAAAAAATGCTTTTAAAAGCCTCTGACAATCCCAGTTGAGCCACGTGATCATTAGAGGCTTTTTTGTTTTTTTAATTTTTAAAAGCATTTTTTCGACCAAAGAGGTTGCAGAAAAAATGTTTTTTAAATTTTTTTTAAAAAGCCTCTGATGATTGCGCGACTCAGTTGGGCATGGGGGGGGCAGGGATTTTTGCTACCCGGTTTTCCGAATCACCCGCTGCAATCGCTACCTGATCAAGCGATCCAGTCCGAACCGGGATCATTTCACCCCTGAGTCCTAGTCCATGTGGTTGATCTCCAAAAGCTAAGTGAGGTTTAAAGCTGGTTAGAATTCGGACAAAAAGCATCAGGAAATCCCAAGGCTATTGACAAGACTGAAAGTTGAAAAACCATGATTGAAGAAGATAATGACAAAGCACTTCTGTATTGTAAGAAAACTGCATGGAGATGGACTTAGCAAATTTGAACTAGGCTCAAAGGAGAACATATCTCAGCTGAGCTTTGTCATTTGATTTTCCCACTTCAGATTAAATAAATCTTTCTTTAAACATTAAAAGAGGCATTACAAGGCATTTCTCTACCCCAGGAAACATCTGAATCTCCCCTGCAGAAACATAAACCAAGAGGATCCACCCTTAGGTGTCAGCCATAGAAAATCTCACCAAGATTCTGACAAATAATAATGGTACGATTTGGAGGGAGGAATTAAATACATTAACTATTTAACTGTGCCATTAACTATTTAATCGTGTTAATTAAATTGCTAATTAACTGTTTAATTTTATTAATTAAACTGTTAAAAAAGAAAATGAAACAATTACAATATATGGAATAAAACAAAGTACAACAGCAATAGGAGCTCTAGCAAAGCACATGCTTGGGGCAAAGATATAAATAAAAAAAGTAATAACTCAAGTACAATTACTGAAACAATGACTTAACAACCAGCCAGTGGGACATCCATACCTCCCAGCCCAAATTTGTGTATGGAAACCATCAGGTCTTCAATGTTTTGCAAAAGATTGACAGGATGTGCCATCCAAATCTCCAGGGAATGCTGTTCCACAGAGCTGGTATGGCAGCAGATACCCATTCTCCCTAAAGTTGGGAAGAAAACTAACTACAAGTAGTCCTCAATTTATGACCACAATTGGGACCAAGAATCGCTGAGCAAGGCAGCTGTTAAGTGAATCACACCTGATTTTATAATCTTTTTTGCCTCTACAAGTTGTCAAGTGAATCAGGTGGCCATAAAGTGAATTCAGATTCCACCATTAACTTTGCTTGTTGGAAGCCAGCTGGGAAGGTTGCAATTGGCAATTATGTGATCCCAGGATGCTGCAATTGTCATAAATGCATGCCTGTTGGGCTAAGTGCCCAAATTTTGATGACATGACCTTGAGGATGCTGTGATGCTTTTTAATGCTAGGACCCATCATAAATCACCTTTTTCAATGCTGTTCGAATAGTTGCTAAATGAATGGCTATAATTTGAGGACTACCTGTAAACATTCGTCACACCTTATGATTTACTGTGAGCAGCACTAACATAACTTCCTAGGATGAATTGGGGCATTTGCATACATGGTCTTGCCCTGAGCCTGCAGCATCAGCTCCTGACTTGAGCAATGCCACCTTCTGTGTTCAGTAGCTGAGCTGAGTTAGTTCCAGCTCAGCTATGATCAGTGGTGGGATTCAGACGGTTTGCACCAGTTCAGGAGAACTGGGAGCTAATGTTTTTTGTAGAGTTTGGCGAACTGATTCCTAAATGGCCAGACTAGCGTGCGTTCATGTGGCGGCAGCGGAAGAAGCAGTATCAGATCACGGGGAGAGAAGTTTCTAAGTTAAGTAGGAAAGTATAAGGAGAGGGGGTGGGGAAAAGGGAGGTCAGTGGAGGAACTTTATCAACTACCTTTATAAATGCTTTGCTCCATATTTGTTTGAGAAGCAGGCCACTGAGTTTTCCGGTTAGCAAGCAATGCTCGGTTCAGCAAGTGCTCTCTTAAGCATGCGCCAGAAACCCAAGCAATGTTCCAGAGGACCCTCTTCATTTGGGGTTTGGAGTTGAGCAACAGGTCAGGTCTTCCTGGGCCCTGGTCATCCCCACGCCTTCCCATGCCACTGATTTCTGGTTGGCCTGAAGTAGGCTCAAACCTGCCGTTTCTCCCAAGATGGTGGATGAAGGTGACAGCATGGGAAGGATGGCTGGAATGGGGGCACTGCTGCCCCCCGTGAACCCCTTGGAGCTAGCTGGGGTGAGATTCGGCTTCCGCCCAAGTTCATCCCTTGCCTTTGGCCGACAGCCATGGCAACATGCATTCCTAAAGGGTCCAAGCAGTTGTGCTCAATAAAAGAATTGTAACCCAGAAATGCCCAGGCTCCAATGTTTTTATTAGCCCACTTTGTTCACACAGTAGAGGCTGCTCCTTTATCTTTCTTTAGTTCCTGCTTCTATTGCCTGCGGTCCTCAACCCCAAAAAAGGGATTCTTGTCAAATGGGACTACACAGTTGTGCACTACATAGCGCTGTACCTACATCCTGCGCAAAGCCTACTTGGACAGACAAAGAGTTAGGATTTTGAGGAGGGTCAAAGTGGATCCTGGGTGCTGTGCTGCAAAGGAGAAATGGGAAACAGAGCGGCTGGTGTGAGGGAAGGAGGAAGAGCAGGGAGAAGAAAGAGGAAAGCAGCCTCCTCCTTCCCTCGTGCTGGCAACTCCGTTTCCCGTTTTTCCATTGCAGCGCAGTGCCCAGGATCCACTTTGATACTGGGGGGAGGTGTTTGAGAGATCGTCAATCCCCATTTCTGGCAGAGAACCCTGGTTGTCAAATTATTTGAATCCCACCACTGGCTATGATGCATTTGAAAATCACAGACAGTGATTTTTTTCCCCTTTCTTTAATGGTGTGGTCTGCTATGCTATGTAGAACCATTGGTCCATTGGCAGGAACTCTCAGTTCAATCCACCTCCCAGATCATGGGTTCAAATGAACTTCCTTCCCCATAGAGGTTCAGATGTTATAGCAACAGAATAATAGAGTTGGAAGCAGGAGACACTATACCTGTCCAATCTCTACTTAAGAACCTCCAATGATGGAGCACCCATAACTTCTAAAGGCAAGCCGTTCCACTGATTAATTGTTCTAACTCTAAGGAAATTTCTCCTAATTTCTAAGTTGCTTCTCTCCTTGATTAGTTTCCATCCATTGCTTCTTGTTCTGTCTTCGGGTGCTTTGGAGAATAGACTGACCTCCCCGCTTCTTTGCAGCAGCCTCTCAAATATTGGAACACTATTAGCGTGTCACCCCTAGTCCTTCTTTTCATTAGCTAGACATACCCAATTCCTGTAACCGTTCTTCATATGTTTTAATATCCAGTTTCCTAATAATCTTTATTGCTCCTCTGTGCACTCTTTCCAGGGTCTCAACACCATTTTTATATCATGGCAACCAAAACTGGATGCAATATTCCAAGCGTGGTCCTACCAAGACATTATAAATCACACTGGGACACTTAATTCACAGTTATTTTCAGAGCAATAGAAGGATGGTGCCCAGATGTCCTCTTAGCTCTTCCTTATAGAAACCGTTCATTTTTTACTTAATATTTTTTGCAAGTACAGATGTACATAACAGAAACCATAGGGGAGAACTATTGACTATTATGTTCTTTGCATTCTCTTCCTGATTATTTGGAAACTGATGTGGGTGTTTTGAAATCACCAGCAACAGACACCACCAGGGAGTGAATCCAAGCAAATTTTGAGGGACTTGAGAGAAGAAACATCTTTTCCTAGCGTTATTCCCACCTTATGGCAGGGTCCATTTAAAACTCCCTTTTAATGACTCTCTAATCCCTTAATTCAATGTCAGGGTGACTGGATGGAGCTGAGCATTTACTGGCCGGGTGCCCTTCCTGATGCCATGTGGAGTTTGCAGATTTTTTTTTCTTTGCACAAAAGTGGATCACATGACCCCAGGACATTGCAACCATCATGAATATGAGTTAATTGGCAAGTGTCTGAATTTTGATCACGTGACCACGGGGATGCTGCAACAGTTGTAATTATGAAAAATGGTCATTTCAGTTTTTAATGTTGTTGTAACTTTGAACAGTCACTAAATGAACTGCTGTAAATCAAGGACTCTATTACAGATAGCCCTCAACTTACAAATGACTGCTTAGTGACTGAAATTACAACTGGCCTCCCCAAAACTACTTTCAACCCAGATTCAAAGTTTCTATGGTGGCCCCCCCCCCCCTACAGGGAGCCACAGTCATATGGTCATATTTTGGCTGCTTGGCAACTAGCCTGCGTTTACAGCTGTTTGTACCATTCCCTGATCACATGACTGTGCTTTGCGATGGTTATTTTGTTTTTGCTTTTTTGCCAGAAACTGGCATTTTTTTCCAGTTTCTGGTAAAAAATACCCATTAAAGAAAATGGGTTCACTTAATGACCATCGCAAAAAAAAGGACATAAAATCAGGCATGGCCACACGGTGACCAGCTTAACAAAAAGCACAATTTATGACTGTAATTCCCAGCTCAATTATTGATGTAAGTTGAGGACTATATATATATATATATATACAGAAGAGAATGGGACTTTCAGGCAAAACAGATGCTAATATTGGCCTTAAGTTCAAGAAAGACTTTAATTTGCAAAATGAAAAAGTGAGTCATTCTTGAGTCCTTTCAGGTTAGCTGTTTCGCTCTGCCTAACATAATCAGCAACTGCAGCTGCCTTATAGCTGCAAGCAGTTCACAATTCGTTGTCTCCAAAAGCCTTGAGCGTTTCCTCAAACCCTACCTTAGTGGCTATAAAAATTTTGAAGTGAGATTGAGATAAAATAATAAATAGACTGGGGATTGTTGCAGTAACTTCATTTTAATGAAATGTAGTTTTCGTTCTCACCTGAACAAAAGGTTTGCAACATCAAACCCTCGGAAGACTTAATAATTAAAAAAGTATTGGACTGAGCTGAAACGAACAAGATGACACTTGAGCTGAAAGGACTGATGGATTTGGAATATTATATAATATGGGAGAAGTTGTATAAATGGATTGAGAATTTAGTTAGTAGGACTGAATTTAGTTAGAATGTATAGAGTGTAAGTGAAATATGGTAATATGTCATGTAAATGGTCACAGTCATGCACAAACTTTCTTCTTTTTGTATTTTAATTGTTGAAAATCAATAAAATATTTATTAAAAAGAAAGAAAGAAAGAAAATAATAATAAAGCCTCATCAATTGCTACAATAGAGAAAAAATTACAACATTAAATTAAGGAGACATCAGAGCTAGGAACCATTATTTTATCAAACTTGGGTATGTTTTACGGTTTATCTCAATGGCTAGATTATAGTGGTGAGAGAGAGGGGGGGAGAGGGAGAGGGAGGGGGAGAGAGAATTTTTGTATGTATAGTACCTATCTCTTTGTGTCCCAGATTTATATAAGCGTACTTACCTGATTTTGTTTTTTTTTTAAAATAAAATAAAATAAAAACAGAAAACAGAGGGGGATTTCCCAGTTTTTCTCCACTGATTCATATAATACTTTCTGCTGTCAAATTAATCTCTCTGTCCTGATGGCAAGAGACATATCACACCCACAATAGCTCTACCTGTTTAAGGGCTTCAAGGAAAATTATTTTGTTTTTGAACCCTAAGATTTTGCATGCCACAAACATGGAACCCCACAAGTGCTAGCCAAACATTAAGGAGATCTGCTTTCTGACTGAGCTCACCTGACGACCAAGGAGATTCAGAGCTATCAAAGTTCACTGCTCATTAATCAGAGTGGCAAAGCATTTTTGCTCAGGTGCTCTTAGCCAATTGAAACATGAGCCCCAATAATTACATAGAATAGAGGCGGTAAACCCCAGCAGTCCTAACCAGTCAGGATCTACAACTCACATTCCTGGGCCCTATGGGCGAGGCAATAATGTTACTCCCCAGCCAGTGCAAATATACTTCTCCATCCCCAAGAAAAATAATCCAGGTGCAGTCAGGACACACAGAAGGAATTCCCGCCGGAAACTGAACTGAAGGAAACTGAAGGTCTGAACCAACGGAAGATGGGAGGCAGAATCTGGATCATAATGCTGCTGGCAATTGGGATTGAAGGGCAAATCCGGTGAGATAATGCAAGATGGTTATTGAACTCTGAGCGGCAGAGGAGTACTTAGCAGATAGGATAGCCTCTTTTAGTTTCAGATGCTACAGCTGGGCTGGACCAGTTACAGTAATTCCCAACTTCCTAGCTAGCACAATGAATTCTGTAAACTGTAGTCCTCATCCTTTGGAGGTTATCATCTTAAGGGGGATTTAGAAACTTGTGGCTTTAGGGACCCTTGATCGAGAAAGAAGAATATGATTGCAGAGAATTTGAAGAATCAAGCTATAGGGGCACACAGCTTGCATTTCAAGGAAGAGGTCTGTGCAAGCCACCAACTGTGAACCCAGAATATGGGATCTGGGATAGCTAGAGGTAATTTGAAAAATAAAGTGGCCTAGTGATTAGAAAGGAGGTCTCTGTGAAGTTAACTTATGATCTACTTTTTCCTTTTTTTGTGCTGGGCTAGAGAGGAAGATCCTAGCTGGAAATTGTGGAATTTGTAGTTTCGATAAATCTGGAGATCACCTGATTGTGGAAACTTAGATTAAAACAATAGTTGTCACTCAAACTGACGGATAATATTATGATCAGGACTCTTCCGTCACATGAAGGGTGCTGACAGCTTAACATGTGAATCTGAGGCTGTCCATATGTGGTTAGACTCTTAACGCCCAGCTTTAACCAGCATGTTGGGAGTTGTACCTTAGTAATATCTGGAAAAGCAGAAGTTCTGCCACATCTGAAATTTCAGATGTGAGATTAAAGAAAAGGGACTTTCCATCATATGCAGGAAAGTGTCCTCAAAGGAGGCAGGAGAAATAAAAATGCAGAGATTCCAAATAAAAATAAAATATATATATTGCAGTGCTTCTCAATCTTGGCAGCTGGAAAATGGATGGGCTTCAACTCCCAGAATTCCCCAGCCAGCTAGTCTTCAGCTAGGCTGGCTAGGAAATTCTGGGAGTTGAAATCCTTTCGTCTTCCAGCTGCCAAGGTTGAGAATCACTGATATACTGAATAACCAGTAGTTGGTAGTAAAAGCACACCCTGCCTTAACAAAGATTTTAGAAATTGGGATGTCTCAAACACTTGAAAAGAAATGAAATTAAACAGGTTAGAAGAGAAAAACTTTAGACAAAACTTGAGAGAACTCTTTGGTTCTTTAAAAGAATAAGGGAGGGTTAAACTGAATTTTAGGCTTGCAGTTGGCCAGAAAACAAATTGCTGGATTAGGATGCTAATAGCCCCAACTGAGAGTCCCCTCTTAATTGAAAATCCCTCTAGCACGTGTCCAGTTTCAAGATAAAACAATGACCTTGAAATTACCCATCCATATTAAGCAGCTGAGTAGCTAAGCAGAAACATATGGTTCCAAACTCAACTGAGACCGATTACATTTTTACTTAAATTATTGTACAAGCCAATTTGGAAGTCCAAATTTAAACAAGTATACATTTTGTCCTCTTTCAGTTTAGTCCTTCATCTTTTTTAATGATAGGTAAGAGTTTTCCTTAGGTTTAATGTAGATTTCTCCCACTTTTGATAGAGGTATGCAATTTCAGATTCCATTGGGTTAGAATTCTGGGAGTTGAAGTCCATACAGTTTAAAATTGCCAAGGATAAGAAAGACTACAGTAGCATGACAAAATAAATAAGAGTTGATCTTGACTCAAAAGAGGTGTTGCAACTTTTAATAGCATGTAAATAAATGTGAACTTTATATTATGTTGCTACTGTAAGGTACCTTTAGAGCAGGGGTGTCGAACTCAATGCCTGTAGGCCGGATCTAGCCATAGGGTGCTTAGATCTGGCCTGTGGGGCCGCTCTGGAAACATTGAAGGACTGGCCCGTGGTACCTCTGTCAGCGAAAATGGAACTTGGAGCTGGCGCCTGCAGTCCTCCCAGGTTCCATTTTATGACGACCTCCTGCAGCCCTCTACCAGCAAAAATGGAGCATCCCTCCCACCCAAGCTCCGTTTTCACTGGCAGAGGGCTAGCAAAACAAACTAAAAGCAAAACAAAAAGAGAAATGTTTCCCTTTTTGCATTTGAGCATCGAAGAAGAGACAGGAAAGGAGGAATGGAAAGAAGAAAGACAAAGACAAAGAAGGGAAGATAGGAAGAGAGCAAGGAAGGAAAAAGAAGGAAAGAGGGGAAGGAAGAAGAAAAGAGAAGGAAGGAAGGAAGGAAGGAAGGAAGGAAGGAAGGAAGGAAGGAAGGAAAGAAAGTCCTGTCTTAGCACTTGGCCACCAGCAGCCCTGCTGCCCTTTCACCATCCCCTTGTCTCCTCCTCCTGACCTCTCCTGGTGGTCTCCCATCCTATCGCTGAGGATGCTTTGGTTACAAAGCCAGGTCTACTTGTATTGAGAGGGAGTGGGCTTCCCTCTGACCCACATACTTTGCCCTCCCGCAAACACCATGAGCAACTTGGCCAAGGAGAATGAGAACAGCAGGAGCAGCATCGAGGAGGAGGTAAGCGCCTCTGGGCACCCCCTCTGGGAAGCGGGGCTGGGTTGGGCTGGGCTGTGGGGTCCTGGTGCCCTGGAGTTCGAGGGCTGGGTGCTTGCTCTCCACTGCCTAGAGGTCTGGACAGTCTGCACCACTATCCGGGGGTCCTCTGAGTGGCCTGAGAGGGACAACGAAGCTCTTCTAAAGAACAAGGGTTTGGTGCTCTCCCTGGTCTCACCTTCCCCCACTGGAGACAATGGATCCCCCCCAGCCCCACCTGGACCACTACAGGCACCCCAACACTAGTGATGTCGAACTGGCCATACCCACCCGGCCCCCCGAAATCAAACACAACCCTGATGCGGCCCTCAATGAAATAGAGTTTGACACCCCTGCTTTAGAGAATATTGAAAATCCTCATTATCCCATTTAGGATAGGTCTGGAGTCTCTTGGATATCAGCAATACATTATTTTACTGGAGATTAGAAATAGAAAGAAAAATAGTACTGGTGGTGGTTGTTTTTTTTTTAATTTAGTGAAATTTGTGCACTTTTCCATGCATCCATCCATCCATCAGATAAATTAGGAAAAGAAGCTCTGTAGTAACAATTAACAGAAATCCATTGTAGTATCAACTCTGGAAAAAAATGGTTAAATATATTTTTTTCTTTAACCTAAATAAAAACAAAGAAGCTATGAAACAAATACATAGGATACCCAAAGACTAGTTCGCAAATACTGTAGTGTTTCTGCTGAATAGAAGCTAGAATATCAGGATTAGCTGGAGATTTAGTGTGATTTGCAAATGCTATGCAGAATTTTCATGCTGTTTTGATACATCCAGAAATGTCTTAAAATGAAAAAAACCAAAACATTTCTTTATAAAATAATAATTAAAAAGAAAAGAATTAAACCCAGAAATTTCTACCCCTAAAGGCATTCGAGGAAAACCAGGAACAGAGCTTGATTTTTACCATGATCATACTTCGCAAGGCTTGTCCTCATTTGCACGATAGAACTGCCTGTCATATCTGGTTCATATTAGGGATCTAATCAGAAGCATTAGATCCAACTATATTTGAAATCTACTCACTATTGTACTAAAACATGAGTAGGAAATAATTTCCCCTCTCAAAAATTGCAGGAGGAAAGCAAAGATGCACAACAATTGACTAATTTATTATGTAATTATATTAGTTATTTGTAAGGTAGGTGCTATTTGTTGGAAAACAAGTTGAGGACAAATTCTCCTTGAGAATTCCTATGTGGTCACTAAGATTGACACTGATTTGATGGCACGTAATCAAATCAATCAAGTCTTATTGTTAGGTGAGGGACAAGAGAAGCGGTTGCCAAGCATTCAAATTTTGATCATGTGTCTATGGGGATGCTTTGAGAGTCACAAGTGTGAAGATCCGACATAAATCATTTTTTCAGTACCGTAGTAACTTTGAACAATCTCTAAATGAATACGTGTAAGTTGAAGACTTTGTTTCAGTAGTGGGATTCAGCCAGTTCGCACCACTTTGGGAGAACCGGTTGTTATCTTTCTGAGCAGTTTGGCGAACTGGTTGTTGGAAGAAATCATTAGGGCAGAGAACCGGTTGTTAAATTATTTGAATCCCACCACTGCTTTGTTTATTGCTATTTGCTTAAACAATGATGCTGGGTAGCCATTAGCCTTCATATTGACAATGAATGGGAAATCTTTTGTAGACTGGATATTGCACCTGACATTTGAACACAGGCAGACTAGGGATGTAAAGTCAGTGGGGTCATGACACATATATCGGGGTGTGTGTCCAGAACTGATGTGGGGTCTTTTTGGTTTGGGAAATGAATATTTGAAATGGGGGGGGAGGCTTTGTTCAGAATGCAGTTAACCCTCTTTTAGGTTTTGCTACAGCAGTAACAAGCAGCTATAGCTGGCCTTTGCTCAATATGAAAAAAAAAAAACCTATGTAGGATCAGACGAAGTTAGTATTTATAGGGTGAATCACTAAAAAAATCCCAAAATGGCTTAGGACCTGGGTACTTGCGGGACCGCCTACTACCACCAATAGCCTCCCACCGGCCGGTACGCTCCCATAGAGAGGGGCTCCTCCGGGTGCCGTCAGCCAAACAATGCCAACTGGTGGCCCCCAGGGGGAGAGCCTTCTCTGTGGGGGCACCTACTATCTGGAACGAGCTCCCCCCAGAGATACGGAGGATCCTGGATCTGCGCACCTTCCGCCGCGCTTTAAAGACCTTACTATTTCACCAGGCCAGCCTGGCCTAATTTTCCCCCTCTTTTATAAAAGATTTTTAATTTTTAAATATCTTTTAGTATTTTATACATTCAATTTTAAATTGGTTTTAAAAGTTTGGGGTTTTAAATTTGTCGGGGCCAAAATTATTTAATTTGATTTTATTCTACTTTTAAATTTTGTATGTATGTGTTTTATTGTTTGGCTGTGCACCACCCTGAGTCCTTCCGGAGTAGGGCGGTATAGAAATCAAATAAATAAATAAATAAATAAATAAATAAATAAATAAATAAATAAATAAATAAATAAATAAATAAATAAAATAAGACAATACCATTTTTGCATTGTTGCCAAGAGAAGTTCACAGACACATTCATGAAGATGTGTTCACTTCAAGGGAGACTTTTAAAGTTTAATTTTAAATGTTAGGGTTTACAATACTTGTCCTGTGAGTTTCCTACCTCAAAAAGCCAGTCAGTGTAAAACAACTTTTTTTTGGTAGTTGTAGTCCGATCTTTGGAAGTCGCAATCAAATCTGGTAGCTTCATGTAGTGCTAGGGGCCTTAAGATACCTATAACTGCATAAGTAGTCTTATCTATGGCTTAGCCACTATGACAGGGTTCACACAACATACTAGAGCAAAACAGTCATCTTATGGCTTAATGCAGTGTGTGAAGCCAACCTACAACTAACCCTGGAATGGAAGGAAACTAAAGAAACTCACCTGCATTTTCTCTCAGGGAATAAGAAAGATATGGGGTGCTGCTTGGGTATGACAACTACCATGTTTCCCCAAAAATAAGACCCAACTGGAAAATAAACCCTAGCATGATTTTTCAGGGTACCCATAATATAAACGCTAACCCAAAAATAAGCCCCAGTTAAGATTGTCAGCCAGATGGACGCATTTAGTACCGTATTTCTCCAAAAATAAGACTTAAGCAGAAAATCTGTCTTTTTTGTAGAAAATTAATATAAGACCATGTCTTATTTTCAGGGAAACATGATAAGTGTTAGAAATTCTGTTTATATAAAGCACCACAGAGCAAACAAAGAGTACAGTCACCATTTGCTTTACTGCTCAACTATTTAACTGTAACAGGAAACAGGAAACTCTACTTAGCACAAAAGAGCATCGAGCATATACCATAGATCCGAACTTGTAAATACTGCTATCTACTGGTTGAATACTACTGTAGGTGTTGCATAGAAATACATTCCAACAATACATTTTAATACTAAGCAATATAGGTAGTCCTTGTTTAGTGATCATTGAAAGCAACAATGACACTGAAGAAGTAACTTATGACTGGTTCTCACACTTTTATAACTTTTCACCATCACAGCATTCCCATGGTCATGTGATCAAAATTTGGGTGCTTGACAACTGGCATGTATTTACTATGGTTGTTTGTCGCTAGTTGCAATTTCCCCAGGTGGCTTCTGACAAGCAAAGTCAATGGGAGAAGCTGCACTTGCATAACAACAGCAGTGATTTGTTAACAACTGTGGCAAAAAAAAGGCTGTAAAATTGGGTGTGACTCACTTAACAACCATCTTGTTTAATAACAGAAATTCTGATGCCAATTGTGGTCGTAAATCAAGGACTACTTAAACTTGGAATTGGAGCACTTTCAGGGTTATCATCCAATGAATCTGTCTCTTTTTTTGGGTGGGGGGAGCATTCCCTTTTGGGAAACAAGCACCATGGATTTGCCCAAGATGGATGGCATTAAGCATGGGATGTATCTGACTCACCGATTCAAGATTCCCCCTCCTGTTCTAAAATAATAAGGATCAAATATTTCTGAGATCTATGATTCAAGGATGTTGTAGATGTACAGTGAGGCAGCAATCTAGATCTGCCAGCCAGTTCCTGGTAAGATATATGAACAATGTGGAGGATACCAGTTCAATATACTTTCCTATATGTTGAAGAGATAACTTATCCAGTTGATAACACAACCCAATTCTTCCAGAATAACCCCATTTGCATCCACCAGTTCTGGCTCATCTTCCTCCCTAAAAATCAGATACAATTGACACAAAACAAGAGATTGACTAGTTTAGCTCCTCCCAGGGGGTTATGAGAAGATACCTGGTGTCTTACGAACTATCAACCTGGTGCCGGAGCACACCAGTCTATGACTTACTCAGCACTGATTAAGGATACTAGGTAGCTACAATTAATTCATCTGCCCAGCCCTGTTGCTGCCTACAGGTGGGTGATGCCCAAGTATCAGTGTTAATTAAAAAATCTCTCACTACATGTGTAAGGATTTATCTCTCTCCCTTTATGGCTAATATTGTCTCATGTGGGTAGGTGAGAGAGAGTTGAGGAATGTTGGATGAAAAATGCCAAGCTAACTCTACAGAGTTCTGAACACAGTAATGCCAGATGGACAAGAAATGTATGACTCTAATTCAATGATTTAAAACCCCAATCCAAGGAAATAATCAACCCTAGAGTTTGATTTTCCCATTTTACTTTTGAAATATTCTTTAACATCTTTAACAACTGTCCAAACAGCATACACTAGAAGAAAACAAACCTTGCTTGAATCTACTTCATCCTAAACCAGAATCCTGTTTCATTTTTCATAGCTCAGCAGGTAGTGTGAATCTGATCAATTATGGGTTTTTTAAATAAATCCTGTCCTGTAGGACCATTAGACCAAATAAAATAATTTCAATTTGTAGATTGTGTGCCCTCAATCAGGTCCGTACACCTTTCACCATCCAGAGAACTGAATTTCATGAGGGGAGAGGTTGCAAATAATCCAGTTTAAAGTGAGGAAGAATGCTAAGGGGTAAAAGGGTTACCTTAAATCCCACCCCTTCCATGAGGAAAGAATCCATATCTTTGGTTGTATCTAATCTTGGGGGCTCTGGGAAACCATGTGAACCTACTGGGATTTATAGTTTTCATTTCTGTCCTAGATTTTTGTCAATCATCAGGCCTATTGACTTATTATAATGGTGGTGATATTCTTGATAGCAAGAATATCATACCCTCCATTACTTTTAACTCCCCGCCCCTTCTATCTGCTTTCTATTCCCTTGCAGGATCCCTCTGCAGAAATTTCCATCTGTCCGAAACCGGTTTGGCCAATCAGGGCTTCCCATCGCTGAAGTATTAAGGCGAGGTGGACTAAGAACTGGAAAACCACCAGCTACAACTTCTGTCACTCGTCTCCACAACTACATGGACGTATGTTTTCTTAATAGAGGGCATAAGCTTATGATTACATTTCAGAGTGTTGCAGTGGTAAATGAAGGGCCTCTGTACCCAAGTATAATGATGCCAAAATACCAAAACCTGGGGGTCAAATCATTGGATAAATTTGAGGAGATTCAAGCCCATCCTCAACTATGGAAAATTAATCTCTTTCAGCCCAACCTACTCTATTGTTGTGGGATAAATTGAAGAAAGACCCTATGTAAACTACCATGAGCTTTTTGAAAGAAAAGCAAGTTACAAATCCACCAAATAAATTAATGGGTCTGAGAGGGAAGGAATCTTAGCTGCTGGATAGAGTCTCAAGAACTGTGTCTTTGTTCAAGTCATAGAGATAACCCACAGTGATCTGATTTGGTTAGTTGTATTGTGGGAATTCAGTCACTGTAGTTAGTGAATGGCTTGGCTTCTTCTTGCTCCTTATAATACTCAACAGATGACACTTCAACGAATAGTAATGTTGTGAGATGTACTGTATAAACCAGCTAACTAACCAAATGTAAGTGTTGTTGGGTTAAACAAAGGAACCTTACAGATAATTCTCAACTTACAATTTCAATTGGGACTAGAAATCCAATCATAAGTTATTACACTCATAACAGGGGTGAAATCCAGCAGGTTCTGACAGGTAGCAGAAATTTTGAGCAGTTCGGAGAACCGGCAAATACCACCTCTGGCTGGCCCCAGAGTGGGATGGGAATGGAGATTTTGCAGTATCCTTCCCCTGCCAGGCCCACCAAGCCACGCCCACCAAGCCACACCATGCCCACCAAGCCACACCCACAGAACCGGTAATAAAAAATATGGATTTCACCACTGATTCATAAGTCAAGGTACCCATATTTATTTTTTCATTTTTTTCATTTTATTAAATTTGTATACCGCCCTACTCCTGAAGGACTCAGGGTGGTGAACAGGCACAAAATAAAACACATAAATACAAAAGTTAAAAAACATAATTAAAACCAAATTAAATAATTTTGCCTGAGACAATTAAAATTCCCAATAATTTAAAACAAATTAAAATTTCACTTTAAAATTTAAAAGAAGGGGAGAAAATTAGGCCAGGCTGGCCTGCTGGAATAGGAGTGTCTTCAAAGCATGGCAGAAGGTGCGCAGATCCGGGATCCTCCGTATCTCCAGGGGGAGCTCGTTCCAGATAGTAGGTGCCCCCACAGAGAAGGCCCTCCCCCTAGGGGCCGCCAGTCGACATTGTTTGGCTGACGGCACCTGAAGGAGCCCCTCTCTATGAGAGCGTACCAGCCGGTGGGAGGCTGTTTGTGGTAGTAGGGGGTCCCGTAAGTAGCCAGGTCCTAAGCCATGGAGCGCTCTAAAGGTGGTAACCAAAACCTTGAAGCGCACCCGGAAGACCGGGAGCCAGTGCAGCTCGCGCAGGAGAGGTGTCACACGGGAGCACTATGTTGCTCCCATAACCACCCGTGCAGCTGCACTCTGCGCCAGTTGGAGCCTCCGGGTGCTCCTCAAGGGGAGCCCCATGTAGAGAGCGTTACAATGGTCCAGGCAGGAGGTGACGAGGGCATGAGTTACTATGTGTAGGGAGTCCCGATCCAGAAAGGGACGCAACTGGCGAATCAGGCGAACCTGATGAAAGATCCTCCTGGTCACGGCCGTCAAGTGCTCTTCTAAAGACAGCCATGAATCCAGGAGGACGCCCAAGTTGCGAGCCCTCTCCGTGGGGGCCAGCGATTCGCTCCCAATAGTCAGCGATGGTGTCAACTGACTATATCGGGACGTCGGAAACCACAGCCACTCGGTCTTGATGGGTTGAGTCTTGGATGGTATGACCTGACCCATTGTTTTTATAGTGATCCTCAAACAAATCACCATAGTTAAGTGAAGTTAAGTAAAGTGAACCCCAGCAAAAATGTTGCAAACATGGTCATGTGATGACCATGGGGTGCTGCGATTGGTCATAAAGGTGAACCAGTTGTTAAGCACTCAAAATGCAGGACCACGGTGAAGAGGAGGTATTTTACAATGGCCGGAAGTTATTTACTGCCATAAAGTATCCAATCCAAACCCTAACCCTAACCCTCACTCTTAATGACCACATAGCTAGAACTTCTCTAGGATGATCTGTCCCAACATGGTCCTTCAGGTCTCCCAATGGTGCACCTAGTGCCGTTGTAACTGAGTCCATCCTCCTTGCTCTTGATCACACTTTTTCTTTTTTCTTCCATTTTTGGTGGAAGGCTTCCCGTGAGAACTAAGCCTTTGCATAATGTGTCCAAAATATGATAACTTGAGCCCGATCATTTGTGCCTTGGGTGAAAACTTTATTTTCTTTGTTTTCTTGTTGTTTATGGTATTCTGAGGTGTCTTCTCCAACACCAAAGCTCAAAATAATCAAGAATCTTTTTATCCTGCATCTTCAAAGTCTAACTTTAATTTCCATAGCATGTCACAGAGAAAATCATTGCAAGCACAATTCTGATCTTTGTAGATATAGACACATCCCAGCCTACAGTATGAATATATTTTTCTGACCTTCATTGCTATCCTAACAAAATGCCAGCCTGTGAAATATTTCTTGAGTGTTACTTTTCTATTGCTTGCTCACTGGTGAAAAGCAGAAACCATCTGCCATATCAATAGCAGCATTGTTCATAACGGTCATAAAATGGGGCAAAATTCACAATAAATGTTTCACTTAGCAACATAAATTTTGGGCTCAATTGTGGTTCTAAGTTGAAGACTACCTGTATACACTTATGTTCTTCCAATATATGTTCTTCACTAAATATATGTTCATTATACAGTAAATCCAGTTCCCTTTGCTATGTTCTTTACAGACTGTGGCTTCCAGTCCTGTATATAAATTTTGAATAAGACCAGTAAATTGTTCTACAATTTCTAGTTTTCTCAGGAAATACCACAGTTGAACATGACACAATCAATCATGACACAATCAAAAGATCTTTCTATAATCAATTAAGCACAAACTGACTTTTTAAAATCCTTTCGCTTTCTTAATTTTCTAGTGAGCATCACCAATAATCTTTCTTGGTCCTCGGATTGTTGTAAAGCTAAACTAATGTCCGTGCAGGGCTCTAATCTGAATGATCTGGATGATCCTAAGTATTATTTTGCTAGTATGTGCAATCAAGGATACTGTACAATAGTTTGCATGCCCTCTTAGATCTTCTTTCTTTGATATAGGTAATAGATTAATCTTTTCCACTCTCTTTACCATTTTCTCTTTCTCCAGATTTGCTTGCATATTTTGGTTAGAACCTTTACAGATTCTTCTCCTCTTCAAAGTGTTGATTTAATTGCATATTTTAGTACTAGAGATTCTTGGAAATACCTTGAAAAATTTATTCGTTGTTGAGATCCCTAAATTCCTCTCATCTTTCTTTGATCTTCTTTGAATCAGTTACTGTATGTACATTGACATTCTTTACCATATTAATTTAAACCTCCTTCTGAGTTTGGAAAGATTTTGAAAGACTTTCCTTGGGTTTCTATGTCAGTTTCTCTCTTCAATGCCTTTGCAGATATACAGGTAGTCCTCGAGTTATGAATGTGTTGGAGCCTGCCCATTCCATTCATACCTCGAGGATCCGTGGGAGTGAATCTCATACTTTGAACGAGATCACTCCCTGCTTTCACCCACGCATTCGCTAATTTAATGCATGGGCGAGTGCATGGTTCGTTAAGTGCACATGAGGTATCTCAGAATGGGGATGGCCATGGGGGGAGGGGGGCTAATGATGGAACAGGCCCAAGGCCTCCCCACCCACTAAGATACCTCATGCTTCCCCCTCCCTGCCGCACCGGACTTACTTACCTTGCAAAGATCTGTCTCTTCTCTGCCACGGTTTCATTCTCTTTGAGGAAGATGAGAGCTCCTAGGCACAAAAAGTATTTGTGGTACCTGTCTCCTTCTCCTCTCCACTCCTCTCCCCTCCTTCAACTCCTTTTTGCCACCACTGGGACAATTTTTGCCCAAATGGGGCCTTTGAAAACAGAGGGATTCGCTCCATTTTGAAATGCCCCATAAGCATCTATGAGACCTTTGAAAATGGAGGGATTTGCTCCATTTTCAAAGGCCTCATAGAGGCCTTGGGGCCATTTCAAAATGGAGTCAATCCCTCCATTTTCAAAGGCCCCATTTACAAGCAGATGAAGCTTCCAGTCTCCATCCGATCTCTGTCTGGGTAAAAGTGTCCCAGTGGCAGAAAAGAGTTGGGGGGGGAGCAGGAGACAGGCACCGCAAACTCTTTTCATGCTGAGAATGAAAGTTTCTGGGGTCCATGATCTCATGAGAGTTCAGGCACCCATTCTCTGCAAAAGAGGACGGGTGCCTGAATTCATGCAGTATTACAGCATCCAGGAGCTTCCATCAACTCTCATCTCCCTCAAAAGCAAAAAAACCTGTGACAAAGAGGAGACAGATCTTGTAGGGTAAATTAGTCGGGCGCTGCAGGATGGGAGGGGGAAGAAGTTGTGGGGAGCGGGGACTGGGGGAATAGGGAGAATGTTGGAGACCCCTGCAGTCATTTGTAAGGGTGAATAACTGTTGTGGTGCTGCAACATTCATAATTTTGGGACTTGCTTGTAAACACTAGGGGGCGCTTATCTCATAACTTTGAATGGGCGCTAAATGAACGCTCCTAATCTGGGGATTAGTTGTAATGACAAATACTGTTTCTTGTCTCTTTAACAGTTTTCTGAATATCTTTGTTATGTTCTTTCCTAAAATATTTATCTTTCTTGGCTTTGCTTCTTGGTAATTTTCATCCTTTGTTCTGAAATCCAATAGTTTTCTTCTGTTTCTTCATCTTTGGCAATCTCTTTTTATATAATCCTTTTTTAAATTTATTCCACAGTTTCTCTAGCTATTTTATCAATGAGTTCAGGATTATGGAAAGTGGCTGGCTTTGTTTTTCTAATTTGTTTGGTTTGGAATCTGCACAATATTGGTTGGTTGAAGACTGGGCTAGCAATGAAGATATTATAGGATTGTCAGACAGAGATTAGTCACTTTCCTGCTTAATTTTTCTTTCCTGAATTATACAAACCAACTGTGGTTTTTTCCTACCCTCTGCAGCTTCCAACCCCAGTCAGCACATCTAGCTTGCATGTTCTATAAATTTCAAATTAAACTTAACCATAAAACTTTTCTTCTTTTTCTGCATCAGTGATTGGAGCATGAATTTATATAATAATCATAATATTAAACTGTTGTCCATGATGTCGTATTAAATTTACCTGGTTATTGATTGTATTGTTCCCAAGTACAGGTAGTCCTCAACTTACAACCAGTCACTTAATGATCATTCGAAACTCTGACAAACCTGTTTGGGGTTACTTATAATCTAGATTTGAGATTTCAACAGTCAAGACTGCCTGTACTATTCCTTTCTATAAAAGCAAGGGCATTCCTTCTTTGCTTTTCATGTCCTGAATAATTAAAAATATGATCTTCTGATTCTTCAATCCATTTCAATTTACTGATGCCTAATATGTTATTTATATGCAGTTTATTTCTTATCTCTGTATCAAAGTTTTCTATGTTCATGATTCTTGCATTCTGTATTCCCATTGTCAATTCTTCTTTGCAGCTTCAGATCTTCTTTTCCTGCATGACATCATCAGAAACTAAACACCTGGAAGGCAACTTCCAATCTAACCCCATCATAAACATCATTAGTGTTCAGAAATATCCTCCTTAGTATATCAGGTACCATTTGACCTGGGTGCTCATCATTCATTGATGACTATGTCATCAATCACTTCTATCTTATTTATCCATGTAGTTTTTCCTAGTAAAATGCAGAAGTGGCTGACACCTGCCTTCTCTAACAAAGCTTAAAATGATGCCCTTCCTGTTGTGGTTAAGGTGATCACCCATCTCCAGCATCTTCCTGTATTGCTGCTGCTGAATTTAGGTGCCTGCTCTCTTTAGTTGAGTAGCTGGAGTGACCTTAGATGACTTTAACGAAAGAATACACTTGGCATACATTCCCTCCAAAGAACATCACTTACCCTGACATAATGAGGTAGGATTCAAGGATATCTACTATTAGAAAGAGGTTCTAGATAACTTTAAAATAACCTTACTATTCCACTCCCCCAATCAAGCAAATTTAGATAAAAACCTTTAACTCACATTTTGATTGCCATCTGAAAAACAAAAGACCAGTATGCTAAAAAATCTGTCAAATAAATGTTGCAGTATGGGAGATTCAGCTGTGTTCTCTTCTCCTCAAGAAGAGAATTATGTATTTATTTCTTCTCCTTCTCATGCTAATGGATTTTTTTTCAGCTGACTTTGTCATGTAATTACTGAGTATGCTTGTTCCTCATTTGCTGTTCTTCTCCTTTTCCTCTTCTTTAAGATTAATGTTTCTGAAGTGCTTGAATTCTTCTGCAAATGTCAGTTTTTCTGTGTCTAGTGCTATATTTCTGTTTTGCCTTTGGCGATTGCCATATTGGATACAAAAAGATTGGCACTCAGAATGAGTTTGTTATTGGTGTATTTACTTAATTTACAATTACATTTTTTTTCTCTAGACCAGTGTTTCTCACCCTTGATAATTTTAAGATGTGTGAACTTCATCTTCCAGAATACTCTACCTAGCCCATGTAGAATTCCCCACCTAGCAGTTATGGACTTGAACTCCCAGAATGCCCCACCTAGCACATGTGGACTTGAACTCCCAGAATAAGCTACCTAGGCCATGTGGAATTCCCCACCTAGCAGTTATGGACTTGAACTCCCAGAATGCCCCACCTAGCACATGTGGACTTGAATGCCTCAACTAGTACATGCAGACTTCTTCCAGGAGTTGAAGTACACACATCTTAAAGTTGCCATGGTTGAATGATGCTGCATTAGACAATCAAGGTAGCCTATATGGCAATAGGGGTAGGGGTAGGGAACCTTTGTGAGATAGGTTGGGCTAGAAGAGAATGTCTATTCCAACAACACTCAATGATCTGAACTTAGATCCCACAATTCTGTTTCAGCATCAAATTAATCCTCTCTATTTAAGAATGATAAACAAATAAATAAGGACAATAACTAGATAAAATAATGTCATAGATAAAGACATTGGTTCAAGTCATTATAAAATGCTGACCCTTTTGTTTTCTTCTTCTTTTCTTGCTATATACCAGGCCCAATACTATGGGCAAATCTGTCTTGGAACCCCCAAACAATGCTTCAACGTCGTCTTTGATACTGGCTCATCCAACCTGTGGGTGCCTTCTTCCAAATGTTGCCTGATACATTTGGCATGCTGTAAGAACATCATACCCTCAACTGATTCTTGAGACTAGAGTGGAAGTGCATGGGGAAGAGTTGCTCAAGAGAAATGTGCATGCTAATGCACCCAAAATGTTATGCAGGCTTTTCTTAAAATTACAAACTGATGTGGCAGTAGGATGAACCAGATGAGAAAATTATAAATATAACCATCGTTACAGTAATCCGTTCCTCTCTTAGAGAAGTAGGAGGATTACTTGGTCAGCCAAATTCTCTCCAGTTGTCAACTTAGTGGTAAAAGAACAGTTTTATCATGGGAGACTTTGGCCTGGTTCACAGGCAACATCAAACCAAAGAAGCCACAGTAATGTATGAATCCAACACAGGGAAGATTTGGAAGGGCAGAATGCCTTTCTCTCCTGGAAAGATAGTTCACTTTGAAATCAGAACAAAACCATTCATGATTTGATCATGGATGGATCCTAGCTGGTGTCAAAACTGAGACCCAAGAAATAATGCTAGTGTCATTGTATGGGTTCCATTTCTCCCATCAGGGTTTTCCCTGGTGGGACAGATAAGGTTAGGTATGGGTGGTCTTTGTTGTGGCCCATAACAATTACAGCCTTCATCAAGATGCCTATGAAAAAAAATAATTATATTGAATATATAAGGATAGTGAGTAGTCTCAGTGACTCTTTGGGACTTGCTTGTCTCTTATAACCTAGGAATTCATAGCAGCCATGAAAACTGCAGGCTTTTCTGAGGAGTGTTAGGACTGTAAAGCATATTGCTGATCACATGCTAGGTTTGGTCTTATGCTCTAATTAGGGGAATGTTGTGTGCAATTGAAATCTTTTGCATCCAAGCTGATGGAGTTATTTGGGGGTGGGGGGGGATGGTGATCATATTACAACTACCTGTAGTATTCTTTTGGTGTGCCAGTATAATATAGATCCGTGATGGCGAATCACAGGTGGCACGCAGAGCCATATCGGTGGGCACGCGAGCTCAGCTCTGGCGTACATGCACGCGCTGGCCAGCTGATTTTCGGGCCTTTTGGGCCTACTGGAAGTCAGGAAAAAGGCTGTTTCCGGCCTCCGGAGGGCCTCTGGGGAGGTGGGGAAGGCCGTTTTCGCCCTCTCCAGCCTCCTAGAAAGGCTCTGGAGCCTGGGGAGAGCAAAAAACGGCCTACCTTGCCATCACATGCCAAAAGTGGGGAGAATGTGGGAGGGGGGGTCGCATGCGTGGGGGGCAGGGGGCATAGAATTATGGGTGTGGGCACGTGTGCAAGTGACTCCCCCTGCACTCCCCCCACTTTTGGCACGCAATGGCAAAAAGGTTAGCCATCACTGGTATAGATCATGGGTGAAAAAACTTGCAACATCACGTTGCTATCATGTGATGTATCATGACTTTTTTCCCTTCACAGAGTTGGGGTGGGCATGGCCTGCATGTGACACATCCTGCCCGCAGGCCACCAGTTTGACACCCCTGCTATAGACTATATGTTGGGAAATATCAGTGGTATAAGCCATAAAGTAGATTAGCATGGAGAGAAGGGAAGGGAAGCCCTAGCCCAGTCTGTTCTCTGTACACAATTAACGGCTTTTTCTCCATCAGGGGTACACAAACATTACCGTTCCCTGTTTTCCTGCACCCACAAGGCCGATAAAAGCAAATTCGAAATTCACTATGGAAGCGGTAGCCTTAAAGGATTCTTAAGCCGGGATGTCCTCAGGGTGAGTATTGGAAGCTGACAGAATCTGGTTCTCAGAAATAAATAGGTTTAATGCAGGAAGGGAGGGATTAAGAAGGAAATACAAGGGCATATTTTTCCTTTCCTGAAGATAAAATTTAGTTTTCTTCTGAATGAGATTTCTATACCATTTATTTCATATTCTCTTTCCAGTGACAAGCCTCAGATCTGTAACATGCAATCTAAGACAGAATGAAATAGTTTCTCTTCAATTCTTAGATAACTTTTAATGAAGGCGTATGAAGCTTGGGAGCAGGACAAAGAAACAGCTTTAAAATATTTGCAGGGTTTTTTTCATTACACTAAATCAATAACATCAGCCTACAAATTCATGCATCCTTAAGATACCAGCTATTGGGAGACACTGGTGTTTGGCCAAAATGTGGACTCCAGCATCATTTTGGGGGACCATAACAAAGTCTGCCATTTTGACTTTTCGACCATCCCCTGTGGATATCCCTGCTAGTTTTCTAAAACACTGAAAACCATAACTCCTGATTGATGAAGGATCAGATTGGTTATACTTAAGTAATAATAATATAATTATCTGTTACGTGATAAAAGGCAGGGATGTCTACCATGTGTGGTGAAAATAAGTCAAAATGGGGGTCATGAAGACTTGACTGAGACTTTTTCCATTTTTATATGCATTGCAGTAAATTTTGACAAGTCATATACTGTACCAAGGTTAACTGACCATACGATGGACATAAAAACCAGGCAGTTTTCATTGTACTTGGGGTTCATAACTTATGCACACCCTTTGATAAATGATACAGAAGACAAAATGCTGTGTATTTTCTTTCTCTTCAGATTGGCAACGTCACCGTTAAGAATCAGACCTTTGCGGAGGCTACCGATTTGCCAGGCTTGGTTTTTGTGGCTGCCAAATTTGACGGTATCATGGGATTGGGTTATCCTTCCATCTCAGTAAACAACATCACCCCACCCTTTGATAACATGATGAAGGCAAAACTTCTGAAAAACAATGTCTTCTCATTCCATCTTTGCAAGTATGCATCTTTCTGCTGTCGACATCACCTCCTCCCTGATATTTATTTATTTATTTATTTATTTATTTATTATTATTTATTTATTTATTTATTTATTTAATTTGTTAACAAGTACAAGGAAACAGTATCAGTACAGATGTAAACATGGACACATGAAAATGGTACAAATAAATGGATATAAATAAGCAAAACATAGCCATAAACACATAAAATGAGTACATATAAATGGTGACAGTAGGACAGGGACGGTAGGCACGCTGGTGCGCTTATGCACACCCCCTTAGGGACCTCTTATGAAACATGTAAGTAGGGTTGCCAGGTGTCCACTATTTGAGCGGACAGTTCGCTTTTTTCACATTATGTTCACTATTTTTTTTCACAAAATAGTGGACATTTTTTTATTCAAAAGCTTTATGATGAAATGGTACGTAATCTAAAGCTGTACAGTCTAAGAGAATAAGGATAGGAGAATCGCGTTTTGTCTTTTTTTTCATAAGTTAAAATGAGACAAAGATCGAATATCCATTGAACTCGATTCTCCGAAAAAATTAATGAGATTAAAATAAATATATATTATAAAATTATGTACAGTTCACATTTTTAAAATGTATTGTAGCTTGTGTTGACTGACCTAAAATGGCATGTTAAAATGTTTGTAAGAAAATATATAATTTAATTGTAAAAAGTTTTTTTATTTTTTTAACTACTTAAACACCCCTCCCCCCACTTGTCCGTTATTTTTTGGAAGCAGACCTGGCTACCCTACGTGTAAGGTCCACGGTAGACAGTTTAAAGTAAAAGGTATGAGGGTTAGAGAAACTAACAACAGGATTAGGTAGAGTATTCCAGACATTTACTACTCTATTGCTGAAGTCGTATTTTCTACAATCAAGATTAGAGCAGATTACATTTAGTTTGAATCCATTGATAGCCCTTGTGTTATTGTGGTTGAAGTTAAAGTGGTCATCAACAGGTAGGACATTTACAGTAGATAATCTTCTGTACTAAGATTAGGCCGTAACATAGACAGCGTAGTTCAAAGTTATCCAGGCCTAAAATTTCATGCCTGGTGGTATAAGGAATTTTATTGTGAGCAGAGGACTTGAGTACTCTTCTTGTAAAATATTGTCCAAAGCAGAAGATTTCCCAAGCCCCATCCCCTGGGTTTCATTTTTTATGAGAGTTTGGGGATTGGCATCAACAATTGGCATCCAACCTATATAGCCTTGTGCTATAGTGACAGGGCTGTCAAACTTCCGGCCCATGGGCCAGATGCGTCACACACTGGCCATGCCCACTCCCATTACAGCCTTCCAGATGTATCACTCCTACCCAGGAGGATAGTTTGTTTTGTAATTGGTTTAATAGTCTACTTCCAACTGACTCACCAAGAGCAATTCAGGATTTCAAAATATCTCATAGTACACAATTATCAGCTGTTGAATACAATGTGAGCATTACCATATTATATAGAGTAGCAGACAACATCTTTTACATACAAGTGGGATGTGGAACATCTCCATTCATTCTTAATTGTCTCTCTTCCAATGTTGGGCCATTCCTTTTGTCTCTTAGCTTCGCCTTATGACGTCTTCTGCCATTGAGACCCTCCTTTTTGCAGTTATTTCAAACTATTTCAGTTGCCAGTTAAACCCCCTACTCCCAGTATGTGGCTGTATGTGGATGTGAGAAAGGTAGTCCTTGACTTATGACAGTAATGGAACCTGCGCATTACAATTGTATGTCATGACTGTTGTAAAACAGTCCATCACGTAACCAGGCCCATTTTTAAAATCTTTTTTTTTTTTTTGCAGGAATCCTTAAGCTAATTAGGTAAAGCAAATGCTGTGATCATAAAGCAAAGACCTCAATTATAAAGCAAACCCATTCTTCACTATGGGCCATTTTTGCAGAAAACTGGAAGCCAGTTTTCAGCAAAAACATTGTAAACGGTCATGTTACATATGGCCATAAATGCCGGCAGATTGCCGAGCACCTGACATGTGGTCATGTGGCTATGGGGAGGGGAAAGGCCCAGCTATTGGAACTATTGGAGCCAGGTTGTAATTACCTTTTGGGGTGGGGGGAGAGAATCTGTCATATAACTTTGAACAATCATTAAGCAATTGACCATTAGTTGAGGACTATCTGTAGTGGGAATTGTAGTCCAGGCAAGAAAATATTGTTACCAACCTTCCAGTAGCCACTCTCTCAGCCATCAACCCTGGAGGACTACTCCCCATATTTCTTGGCCTGAGTCCTCTCTCCAACTGGCCAGTCAGGTTGGTTTCTTTTTCTGATCCACCTCCCTGGTAGTGGATCCACAACAGGAACACATTCTTGTGCTTTCCCAGGGTATCCAGGGACAGGGGTCAAAAATGCCAAGATGGAGGCTGCCAGTCTGTAGCCAAAGCTCCCCCCATTTTATTACCTGTTGCTTGTGCAATGCAAATTAAAAGAACAAGGCTTTATTGTGAGGTCCTAGCTACCCTTTTGACTTTTTTTGACTGTTCTGGCAGAACTGAGAGTAATCCTTCTGATTACAGGTAGAATTACAACCTTCATTTAGCAACCGTTCAAAACTTCAATGACATTGAAAAAAGGTTTATGGAGATTCTCAGTCATCTAGGTCATAGTTGTCCCAAAGGTGCTTTTTCAAGAGGCAGCTGGACTTTCTGGTTTTTCTTTTTTTGAACAGCTGAAGAAGCTTCTTGGATGAGAAGCGAAACCAGCTGCCTCTTGAAAAAGCATCTTTGGCACTGAAAAAAAGCGCCTTACCATTAGTTCTTCAGTTTACAACCATTGCAGCAGCTGGCATGTATTTATAACAGTTGCAGCATCCCAGGCTCAGTTTGTGACCTTTCCAGCTGGTTTCTGACAAGCAAAGGCTACGGGGTACCTGGATTCACTTAATGACTGCATGATTAAGTAAATAACTGAAATAATCATGGCAAAAAAGGTCATAAATTCAGGTGCGATTCATTTAACAACTGTCTTGCTTAGCAATGGAAATTCTGGTCCCAATTGTGGTCATAAGTCAAGGACTATCCATACTTAATTTTTTTTCCCTAGTGTTTTCCCAGAAGTTCAGGATCCATACATTTTTGGCTGAAGCATATATCGATCTTATCTCTGATTCCTTCTTATTGCCTCAGGTTGTTTCACTGCCTAACCACTTCCTTTGCTTTTTCTCTGCCATCTCTTCCAGACTTCATTTCTCCAGCCCAGGTCTTAGATTTGCACACCAGGGTGCCCTCTTTGCCCTCACAACTCCACACTTTTTATATGTTTTTCAAAGTCTACATTTCCAGGTCTTCTTATGACTTTTCCCTCCTGTTGGATTGTCCTTGTAGACTTCACTTTGTCTGCCGAGAACCTCTTTTTCTCCCACTTGGGGTTTTGCTCCTGTTTACCTCCACATCCTCTTTTTTTCACTTCTGGATTCAACTAATTATAAACCCTGAGTGTCAGGGAATTGAGCAACTGGTGTCCAAACTGAGTCAGAGATGTTGTCCTGAACTTGTAGTTTTTATATAAATAAATATAATTTATATTTACAGCAGACAAGATAGTCAGGCACGTCATTACATCATGAGGTAAATCACAGAACAGAATACAGAAGAAAAAGGCAGGAGGGGAAAGGGAAACGCTCTCTTTATACCTAGCAACCAGTCGTAACATAGATTGCCTCATGTAGGAGCCTGCACTCTCCAATCAATCAACTACCACTGTGTGTTCTGAGCCATTATCTATTTTACTGTTCTAGCTATTAAAACACTGGGCAATCACATTCCCAACATCCAGTTATTCCTTTAGCAAATTCCTGCCAGTTTGCAACAACTACACTCATTTCCTCAAACTTTGGTGCCGCTTCCTGGGTTACATTTACTAGGATTAAGTAAACCCATTTATTCAATAAAAATTATATGTCAAAATTATGGGATTGCATTGTAATTAACAGTTAATAATCTATGTAAAAACATCAGGCTTATGTTTTCTGTTTGGCTGCCTGAAGTATAGCTATATTCTCAACAACAACAACAACAACAACAAAAAATTGGGGAACAAGGTAATTTATCAAGACAACTCTCCAACATCCTAATACTTTTTCATATTTGGTTTCTGGGTTCTTGAATATATCAGCCAATTAGTTTAACCATTCTACACTTTTCCAGTTCTGAAAAATTGGCTAGGGATCACTTACAACAGTGTTACTCAACCTTGGCGTATAAGATGCATGGACTTTGACTCCCAGAATTCCTCAGCCAACATGCTAGCTTGGGGATTCTGGGACTCAAAGTACACACATCTTAAAGCTGCCACGGTTAAGAAACAGTGGCTTACAACATTATTCTTGACACATTATAAAAACTCCATTTCCCACAAGTCTTTTTAATGGGTTTAATTGGTTGCCACTAGAAAACACATAGTTTATACTTAAAGAAAAAATTAACAGAAAATATTTTTAAAAATTAATATACCCCCTCTCCATATGATTCTTTTTCTGCTTTTGACCCCCAGATATCACACTGTAATGTAGATAAGAAGCTCTGCCTCTTATCAAGGTTCAATAAGAGCCTTTTGGTAGCACTAAATCAGTGTCTATGAACATTGGTAATTTTAAGATACCTGAACTTCAAATCCCAGAAATCCTCAGCCAGCATGCTCACTGAGGAATTCTGGGACTTGAAGTCCACACATTTTAAAGTTGCTAAGGATTCAGTTTTGGGAGTTGAAGTCCACACATGTTAAAGCTGCCAAGATTGAGAAATGCTGCCCTAGAACTTGAAGTATATGATGTGAAAAAGAAGTAGAGTAAAAAGGGACAGAAGGAAAGAAAACAAACTTCCTGTAGTACAACAAAACCAAGCTTACTCAGAAATAGGAATAGTGACAATTCAACAGGAACCTGTTTCGGCTTGTTATGTGACCTGATCCTGTTTCTTCTCATCATCTCACTTGATGGTATTGATCAAGGGCTGTGTGCAAAATCTGGATTTAATCTCAAAATCTATCAAATAAGAATCAATAGGGTTGTCCTGAATGGCTATGTGCCTATTCTTCTGCCAAAATGACAATATATATATATTTGAATGGAAAAAAAGAGCATTCAAGATAAGAACTAATCTTTGTGAACTCCTGGTTCTTGGTGGCAAAATTAAGCATGCTACCAATCTTTGTTAAATGTTACCTTGATTGAATGGTTTGATCAAATGGTTAGTACTTTTTTTTGCCTGTATTTAAACTTTTATTTTTAAACTAGAATGCAATTTTCTTTGGAATTGCCAAAGAATGCAGGGAGGTGGGATTAATGTTTTCTTTCCCTAATGAAAATGTCTCTCTTCAGCTAATGGGATAATTGACCTTGTGGGGAAAGAAATGGCACTTCCACTGGATTTTTTTCCTCACAATGCTCAGGTGAAGAATGACCTCTTTACCACCATCTAGTGGCTATGTGATGTTGTGCAGTCCAGGTATGGCAGTTCTAACTAGAATATTGATGGGGAAGAACAGTATTTTTCAAACTTAAGTCACTTTAAGACGTATGGTCCCCAGAATTCCTCAGGCAGAATGCTTAAAGTGTCCAAATTAGGAAAAAAAAAACTGGAATAGAGGAATGGAATATTGGAGGTAGGGTGGGTGGCTGGGTAGCCATAATAGAACTATCACAGATACCTAAAGCCTTACTAAGGGTAAACCAAAAACCAGGAAAGGCAATTGCTGGATTGGGTTTTTAATTGTCCAAAATGTTTTGATGTTGTCCTGATTTCTATTCCTATGCCCTAGGCACTAGACACACTTAAAACTGATCCTGGGTGCAGCTTATAATACAATAAGGAAAACAGTTGAGATAAATTAACATGCCCCATGTACCATAATTACTCCTTTCTGCAACCATTAAAATCTCAAGACCTTTAGCCATCTTGGAAGAGTGAACTTTCTTGCAGTAAATTACACTGGGGCTTAAGACAGCTGTTTTAACTTTTACAATGTTTCTCTTAGCACCAACAAGACCTCACAACAAGACAATGGAGGTGAAGTTATTTTCGGAGGCATCAACCACAATGCCTATGTGGGAAAGCTTCACTACATCCCAGTGTCACGCAAAGCCTACTGGCAGATCAAGATGGACAAGTGAGTACACCTTTAGATCCCCCATACTGGATTGCCACACATGTGAGAAATTATGATTTTGTCGACACACACATAAAAAGCTCAGAGGGCATCTGCTTGGAGAAAATGAGAGGCATCCTCAACTTACAATCACCCAGAATTTCCAATGATAAGTAAGACAATGGTTAAGTCATATCCCATTTTATGACCTTCTTTTGCTGATTCAGTTGTTAAGAGAATCACTGCAATTAAGTGAATGACACGCTCAGAACGCTGCAGCCTTCATAAATACATGCTATTTGTCAAGTGCCCAAATTATGATCATGTGACTATGGAGATATTGCAATGGTCATAATTATGAGAACCGGTAATAATCACTTTTGTCAATACCATTGTAACTTCGAACAGTCGCTAATAATTGAATGGTTGTAAGTTGAGGACTATTTGTAAGTACGCAATCACTAGTGCCAGCTGAGTTTAGCTGCTTGCAATGACACCCCTCAACACTAGAGGGCAATGCTGTAGTATTTTAAAAAATGACATTCAGGTCTGCTATCTATTATGCTATTTTCTTCCAGTTTTTTTCCTTTTCTTGTCCTGCGTGATATTCCTGCAAGAGCTTAAAGGCATCAGAAAGAAACAAGCAGTCCCCTCCAGCTTTCTTCTCTGATCACTAAATACAGTTTTCTCCAACCTAGTGTGGACTGCATGGCCAATCTGGGCCGATGGATATTGTAGTCTAATACACCTGGAAAGCTCCAGATTGATAATGACAGCATAGAAAAAGACAGACTAGATAGAGCAGCTTTCCCCAGCATAACTGTCCCTCAGATGTATGGACAGAATTCCATAAACCTTCTATCAGTATAGCCGCTGCCTAGAATTCTGGGTAACATATTTCACCTTCCTGAAGGACACCAAGGTTGGGTGAAAATGTCAAGATGATGTATGAAAGATAAAAATTTTAGCCAGGATTGTACATCTTGCCTTAGCACAAACCCTATTTTGTCTGTAGTAGATGTATAAGAGATTCATTGGGAATTCTGTGTAGAAACCATTATTTATTAGATTTTTATCCCACCTTTATTACATTAAAAGTAACTTAAGGCAACAATATGCATAATGCTTCTTCTTCCTCCTATTTTGTCAACAACAACCCTGTGAGGTGTGTTGGATTGAAAGGGAAAGTCACTGTCTCAGTCACCCTGCCAGTTTTCATGCCTAAGATGAGACTAGAACTCAGTCTCCTGTTTTCTAGCCTGGTGCCTTAACCACTGGATGAAACTGACTCTTTTATAGCCCATATGTAGAAAAGACAGACTCTCTTTCACTTTCCCTGTTACACCTCACTCAATATACTTTTTTCTTCCAAATCATCCTTTCTAACAAGAGACCAGGGATGTCAATCATCTAGTCTACATTGGGCACAGTTATTTTGTCTCTCCAAGGCAACTGCCAGTCCTCCTGTCCTCTGTTCCTTCTCCCCAAATATTAATGATGTTAATGAAAGAAAATTGCTGCCATTGATCTTTCTTGGCTGGCTCACTCTTTGTTTACGTTAATCACTTAATTTGAACAATCAAATTTTAAATTAAAAAAAGGTCAGCTTGCAATGACCCAGCTCCAGGCTTTAAAAGGCCATGATTCTATTAATGCCTTCTCAAACTACAGATAAATGTGGTCAGTTTGCATTTGAATTTATCTGAGGGCTAATCCAATGTGATTCCAGGGCATAAAAATTTACCACCTCAACAAGAAGCTGAGGCTACATCCTCTTCCCTAACACATAGATGTATGCAGCAGGGGTGAAATCCAGCAGGTTCTGACAGGTTCTGGAGAACCGGTAGCGGAAATTTTGAGTAGTTTGAAGAACTGGCAAATACCACCTCTGGCTGGCTCCAGAGTGAGGAGGGAATGGAGATTTTGCAATATCCATCCCCTGGAGTGGGGTGGGAATGGAGATTTTGCAATATCCTTCCCCTGCCACGCCCACCAAGCCACACCATGCCCACCAAGCCACGCCCACAGAACCGGTAGTAAAGAAATTTGGATTTCATCACTGGTACACAAGATGAAAGTAGTGGTTGGTTTTGGAATAAAGCAGCAGACGGTCAGACAATGTTCCCACCAGACTCTAAAAGTGGCACAGTCCAGATACAGATGCTCCAAGAACTATGACCATTCATTTAACAACCATGCAAAGTTATGACACTGAAAAAAGTGATGTGCACCTGGTCCTCACATTTACAATGGTTACACACGATCAGAATAAGAGCACTTTGCAACCATCATGTGTTTACAAAGGTTGCTACATTCTGGAGTTGCCATTTGTGACCTTTCCAGGGGGCTTCTGACAAAGTCAATATTACTTAGCAACCACAGAGATTCGCTTAATGACTGTAGCAAAAGGCCATAAAATGAGGTGCAATTCACATAACAACCAATCCCAATCGGGTCAAAGATTATCTGTTCCTCCATGTCCTCTGCTATGGCAAGAGACCTGGAAGAAGCTGCTGGGTGCAAATGCTTCAAACTGGATAGCCCCCCTGCCTCTAATGTTCTGGCACTTTCTCTCACCTCCCACTGAGCTGTCTCCCCCAATCTAAACCAAGTTTCAAATCCCTGTCCTTTTCCAAACACTCTGTTTAGGATAACCATAGAGAAACAACGCAAGGAGAATAATACATGTTGGCCATGGAACCTGTTTGAAACTACCAATTCATCCATTCTCTGCAAGGACAGTTGCCAAGGCATTGTGGACACCGGGACCTCTCTCATTACGGGGCCAAGCGCGGACATAAAGGCTCTGCATGAAGCTATTGGTGCTCAGCATGCTTTTGGTGGACAGGTAAGGAAGAGATGTTCCTTTGAGGACGCATCCTAGAATGACCACATCTGAGCTGCAAATACCCAGGTGACCACTAGACAGCAGCAAGTGAGTTTCCCAAGCACCAACAATTTGCTGTCACCTGACGACCTTTCAAAGTATTGTAACTCAGATCTGATAACCTTAGCCTTGATTTCATTATTTTAGCAGGCAGCTTTTGGGGGCCAATAAGTACATATGGGCAATCTCTCAAAATAGTTGCTGCATCTTGGCTATTCCCTAAATGGCATATTGCAGAAGGCTTCCCTCCTGCCACCATTTTTAGGGTTCCAAAACCCAATTTCACAGCTCATTTTTAAACAGTATACTGGCAAACAATGCCCCAACTACTACCCAAAAGGATTCTTGGAAATAATGATGATGCTAGTGGTGTATCTCAACCTTAGCAATATTAAGACATGTGGACTTCATCTCCCAAAATTCCCCAGCCAGCAAACATCCACACATCTTAAAGTTGCCATGATTGAGAAACACTATGCTAGAGGCAAGTGTTTTTTCTTCACAGTACATCTGCTGCTGGTTTATATAATTTCATTAAAAGAATATTTAAAAAAATAAAAGTCAGATGGATGGAAAGCTCCTCCCACCCCAGAAAGTGCTTGAGATAATGAGGCCCAAGAGTAGCACATTTACCCATCGCAGACTTCGCATTTTGCTCTATAGCAGACCTGCCAATGGCAGACTGACATTCCTCTTCATTCTAGAACAAACACGAAACATGTACAGAATGGAACAATCAGAGCAAGTCCCATTTTCAGGGGCTGAGGCCAAACTCATCTTTTATTCAAGCTTAGCGGGTCTGCAAATGCATCTGTGCAGTCTAATAGCAGTCAAACGATAACCCTTAAAGTGGTACTGATATGAATCCTGGGGGCGGGGAAGGTATTCACTGTCTCCTTCCTTCTACAGTGGTACCTTGGTACTCATCGTTAATTAGTTCCAGGAGGCGTGATGAGTATCAAAAACGATGCGTATCAAATAAATTTTCCCATAAGGAATAATATAGTGAGTCACAAAGCAGCTGTCACTGATAAGTTCTAGTTTGTGCACTGAGTACCCAACAAACAATGAGTACCAGGACATAATTTTCATGTCAAAATACATTGTACCATTTCAGTACAATTCAATTCAATTCAGAATAAACTTGGAAGGGCCCTTGGAGGTCTTCTAGTCCAATCTCCAACTCAAGGAGGAGACTCTATACATTTCAAACAAATGGCTGCCTTCTTCTTAGTCCCTTCTTAAAAACCTCCAGTGATGAAGCATCCACAATTTCTGATGGCAAGCTGTTCCACTGGTTAATTGCCTTAAGTGTTTCTTCTTAATTCCAGGTTGCTTCTCGCCTTGATTAGTTTCCATCCATTGTTTCTTGCCTTGCCTTCTGGTGCTTTGGAAAATAAGTTGACCCACCTCCTCTTTGTAGTAGTCTCTCAAATATTGGAATACTGCTATCATGTCCCTCTAGTCCTTTTCTCTAGACTAGTCAAACCCAAATCCTGCAACTGTTCTTCATATGTTTTAGTATCCAGGCCTTTAAACATCTTAGTTGCTCTTCTCTCAACTTTTTTCAAAATCTCAACATTTTTTTGTAATGTGGAGACCAAAACTGGGTGCAGTACTCCAGGTGTGGCCTTACTAAGGCTCTACAAAGCAGTACTAATACATCGCGTGATTTTGATTCTATGCCTCTGTTAATACAACCAAGGATTGTATTAGCTTTTTTGGCTGCCGCTGCAAACTACTGGCTCATGTTTAAGTGGTTGTCCAGTTCGACTGTCCAATTCAAAGCAGTGAAGTACCAAGGTCTTCCTTCCTCTCCCCCATGGAGCTCTGATACCATCCATATAGCACTGCTTGTTTCTATTTTCAGTACTAAAGCTTTGAGTGGAAGGCTTGCAAAGCTAAAACTTTCCACTCTTCAAGATGAAGTGACGGAGGAGGTTTGTGATTGCAGACATAGAAAAAATATTGGAAAAAAATATTGAAATGGGACTTCATAGACTCTATACCAGTGTTTCCCAAACTTGACCCTTTGAAGATGTATGGACTTCAACTCCCAGAATTCCTCAACCAGGCATACTGGTTGGGGAATTCTGGGAATTGAAGTCCATGTATCTTAAAATAGCCAAGTTTGGGAAACACTGCTCTATACCAATGACTGCTAACCTTTTCTGGACCAAGTGCCCGAAGCGTGTGTCCGTGCACATGTGTGCAAATGTGCATGCGCATGCCCAAACCCCCAAAATGCAATGTATGTGTGGTTGTGCATGCAGCCCCTGTGCATGTGCACCCCCCGCATGCGCCCTGCACATGCGCACACAGCCCCCCACAGCCCCCCACCTCCCACGCATGTGCGGCAGAGACCCAATGATCAGCTGGACAGCGGGAAGTGTGTGCACATGTTTGGCAGAGCTAAACAGGGCGACGGCTCACATGCCCAAAGAGAGGGTGCTGCATGCCACCTGTGGCATGCGTGCCATAGGTTCGCCATCTCTGCTCTATACAGATAGTCCTCCGCTTATGAAGGGTCGCTTAGCGACTGTTCACAATTATGATGGTACAGGATACTTACGACCTGGATTCGAAATTCTGATAGCCACCCATCTCTTCTGCAGTCATATGATTGCATTTCAGGTACTTGGTAACAGACATGCATTTATAGCAGCCCAAGGTCACATGACTGTGATTTATGACTTTTTTGCTGGAATCTGCCGTGTGCTTCCAATTTCCGACAAAAACACTCATTGTGGACAAGACACCATGCAGGATTCCCTTTCAAAGGAATTTCCTTGAGGTTGCAAAGAGGTCTAGAAGAGGTATTGAAATGGACTCGGTGGCCTGAAGTCATTGTTTTTTGATGTTCCTTCTCCTGCCAGCAGCATAGTCACTGCACGATGGCATTATGTCACCTGCTGAATTTTGCTGGACTTGACAGGGAAGAGAAGAACCAAGAAACAAGATTGTCATGTTCAACAGCGACAGTTTTTTCCACCTGTCTCAGGCAGCGAGTGTAATGAGAATCAGAAAGCGATTGACTCAGGAGAAGAGAAAAAAACCCCAGCACTTTTGTTATAAGCATGAGAGTGATATGAAACCTTTTCTTCTTCTTCATGCCTGTCTCCCTTTCCTTCTCCAGTACATAATAGATTGCCAGAAAATACCTGAGATGCCCAGTATCACTTTTCATCTGGATGGCAGACCCTACACCCTGACCCCCAAAGAATATACTCTTCAGGTAAGATAAACCAATGAAATCCACATGAGAAAACGGGGTAGGTGGGGGACGGGACTCTTAATACACAGCCAGAAAACCATGTTTTCTTGGGTTCATTTTTCTGCTTCCAGTGCGAGGTTTAATTCAACTTACACTGAAATTTATTATTTATTTAGAAGTTAGCCTCCAGTCAGTGAAGAATTTTCCCAAGATTTTAAAATTGAAATTGTGATGCAGTTCCCTGGATTAGAACGTCTTGGTGATGGAACCAGATCATGGCCAGGGCAAAAGGTTAAGATCCTACTCAAAAAAGAAGTCCCCAAATACAACAGTATTGGCTGAGCATATTTTGAACCAAAGATATCCACAAAGTGTGAAGAAAAATGTCAAGATGGTGGCCAATGCATATAAAATCAATCACACTGTCACAACTCCATCTTGATTTTTTCAACTGCACCCGTGGTGGGTTGCCCCCGGTTTGCACCGGTTCTATAGAACTGGTAGTAAAACCGGTGGGAGGCTCCACCCACCGACCCCAACATCATCAGAATGCTTCTGCGCATGCGTGCGCAGCCCTGTTGCAAACCGGTAGTAAAGGTAAATAGAACCCACCCCTGAACTGCATCCTGTGGAAATCTCAAATCAGTGGAATCCTGATCTCCTCATAATATAATGAATATTTAAAGGAAGGTCCTATAAAATCAAGGGCAAAGAATTTGTTCCTCCGGAGACCATACTTCATTTTACAAATTAAAAAAATAAATGAAACCAGAGGATACAACATGATAATGTCATTATTTCCACCCACTCACCCAACTTGGCCCTTTTTAAAAAAAATTGGGGAGGTTTAATGATCTATATAAATAAAAATGTAAATGTCCGTTTGTACCTAACTGCACATCTCCGAAAGCTCTTCACCGATTGCTTTCAAATTTTGACATAATGTTGCATTCAACTACAGGTATGTTTTTATATACTTATATTATATACATGTCACACCTGTGATAGGTAAAAACATGAAAAACATTGGAAAACATTGAAAGACATTGACAAGCATTGAAAAATAGCGCCATCTGCTGGACATAAAACCAACATGGCAGCCTCCCAGCCCTGATTATGCTCAACAGATTTCTGCTCCTTATATTTAGACTCTCCATATTGCTTCCAAGAAATTGCGTATTTGGAAGGCAGAGTCGCCCGAGAGCAATATCCTGCCACCAGGCTCAGCAGGTAGGCAGCTGGCTCCCCACCGGAAAGTCCTCACAGCCAGGCGGGGCCTGCTCGAGCCTGGCTCTAACTTCCCCCAGCCACCCCACGAACTAGCCTCGCCCGCCACTGCTGCCCATCCCCCTCGCCAGCTGCTCTCGGGGCTCCCTCCAAAGAACACCTGGCAACGAGGCTGCCTAGGTCCGCCGAGCAGGAACCCCCCGTCCCTCGCCTGGCCCAAATCATGCCTGGCCCAGCCCTACCATTGGCCCCGAGGTCAGAAAGACCAGCCACTAACCGGCGCTATGCGAAACCAGTTGGTGAGCAGGAGATGGAGGCAACTGGAGCCTCGGGGTCACCTTTGACCAATGCTACTTTTGATTCCCTGTTCTAGCAGTTCACGGAGCCTACACGAAAAATTTCAGCCTCTGGCAGAAAAGGGGCTCCGGGGAGGCTTCGGGGGCAGATACGGGCAGGAGGGAAGATGGCCGGCCCTCCTTCGTTTTGCCTGGAAGAGCGGGGGATTTAATCATTCCCCTGCCCTTGGCAGGCGGGGGAGAACTGCGCAGCAGCGGTCCAGTGGGGTGTGCGTGGCTCCTGGCTTTGCTGCTTTCTTCCTTCGGGCGGGAAGCCCCAAACCAGCCTCGAACCCCCACTGCACCCCCTCCCTCCCTCTCTTCCCTTCCCTGCTATGCGTCTCCCCGTTAAGCCCCCAGAGAACATCTGTGTAGGGAGGACGGAGGGGGCCCCTGAGTTTCTGCTGTGGTGCAGAGAGCTGCGAAGGCCTGGCCTGAAAAGGGCGATGGCGGGGGATGCAGAAAAGGCCGGGCCAGAGACAGAGATAAACTGAGAGAGAGGGAGAGAGACATAGAAAAATACAGAGAGATGGGGGGGAGAGAGAGAGATACATACAGAGATACAGAGAGAGAGGGTGGGAGAGAGAGAGACAGAGAGAGATACAGAGAGAGGGGGGAGAGAGAGACATAGAGATACAAAGAGAAGGGGAGAGAGAGACACAGAGAGAGATACAGAGGGGGGGGAGAGAGACATAGAGATACAGAATGATGGAGAGAGAGACAGAGATACAGAGAGAGGGGGAGAGAGAGACACATAGAGAGATACAGAGGAGGGAGAGAGAGACAAAGAGAGATACAGAGAGAGGGGGAGAGAGAGACAGAGAGATACAGAGAGAGGGGGAGAGAGAGACATAGAGAGATACAAAGTGACAGGGGGAGACAGAAAGGGAGGATTTTGTGGTTCCCATTGTTTTTTAGCAACTTCCAAGAAGAGCCTTGGTAGTACAGTGTCTAAGGCACCCTGTTATTAAGACCGGCTGCCTGCAATTACTGCAGATTCGAATCTCGCCAAGGCTCAAGGTTGACTCAGCCTTCCATCCTTTCTAAGGTAGGTAAATTGAGGACCCAGTTTGTGGGGGCAATAAGCTGACTTTGTATAAATATACAAAAGAATGAAGGCTATTGCTTAGCGCATTGTAAGCCTCCCTGAGTCTCCGGAGAAGGGCAGCATATAAATCAAATTTTTTTAAAAAAACTGGTTCTCTGCCCTAATTACCAGCTGGGTAGGTGTCACTCGGGGGCTGTCATGTGACTGATGAAAGTGAGTGACGTCGAGTTGGCCACGCCCACCAAATGTTTGTGGAGAGTTTGGAACTTCAGCCTCGCTCTTTTAGCCCAGCGGAAGCACCAGACTGGGCCACAGCAACGCGTGGCCGGGTACAGCTAGTATAAAATATAAAACAAAACGGAAAATAATTCCATCAAATTTTGGTGACAAAATTTGAAGTTACTTTGATTTAATTACTTAATAATATGAACAAGTGCTCATAAACAGATCACGTTTTTTGTAAATCCTTCCAATTCAGAGTCTAAATTAAAATAACAAAATATCACTGGATCATCCTGGGAAAACTTTATTTACTTGGGGGGGCGGTTACTTGGGGGGGCGGGCAAAGGAGACTTTCAATAGTATGCAGTTTTATTGTTGTTGTTGTTGTTGACCAGCATATACAATGAAGAACTGAGAATCAAGTATACATTTGATTGAGGTGAACCAGTTGCTTTCATGGTATGGAGACAATAACTTGGTCCTTAACACTAATAAGACCAAAGAGCTTTGGTCTATAGTTTCTATAGTGGACTATAGAAGGAGTAGATCAGACATCCAGCCCTTGCTTATCAATGGAGACCGAGTGGAGCAAGTGGCCAGTTTTAAGTTTCTGGTGTTATCATAAAAGTGGATCTGACCTGGGGCACTCACATTGCAGCACTGATCAAAAGGGCCCAGCAGAGATTAGACTACCTGAAACTTCTCAGGAAACAACAACTGAATGAAAAACTGCTGACCTTCTACAGCTGCACCATAGAGAGTATTTTACTGCACCTGTGTACCAATGGTGGGTTGTTACCGATTTGCCCCGAATCGGGCGAACCACTAGCGGCGGTGGGAGACTCCGCCCACCCACCCGGATGTCTCTGCGCATGCACAGAAGCATCACACGTGCGCATGAGCATGTGTGCATCCATGAGCGAATTGATAGCGATGGGATTTGAAACCCACCACTGTTGTATATGCTTTACCAAGCACAATGTACGCTTTAGTACACAGTGGCAGATAGGACAGCACTCCAGAGGGTTAACATCATTGCCCAGAGGATCATTGGTTGCCCTCTCCCTTCTTTGGAAGAGCTTTATAGCTCCCGCTGCCTTAAGAAAGTTCAAAACATTCGTAAAGATCCATCTCATCATGGGCACCCTTTTTTTGAACTATTACCAGCTGGCAGATGGTACAGGATAATAAAAACAAGGACAAATAGGCTGAAAAACAGCTTCTATCCCAGGGCAGTAACTATACTGAATTCTAAGGTATAGTGCAATGCTAATGCAATATCGGGTTTTCAATTCAATTATATAGAATGTGAAGGATGTGTGTTTTTGTTTTATTTTTACAGTTATAAGATGGCATTTTATTTCGTTGTACGAGGTACAACAACAATAAACTAAACTAAATACATACATGTTTCCAATAAATATTTACTCCAGCACAACTTCCCCAGTCTGGCACCCTCCAGTAGGGTTGGACCCCAATCATGGGGCCAAAGTTTGTCATTGGAGCCTCGCTAGATGCAGCCATCTGCCCAAAAAGTTGAAAGTTCAGTTGTTGACATCTTTGATTAAAAAATGGTGCAAGAAATTGAGAAGTTCCTGTCAGACAGAGTAACCCATATTATGCTAGGAGGAAATAAGGATTCTCTGTTCTTCAGCTGTCATGGATCAGCAGCAGCTCTTGTTATGTTCAGGGGAAAGACGTGCAATGATGAAAATGTGAAACCCTGAGGTTCATAAGCTCATCATTCAGGTGTCTCCTTTCTTCCACAGGTGAGACAGGCACAGGTGACTGCTTGCATCAGTGGATTCATGATCCTCGACATCCCAAAGCCCACAGGACCACTCTGGATTCTGGGAGATGTTTTCCTCCGACGATACTACTCAGTCTTTGACCGAGATCATGACCGAGTTGGCTTAGCTGTTTCTAAACAAACTTCATGTGGTTCTGATGGAAAAGATTAAACATCACAGCTGCAGCAGAAAATTCCACTGCCCTCAGAGTGGTCAGAAAGTAGTAGCTATCATTTGTTTCATGGCCTTGAGAAGCTCTGCAAGGATTTATTTTCTTACCAGTATATGCATGGTGTCTGCATTCACCATACTTCATGGAATAATTCCATTTTTAAAACACAAGAACAGGTTTCCAGACATGATGATGATGGTGATGAACCATTATGTTTCCAAACTCCAACCTGGAATTTCTCCTAATAGTTCCTAATATATTGCTGAGTCCAGAAATTAGCTGCCACTGACTTCACTTGTCTTCTTCTCTTCCACTTTTTCTTCCTGACCCTCTGCTTTTTGTTTCATGCATAACCTGATGCTACACGTGCCAATTCAGAAGTAATTCTGTAGAATCTTACTCCAAAGTAAGAGATAATAGGATTTCATCCTATGGAGTCTTTCTCCCTATACTAAATATCAGAGAATTCAGGCATAACAAAGAAAGAAAAGGGGAGGGGGTTAGAAAAGAGGGAGATAAGAAGCCAGATTTCTGGATAACAGCCCTAATGTCAAAAAAGCCAGATAACTCACAGCTGTGTATGCTACAGATAGTCCTCAACTTACAACCATAATTGAGCACAAAAGTTTGGTTGCTAAGAAAAACATTTGTTAAGTGAATCTGGCTTTCCCATTGACCTTGCTTGTCAGGTCGCAAAAGATGGTCACATGATCCCAACACACTGCAACCGTCATAAATATGAACCAATTGCCAAGCATCCAAATTTTGATCATGTGTCCATGGAGATGCTGCAATGATTGTAAGTGTGAAAAAATGGTCATTAGTCACTCTTCGAAGTTGTAACTTTGAATAGTCATTAAAAGTACTGTTGTAAGTCGAGGACTCACCTGTATAAGTACTCTTGCCTTGGGCAGGGGTTTAAACTAGAAGATCTCCAAGGTCCCTTCCAGCCTTATAATTTTATGTATTTGAAATCCTCTGAGCTTACAAGTTTAGAGATTTTGCATATGGGACGGGTGGTATTTGTTTCAGTCCTAACCCTTTAAGAAAAATCTCTGCAGCAGAGCAGGAAAAGTCCTTTTTCCCCTGAGAAAAGTCAGTAATGAAATAGATTGTTCATTAGGCAGCTGTGTTCATTTAGCTGGGAGCATAGCTCAGTGGAAGAGTTATGACCTTGGTATGCAAAAGCTTCCTGGTACAACCTCCTACATAATATCTTCAGAGAGGGTTGGAAGATTCAGGCCTGAACCTCAGAGAACTTCTCCCACTCTGCTGCTGAGCAGCAAACCCAACGTTTGATGGCAGCTTCCTAACATGTACAAATAATATTGTCATGTCAACTTTCTTTAGCTTCCTTTCTAGTTGGTCACCGGGATGATAGCTAGAAACAGCCATCCAGAATCGCTTTTGATACTGAGATGGGTGGCATATACATTTAATAAATAAAATAATATAAACAATGCTGTGAGGCAGGCTGGAAGAATAATGAGAGAAGATCAGCTGAAGTCAAAATAATAGCCTCGTATGCTTATGCCTAATATGTCTGATGTTTTCTCATTGTCTTATAGTAAATTTCAATTTAATCAGCCATCAGTTGTTATTCCAATGGTTTGGGGCCCTGTTGGCCAAATGATTAAAAGACAAAGCTCATTTGTTTCTGAGGAAAGCTGAATTGCATCTTCATAACTTTACTTACATTTATTTAAGTTAAAGGACTTGACATTCTTTAAAAAAAAAATAACAATAAATCAATAACCAACTGAGCATTTCAAGGAAAAGGCCAGATATTTTCACAACAGGGTCAATTCACTTTCCTCTTTCATAGATTTTTGACTATTCTGACTGACAATCAAAGGTTTTTCTTACTTGATGCTTTTGTGTTCAAATGGATAGCTTTCAGTTGGTGACCTTCCAACAATAGGGAGTGGATTAGGTGGCCTTTGTGTCACATCTTACATTCTATTTTAGGCATGTTTTCTACTATTACTATACTAATAATATACTGTTCTACATTCTTCATTAGTTTATGCAAACAAATGTGTATCTAATGCTTCATTTTTTTCTGATTCCATTACTTGCATCAAAAGATAAGGAATTAAATAAGCATCCCAAAATCATTTTCTCCTTCCTGTCCAATAGAAATCTAATTCCATGTCAAATTTCTAATCTTTCCTTGGGGAATTACATGTATAGTTTGTTTTTGCACCCGTGAGAGACAGAAATGTTTGCTTTAAAATGAAATACTATGCATTCATAGGAAATGGAATTATTCATCCAACCCAGCTGCATTTGAATGGAGTCTAAGCATATCTTCTGTCCTAATATTCACTTGTATGTCTTCTTGTCATGTGAAATAAAACATTTAGTGCTTTTACTGGTGTCTTGTAGTTTGCAATCACAAATAAAACTGATCAGAGATATACAGTATAATCGATTTTTAGTTCAATAACTTTAACAAATGGCAACCTCTATTGCCTGTATGATTTGCTTACTATGTATTAATATTAATATAGGTAATAAAGAATCTTGCAATGCTTAAAGCAGTGTTTCTCAACTTTGGTAAGATATGTGGACTTCAGCTTCCAGAATTCCCTAGCATATTGGTGAGAGAATTCTGGGATTTGAAGTCCAGATTGCTTAGAGTACCTAAAGTTAAGAAGCACTTATTTAAAGGATTCCTACCTTAGATGAATTTCACAACTCAGATTCCCACAGACCTTCACAATTGTCACTGGGACATCAAAGAACTGTTGTGTTGTTTGTATGGAGGTGAAATTGATGTGATGCTATTGGATTATATTGTTGCTATTTATTCAATGCTTTATTTGGTTTTTTAAAAAACAAACTTTACCCAATTTCAAAGACAATTAAAATACAAAGTAACAAATATGAAAATGTTTTAAAAAGACAAAGGGATTAAAGGGAAAAAAGTTAAAAAGAAGAAAAAAGGGTGGAAAGAGGTACAAAAATTGACTTTTGACTTACAATACAATACAATACAAAAAAAAATACAGATACAAATATATAACAAAATAACTACTTACTCTAGATTAAAATAAAAACACCATATAAACAACATACAAACCAAATAATCATAAAAACACAAAAATTAGATATATAAAAATAACTTTTTCTGTTTAAACATAAACATTAAAAAATATACATCTAGTAATAATAAAAATTCCCAATATTTATATAGTTATAACAAATCTAATTATCACTTTCTAAAACCAAAACTTCATTTTCATCTCACTCAACCAAGACATTCAACATGATCTCCTAGTAGAAACAAACCTAGAAAAACTTTTGTCTTTCATCAAAGTAGTCAATTTTGCCACCTGTGCCAGTTCCATTAGTCTCATGATCCACTCTTCAGGTGTGAGAATTTGTGTATCTTTCCAACTCTGTGCATATAAAAGTCTTGCTGCCACTGTTGTGTATAAAAACAAACTCTTGTGTCTTCTTTCAATCAGCTTACCTGTGACACCTAGGTTTAAAAGGAAAACATCTGGTTTCAATTTAAATGTTTTATTTTTGGTATCAAATATTCCAAATGAAAATTAGCTGAAATTAGCTGAAGACATGTTTTTATTCTTCAGGAAAAGGGCTTGTAGATTTCCAAAAATTTGATGGATGATAGAAATGTAGAGCATTTTTTCCCCTTACCCTGGTAGTGTTATGCTGAAAAAACAATATCTGGTTGAATGAAAACTTTGCAATGACTTTATCCCACTATTGTTTGCAGATGAGGAGAGTGTTCCTAGATCTTTACCTTTATCTGTGCATTTTTCTAATTATTTTATTTCTGATTATCTGCTGCAGATTTATTCATGGCAATGTGATAGATATTAATATGGCAATATGGTAATTAATTTGGATACAAAATTTAAACTATTATGCAGCGTGCACATTTGAGTGTAAACTATCCATGCTAAAATATACTCTGTTATTTCCAAATGATTTGGACATACATGTGTGTAGGTTTCAGTTCAGTTCAAACCTTGTAGTGGTATGTGGGAATGACCTGGCAGAAGGGAAGAGATAGCTAGGAAATGATTAGATAAAGGAAACAGAAGCCCACGCCTGCATAATAAGCAGAGGAACAAACTCAGAAAAGATCCTTCCTAACTTAATGGGATGTAAGATTCTGTTAATGTAGCCTTGCAAAAAAGTGGAATTAACTCATCTTGTCATGTTTCTTGTCTGGTTTACTTGATAAAGATGACAAAACTGTTTTAGGTTGTAAGTTAAGTTCAATTCTGGAGACTGCTCTTTCCTGAACTGCATGCCCTCCAAGTTAATTAACAGCTGAGATAATTGGAGTTCCCCAAATATTTCAAGTGTATTAGGTAAGGAAAGCATTGAAAAGGATATGGTCCAGATAGTCCACCTGATTTTTCAGAACTACCTTTCCCAGCATTCTTCACTGTTCTCTGTGCTGTTGGATCTTCTTGGATGTCAGGGTTCAGCACCTGGAGGACCATGAGTTATGCATTTTTATGTTGAGTTGTTACTTTCCTTTCTTTCCCTTTTCCTGATGACTCATCTCTCAGCTGGAAACAGCTCGAAGCATTCACTTGCTTCAGTCAGACATCACCTCTGAATCAGATGAATTGGATGCTGCAAGACAGAGAAGTTTTTATTGTCTGAAAATGGAAGCATATTGACCTCACCATTGGATCCCCCTGAACGGTGGTATGCCACCCTTATCCTGACCACAAAATCCAGACACATTTCCCTCAGAAAACACATTGCTTTTATAGCTCTCTCCGCCTGGCTCCTCAGCCATCAGAGCATAGACTGGAAACAATCCTTCTTGAAGCCTTTTAGACATGGCAGAAACTACAGGAAAGTTTAGCAGCTTTTTTTCAGCAAGGAGCAGACAAGCTGTGGCTCCTTTAGTAATCAGCTGAAGCTCCCACCAGAGGGAGAAAGCTTTCGGTAACGTCTAAGCCTTTTACCCTGGTGTAAACATCTTGTATTGACAGTAAAGCCAGCAGGCCAGTTAGGGTGCTGGTTTTGAGCTTTGTTTTCTCCAAGTTATTCATATATTCTGTTTTGCTTTTCCAAAATAAATATGTTGCTTATTTCATTTAGATCTGCCTTTATGGTTTTTAGTAAAGGTGCCCCTATCCTGTGCACAAATTAGGCTGTGAGATCACCTAAACAGGGTCCCTGTTCTGGTAGCATTTTTTATTCTTTAGATTTTTATCCTGCCTTTTTTCCATATACAATTCAAGACAGCAAACCTAATATTGTTCCTCCTCCTATTTTTCCTACAACAATACTGAGAGGCACACTGAGCTGAAAAAAACCTGAATGGAACCAAGTCATCCTGCTGACTTTCATGCCTAACCCAGGGCTAGAATTCAGTCTCCTGGTTTTGAGCCTTAACCACTAGTCCAATGTGCTTTACAGGTACTCCTTGATGTACAACCATTCATTTAACGACTGCTTGACGTTAGAACGGCACTGAAAAAAAATGACTTATGACCAATCCTCACATGTACAACCTTCATAGCATCCCCATGGTCACATGATCAAAATTTGGCCAGTTGGCAACCAGCATGTATTTATGAGGGTTGCAGTGTCCCATGGTCATGTGATCGCCATTTGCAGTCTTCCCAGACAGCTTTCCACAATCAAACTCAATAGGAGAAGCCAGATCTGCTTACTTGTTAAGGAATTCGCAGAGTAACCCTTGAATAGCAAGGGTGTGCACATGAAAGTGATTGAGAGTAGGTACGAATAAAACACAGTCAACACACAGATACACTGAGTTGTGTTTACTTTCAGGAAATAGTAAGGCACAGTCCAATAAACAGTCCAGGTCATATACATATAAAGCAGGAGATAGCAAAACAACAGTCCAGGGATAATCCAATAACAAAGTCTTCTTACCAGTCATTGTAGTCATTCACAATAAACAGTTCTTCTGGATTTGCAAACAGTAACATAGACAGTATGCTAACAGTAGCATACAGAGATATCAGAGAGCAACAACAAAGAAAAGCAAAGAGAAACAAACCATGTTTCTAGCTCCCTCTTAAGGAGATTGACTACAGAGCTAACCAATCAGGACACAGTACGACACAATACAGCAGTCTTAAAGCTATATTGAAGGTTTATATATTGCCGACCCAACATGGTAGGTAATACTCATTTCCTAACACCGAATGATTCACTTCATTGCAGTGATTCGCTTAACAAAGATCGTAAAATCGAACTTAGCAACCAATTCATGTGATTGAAGGAGGACAATGACATAACTTCAAAATTGGGTCCTAAGTAGCTTTTGGGTGGGGTCCATCATAACTTTAAACAGTTGCTAAGTGACCGGTTGTGAGTCAAGGACTACCTGTATTCTACTCTATTTGCATATATTCTGCAATATATATGCAGATGAACATGGCTATGTCAAAGTCAATCTGGCAATTGAAATTATAGTTGGAGGAGATGCATTTATTTTTATTTATTCCCTTTAATAAACGTCCTGCTTACAATGCAATCCTTGTTGGATAATAGTGGTTCAGATGTTAGCCTAGAAACCAGGGGACTGTGAGTTCTAGTCCCATTTTAGGCATGAAAACTGGTACAGTGACCCCTGGCCAGTTACTCTCTCTCAACCCAATGCACCTTACAGGGTTGTTGCTGTGAGGAAAATAGGAAGAAGAATTATTAGATATGTCTATGGAAACTCTCAGCCATCAGGTTATGGTTGTCCCAAAGGTGCTTTTTCAAAAGGTAACTGGACTTTGTTTTTTCTTGAAGACATTTTGCTTCTTATTTAAGAAGCTTCTTCGGTTCTACAGAAGAACTGAAACGTCTTCAAGGAAAAACCAGCTGCCTTTTGAAAAAGCACCTTTGGGACAAGTATTAGATATATTTACTGCCTTAAGCTGCATGTGAAAAAAAATATTTCATATATATTTCTTGTACAAAAAGAGCATCATCCAGAAGGCGACAGGGAAAGAGGCAACAGAAAAATAAAAAGTCAAACTGGGTTGCTCAGATTTCCATGCATAACAGTATTTCTATAAGTACAGTAGTTTTGTTTGTTCTATGAATTCCTGTTTGATCATCAGAAAACATTTCTTTGCTGTTGTCTTGTAACCGTAGGTGGGTCCTAGCAATGGCTGTCAGCAGTAGCGACACGCTTTTTTCCACAGAGCTTCACCAATCATTTTGCCCACATTGCTCAGGACTATAACTTTAATTACAGTAGTTGACACTTCTTTGAGATACTGGCTAAATAATTGCTGAGTTCATGGGATTTCAAAGGAGAAGAGGTGGGTGGTGAAGGGGGAGAGGAGGACTTGTGGGTTCCTTGCCTATTTCTTTCTTTTTTCTTTTTCTTTTTGAAAAGTGATGATTGAAGGGCATAGGCAGTGCGACTTGGAGAAATACATTGTAGGAAGAAAATAAGAGCAGATGTTTTTCATCTGACCGCTGTTTTCTGAAGCATAGAGTGAAATGAAACTGTCTGTTGCACAGAACACTGGGGAAAGGTTAAGGGCAGGACACCTCCTAAAGAAAGTGGATATGTTACTGTGTGCTATGCTTCAGCAGGGAGCAAAAAAAAAAAAAAAAGGCAGGGGAAAGGGGATAGGGGAAAGAAAGGAAAGGAGAAAAGCAAAAAAAAAAAATGAGAGGAGAGGAGGGGAGGGGAGAAGAGGCCAGGGGAGGGGAGAAGAAAGTAGGGGAGGGCAGGGGAGGGGAGAAGAAGAGAGGAGGGGAGGGGAGAGGGGAGGAGAGAAGAAGAGGGGAGGGGAGAGGATGGAAGGGGGAGACAGGGAGGGGAGAGGGGAGAGGAGGAAGGCATAGATTGCAATCATGTTTGCATCTTCGTGTGGGCATGAATGCTGACAGAAGGATAGGAGGTAGGCTGTTGTTTTAAAATTGGACAAAAATGGGCAATGGCTCTGGGCACATCAGCGATGGACATGAAGTCCCAAGGAAGAGAGATTTAAAGGGAACCAGGCTGGACAAAGTCTTCTTCCCCTTCCTCCATTTTTTTCTCTTCCATTCCACTTTAGATTGTAAGTACAAGAGGCTGAGACTTTTCCCCTGCAAAAGCCATGCATACTGATGGCTGCCTGCCCCATTGCCCTCCATCTTTCTGCAAATATTAAATGCTATTTTAAATTTTTAAACAGCATTTTTTTAAAAAAAGGCACTATCTGGAAAGCAATAAGAACTTCTGGCATTTTAGTTGCAATCGGCCACAACATGAGTAGGTCCTAGCATTGATTCTTACATTTTTACTCCGTTTCTTCCAATACTTGGTTGTTGGTTGTTTATGCATTGCTCTTATCTACAGTAGGTGGCAGCCCTTAGCTAATCTTGAAAGTTAAGCAGGACCTGATATTCTTAAAACACATATAGGAGACTACAAGGGAATATCAGAAGTGAAGGCTAGGCTGGAGAGTCCAGATCATCTTTTGGAAGAAGGCAACTGTTTTTAAATTGTTGCTATTAGAACTTCATGGTTATTTTTCTCCCTAAAGGCATCAGGATTCAAGGAGAGCTTTACATGGAATGGAATGGAATGGAATGGAATGGAACAGAACGGAACGGAACGGAACGGAACGGAACAGAATAACAAAGTTGGAAGGGATCTTGGAGGTCTTCTATTTCAACTCCTGCTCAGGCAGGAAACCCTATACCATTTCAAATAAATGGTTGTCCAACATTTTCTTTAAAACTTCTAGTGTTGGTGCATTCACAACTTCTGGAGGCAAATTGTTCCACTATCAAGAAATTTCTTCTTAGTTCTAGGTTGCTTCTCTCCTTGATTAGTTTAAATACTGCCTTTCCTTCAAGGAACATAAGTAAAGTTTGTCTTCCCTCTTTTCTGCTGAGATTGATTAGGTTGATAAATAGCAATTGATTGAATTTCACCCACTGAGAATAATAATTAGATGTGAATTTCAACCTCCATCTCCTGGGAGTGGTCCAGTGCAGTCCCCTAATCAATACCCCATGCAACCTCTTGTTGTCTTGAAGCTACCGTGTCATATTCAGATCTGGGAATAAGAAACCAGTTTCAGCCTTGTATCTAATAGGCTACCTGCTAAATTGTTGAAATTCTGGGCTGGAGAGCCTGTGACACACTGGGCAAAATTCCCATGACTGTTTGTTTTGCATGTTCAGCAGTTAGTGGCAATGGATTTTAGAACAGACTTTAGTTATGATGGCAGAAATTGGATGTATGCCAGAAGGGTGGCCTTTTAATGCCCCATAGATTAATACCATCTTTTTTCAATGACTCTGGGTGATTGGAATTGATTTTTTAAAAATCCTCTCAGTATTGTCTGGACTGAGATGTAGGGAGAAGAAAGAGAGCAACTGATCCTCAAACATCTGAGTGCAACCTAACCCACCAGAAGGAAAGTTGAGTTTTCTGATCCTACAGTATGCCTGGGATATAGGAAAAATGCCTGTTTCAAAAGAACAACAGTCCTCTTAAGAGTAGCACGTAGGATGGGAGTATTGTAGCCCCTTCATGTTAGGTCCTTTTGTGTGTCCTGCAAGGTAGCACACACTTCAAATAAAAGTCAACCTCTTCCTATATAGCAAACCCTACCATATCTTGATCTGTGCATGTCCCCACATGCACAGACAGCAGTTCAGCAGTTCAAGAACAATCTCCCCAACTCACCCCAGTATTTAAGCCCTCTTTCTCTTTAAGGTGGCTACTTTCACCATCTGTACCTTTACTCTCCCAAAAGGTTCTAATGTTTTTAGAGTAGAATAGGTTACCTTCTAGGCACCATAACTTTAGATAACCTAGTTCAGAATAAGGATGGATGGATGGATGGATAGATGGATGGATGGGTGGGTGGATGGATATTTATGTGGCAGCTCCAGGGAACATAGCACTTCAGGCCATAGTCCCAAATTCATTCCCCAACCAGTAATCACTTGTTTATCTCTGGTGGCAGCCACAAGTGGAAAAGCTGGGGTTGGGGTTGGGTGTTGTTTATTTCTTTTGCAATTCCCTGTGAGCATAATCGTGTTGTGCTTCTCTGAATCTCAGCTCTCCCCAATCACAGAAAATGAAATGTTCCCCCACCTCCAATCCAATCCAATCCAAAGACAGCCTAGGAGATGCCCCAAAATTCCACCTTAAGAGGTAGTGATGTCATCACAGGGTCTGCAGTACCAGAAGGCGCAGCCCTGCATCCGGAGACCAGGGGTGGAGGGGGGGTAGGAAGCAGAAACACACAAGGTGTGTGGGGGAAGAGGCAGACACAGTGACTCTATTCAGCAACATCCTGCGTCTCCTGTTCCCCCACCCCTCCACCTCACCATCAATTATCGACTCCATCCTTCTGCGCTGCTACAGAGATATCTCAGTCCCCTGAAGGTGGTGGTGGGGAAGCATTCCATAACCTCTCTCCTGCTCCCTGATTTTTATTTTTTATTTTATTTTTGGCGGAGAGACGGGGTAATTCCCTTCATCACGGGCTTTCCTTCTGTCTTTGTCTCCCTCTCTCAAAAATAACACTAAGCCAAAAGGGTTGGTCTAGCAGGTAAGTATGGGCCTTTAGTGGCTCTATTGGTGTGTGTCAGTGTGTGTTTGTTTTCTCTGTTGGGTGGCAAAGGGAGGGGGTGATTATAGTCAAAAAGCTGGTTGGGGGGGGGAAATATGTGCAGGTTGTTTTTCCCCCAAAAAAGGAGCTCAAAGAGAGCATATCGGGCCAGAGACGACGGTGGGGGAGGAGTGAGAGTTTCAGCACCTGTGACTGGACAGCAGCATGTTAAAAATAGACAGAAGACAAGGATGGCTTGTGCTCTATTGATACTTACTGCTTTACCATCTTCTGGAGGATACAGGTCTGATTTTCAGTTTGATGGCTATTTGCCTGCTCACATCACTGTGTGTGAATGTGTGTGTGTGTGTGTGTGAGAGAGAGAGAGAGAGAGAGAGAAAGAGAGAGAGAGAGAGAAAGAGAGAGAGAGAGAAAGGGAGGGGGAGAGAGAGAGGGAGATGGAGAGATCTTGATTTGTCTAATCTATGCACTGCAGTGTGTGAATGCAAGGGCCATGACTTCAAGGATAGCTCAATCACCCCCAACTTCAGGCCCTCCAGACATGCTGGACTACAAGTCCCATCATTTTAGGAGAACCTTTGCTGTCTGGAAAGTATGGAGTATGGAAGTCATAGTCATAGTCCATTACATCTTGAGGAAGAAAGGAAGGAAGGAAGGAAGGAAGGAAGGAAGGAAGGAAGGAAGGAAGGGTTTAATATGATTGAATGGTCAGCCTGTATGAAAGTGTGTCTCTGGGATTATGACTCCAAAGGGAAACAAGGTATGTTTAATTGAAATTGGCACATGAGAGAAACTACCATGCCAAAATATGGTCAGTAATTGGGAAATGTTTGCATGCATAGATGCACATGAAAAATAGGCAACAATTTGATGGTGTCATTGCATTCCTGTATGGTGATGCGTTGGTGATGTCCTCAGCTTTTGTTTTGTGTGCTATCCATTGCTCTGCTGTTGTGGTAGGGCAGAAAATGTGGGGAGAGAACAGAAAGAGAGAGGGGGGAAGTTAGAGTGAGATTATTTCTGTAAGAAAAAGCCAATCACATTGACATACTTCCTCACAGGAAAGCACAAAAAGAAAGCTGTAAGAACCAGATGGCCCCACAAATATTAGGGAATGGAAGCCTTGAAAAATAACAGATTGGCTCCTGCCCTTGAAAACAGCCATGCACCATTGCTAGCTACATGTGCTCTATTAATATCAGTATTATTTCAATTTATAACCTATCTTTCTGCTTGGGAACACTCATTCCAAATTCATATGAGGTTGTTGCTAACTTCCTTGCATTTTGCCTTCATCTGTAATTATGAAAAATTAAATTGCATCCAAAACAAAAAAAAAATGCCTTTTAATAGACATATAGAAAAGCAATTCAGAATATTAGTAATGTGTTAATTAACTATATTTTAAAATAATAACAAATAAATTTTCAGTCAGTCTTTCCCAATAAAGCTTAGAATGAAGGTAAATTGCAAGAATTTGCCATTGAATAAATTGGCAAACCAATCCTATCTGAATTTACTTAGAAGGAACCCCAGCTTGATTCCTTAGGAATTGCTGTCTACATCAGGCTGAACAGGTTGCAGATCTGAATAATAAAATTCTGAAGATGTTTCTGTGTGGAGGGGTTTAGAAGCTGGCTCCTCCTATTCCCACGTCTTTCAAGCCAGCTTTATCCCAGTGGAATACTTCCAACCTCTTGCAAAACTCCAGTGACCATAACAGCTGGAAATGATGAGCATAACCGGAACGGCAATTAATCTAAATGCTTCATCTTATACCCTTCCTCTTTCTCAGTTATCCTTCCTAAAACATTTATATATTTTGATTTTGGAAATATATTAGGGAGCAGATTATAGCTTTCACTGTATTTGGAATAGCAAATATATTTCAAACATATACACACTATAAAAAATGCTAACTTTGAAATGGAAAGTGCAGGATTTGGGATTTTAAAAGCTGGAATCCAACATCTAAACTCATTCTTGGTGAGAACAGTTCATTAGGAATTTAGTTGTGCCAATTATCCTAAATGACAGATTCAAAATTGGGATAGCTATTTACTTTCCTGCATGTTGCTTTTATAGATCTGTTCCCTTAACTGTATATTTTTATTCCTTGCACAACCTTACATGCCATGTTGATTTAGGAACACTTGAGACTTAATTCACACACACTGGCTTACATTCCCTTTACAAATGTCTAAACTCAGGTACATAAGAGCATGCATTTGCGTGTACGTGGACAATTACTCCATGAGAAAAGGAACAGCAATTAGTGAAACTCCAGCCTTTTTTTGCCCCCCCCTTTGGTATTCACAAACCAATATTCCCCATCTGGCTCTTGAACAAAAATAATCTCACCAAAATGTTATTGACAATATACATGCACCCATTTAATTGCATTGTCATGCTTTTCCTTATTGTCAGTGGTCAGACTAGGTCTCCTCTAGGTATAGGTCACTCGATAAGAGAGAAACTTGATGCTTAGTAGCTGAATGTGTGAACTGTTCATGGGGTGACATTGCATTTCAAATATATGGAAACCTCATCTGTGGTGTTATATATCTATTGTTATGGCTTATTCACACATCGAGGTTACTGCCTTGCTGGTGCTGAGACGTCAAGCAATATATAAGCATACATTAAAAAAAAAACATTCCTAAAAGTTGTATATTCCTTTGGGTGAAAGCCTCTGTTAGAATACCCTTTCCCTAATTCTCACAATAACAGAGCTGCTGTTATGTTCATATCAGCTGCTGTTATGAACAGCAGCTGATATGAACTGATATGGAGCAACTCCATTAAACACAGTAGAATTTACTTCTGAACAAGTAAATGCAGGATCATGTCGGAGAGACATTTTGCAAACATCTTATTGCTGAGGTCTTATAGATGCAAGTTTAATATAGTCTGGTTAAATATCCATTGGCTAAAATTTCTCATTTCCTCTCAACTGATCTTCAAAGACTCCCAAATCCAGACACTGGTCTTCAAGTGAATATGGACGCAAATTCTAGGCATTCTCCCTTCTAGGTAATGAGCAGATCCAGATGTGCCCAGCTTTGCATTATGTGCTTTTAGATCAATACTTCTCAAGCTTGATAACTTTAAGATGCATGGACTTCAACTCCCAGAATTCCCCAGCCAGCATGCTGAGGTTGAAATGCACTGCTTTAGACTCACAATAGAGAATGAAATAAAATAAAAGGAAAGGTTATATAAACCTGGGGGGGAGGGACACAAGCCAATTCAGGCCAAGAGAAATTGTCTAAAAATACAGCTTGCACTCATACATACATTCGTACAAATTTTCCAATGTCCCTTCTCCCTTTTCACCCCACCTTATTATCCTGACTTCTTTAATCCAGTAAGTATAACAAAGTCCTCATTCCTAGCCATGCCAACACTCTTCTGGTCCTGAGGGACATTACACACAAAAATACACAAACACATAGAGGAAGAAAAGTAGGGAGAAAGTGTTTTTCCCAGCCTGGAAGTTCTGAGATGTGTTGGAATCCAAGGATGGTTGCACTGACAAAGGACTAAGACACTGCAGGACTGTGATTTGAGGATTGTTGAGGTACATATAGAAGGGAATCTTTGTAAAAATAGTCAAAACCAATACATAGAGGAAGGGAAGGAGGGAAGACCTAAAGATCAGAGATTGAGGATCTCTGAGGCAGCAGGATTTGAAATAGAAGCAGAGGTCATGAAAGAGGTCAAAGGAAGTGGTCAAGGGCAAGAATATATGGGCCCTAGAAAGAATGAGGATCCAAGAAGAATTGGGGTGGCAGTTTGACCCATTGTGGGGAACAATAAGAGCCAGCCAATAGGAGAAGAGATCTGTAAGACTTCTGTAGGGAAAGTACAGGTAGAAAAAGGTATGAACAATTGCAGAAAGGCCACTGAAGGGGGACTGAAAGGACTATAACATGTAGATGGGGGCTGGATTCACACAACACACAATTTGGTTACTGAATTGATCCATTTTCTGGATTTGCACAATTCACCGGATCATAAATTAACTAAGCAAGCTGAGTTTTCATAACATATTAAAAATCCCAGCTAAGATTTCTTGAACTAGGCTTAGCACATAGTGCAGCTTTTAACTGCTTTGGCATGTTGGATGTACCCAGCCAGTGAGGATTATCTGGAAAACTCCATGCTAGGAGCTTCAAGGAAAATCTGGTCATTCATAGGTGAAACAAGGCAGTGCGAATAGGGTGGGTGGGTGGGTCACAGAAGGACCAAGAACTTGGGCAGAGTAGCAGCTCTGCTGTGGATGGCTGCCTGGAAGCAAAACCAGAGTGTTTGCTTAAAGCAGCACCAAGGGCTGCTCAATCAGCAAATAGTGTGAGCTAGGGCAGTGTTATTCCAGAACCAACTAGAGAGCAATGCAGGGAAAGGGCACAGAAAAAATTGGCAACTCTTGGAAGGGGGAGAAGAACTGAAGAAGAAGCAGAAAAGGAACCCTGAAAAGTGGCTCAACAAGGGGAAGATGTTGGATGGGGGGAGGAAAGTGGAGGGAGGGAGGGACGGAGGGGATAGGGAACCTGAGAGATGAATGGGGAAATGGACAAAGGCAGCGGAAGGGCAGTGCAGGCTAAGCAGCAATAAAGAGGGGAAGAGCTGGAAAAAGGAAAAGAGGGAGAGGCTCAAAAAGAGGGGAAGCAAAAGAAAGAAAGAAGGACAGAGAAGGAGAGAAAATGAAAATAAAGGAGAGGAGTAGAAAGTTTGATGCCTGGAAGGCTGAGTGAAGCAGGGAATGGAAGGAAAAGTGGGGAGAAGGGAAGATTTGCTCAGGCAAAGGGTTTCTTTTGCCTTGGGCTGCTCCTCCACCTACCTGCCTCTTAGGAGGAAGACCCCAGCGGTTCCTCTCTTCCCTTCAGGAAAGTATACCCTGAAGTGATTCCCACCACCCAGAATGAAGGAATGCTGGACAGAGCTAAGAAGGAGTGAAAGAAGAAGAACAGAAAGAAGACAGGAGGCAGAGAAAGTAGTGGGGTTGTGGGAAATGAGGGAATCAGGCAAGAGGGCTGAGAAATCTAGAGTAGGAACCAGGACCAGAAAAACAGGCAAAGAGGAAACCAGTAACAGCTTCAGAGGAAAAGGAGAAAATCTTTAGAACATGGGAGGGGGGGAGGGGGGCGGAGTGGAAAAATGAAAAACTGAACTAAAAGGAGGGAGGGAGGAGGAAGTAAGGAAGAAAATAAATAAGTGAATAACAGGAAGGAAGGAAGGAAGGAAGGAAGGAAGGAAGGAAGGAAGGAAGGAAGGAAGGAAGGAAGGAAAACATTGAATGGAAAATAAAAGATGGAGGGAAGAAATGAATAAAAAGATAAAATGGAAAAGAAGAAAGGAAGAACGGAAGAAATTAGTGAAAAGACTTAATGGAAAGAAGGAAGAAGGGGAAGGAGGGAAGAAAGGAAGATAAAGGAGGAGACTGCAGGAAGGAGGCAAAAGTGAGAGAGAGTTGAGATGAAGGGGCCTCGGAGAGCTGAGGGAAACCTGCAAAGGAACTGAGCTGCACCAGAAATGGAGCGATATATTGGCAGGATAGCAAGCAAGGAGGCTGCGGGGGTCCCCGTCGAGGTCACCAGCTTTCCGCAGAGGGGATCCCGAGTGGGATAGGAAGGGGGCCGGCGGGGGGGTGGGTGGGATCGCGGATTCAGGAAGGGAGCACAGCAGAGCAGAGGGGGCCAGGCTGGCCGCCCAAAAAAGACGGGTCGGCGGTGGCCGAGGGCAAAGGGTGCAGGTGGCGCGCTCGGAGTGGGTGGATGGAGGGGACAGTGGAGGCGACAGGCGGGATGAAGGGGGAGAAATCCCGAGCGGCGGATGGTTGGGGGGGGGAGAGTTAGGGTGGCGGAGCAGCGTCCGCACTCACCTTCCCTGTCCCTTCCTTTCTCTCTTTTGCAGAGCCGGGCGCTGAGCCGCGGACTCCCTCCTCTCGCTTGCCCGCCCGCCCCGTCTAGAAAGAGCGGGAGCGGGAGCGGGAGGAGGAGGAGGAGGAGGAGGGGCCGCGATGACGCCTCGTCCCCTGATTTGACACCTGCCCAGCCTCGGGGGCGGCTCCCCCCCCCGCCGGCCCGGCCCGGCCCGCGCCCCCGATGCTGAGCTCAGTGTGCGTCTCCTCTTTCCGCGGGCGCAAGTCTGGGAACAAGCCGCCGTCCAAGTCATGTTTGAAAGGGGAGATGGGCCGGAACGAAGACAACGACAAGATCGTCATCAACGTGGGCGGCATCCGGCATGAGACTTACCGAAGCACCCTCAAGACCCTGCCGGGCACGCGGTTGTCCTGGCTCACCGAGCCGGACGCCTGCAGCAACTTCGACTACGACCCCAAAGCCGACGAGTTCTTCTTCGACCGGCACCCGCAGGTCTTCGCCTACGTGCTCAACTACTACCGCACCGGGAAGCTCCACTGCCCCGCCGACGTCTGCGGACCGCTCTTCGAGGAAGAGCTGGCTTTCTGGGGCATCGATGAGACAGACGTGGAAGCCTGCTGCTGGATGAACTACCGGCAGCACCGCGACGCCGAGGAAGCCCTGGACAGCTTCGAGACCCCCGAGAGCCAGGAAGATGAGGACAACGGCGACCTCAAGCGCCTCTGCCTCCAAGAGGACGGGCGCAAGCTGGGCTGGTGGTCCAGCTGGCAGCCCAAGGTCTGGGCGCTTTTCGAAGACCCCTACTCCTCCAAGATGGCCCGGGTGAGTCCGAAGGAAGCAGGCAGGGTGGGGGTCCCTCCAGACAGGTCTCCTTAGGGGTCCTCTCCTCCCCACTGCTCCATCTAGCATGACTGCTTTGGGGATGGGGTGGGTGGTGGTGGAAGCATAGCTGAATTCCAGCACATCTGGAGAATACTTTCCTGCTGGGAAAGTATTCTCCTTCCACGTGTGTGATCTTTCCTATCTGTATTTCCTAAGATTCTCTCCCCCCCCCCCACACACACACATTCTTTAATATCAGGAAATAGACATAGACGGTTCTTGGAACTGTTGCTATCAGCCTGACTCTTCTGTGATTCCATCAATTTGGTGGCAGAGTAAATGAACAACCCACTAGGATTTTGCAGTTATAAACATAGACCTTAGAAGAGACAACCAGGTGCAAGAAAGGCTCGGAGGAGGAGACAGATGTGTTGGGTTACCTTTGGTGTAGCACATTCTAGAAGAAGATGGAGCACATTCTATAGGACTAGTGTCACAAAGAGGGACATGGGATTAATGTCAGCTTGAGTTATGTAATGGGTAAATGGGTGAAAATCCTACTCCTCCCTCCAAATAGAGTCTTAACTCTAATATAGTCCTAGCACCTATAGTCCTAGCACCAGGTAGCCCAAAAATGTCCATAGAGTAATAATAGCTCTTAGGACAGCCTTCCCCAACCTAGTACTCTCCAGATGTGTTAAGACCTTAAGACCGCAGGTGCCAGAATTGCACTGATGTGTTGACACCACAAAATCAACTCCAAGGAATTCTTAGGTTGCAATCCTAACAGAGTTGGAGGATATCAAATTCGAGGAGGGTGCTGTAGAATTTTAATGTAGGCAAGCACCAAACTTAAGTCCCGTGTTCGTAATTTGGCACTGCCATGTAAAATATACACTCTGCAACTAGCTCAGATTCCAAAGTGAGCTGGAGAAATGGCCCATGAAAAAAGCAACAACTGTTATTTGATTTTGTAATTGAATCTTGATTCTCTCCACAAGCGGGCCTTTCCGCTTGCAAATCCCGCCCCTTTCCCACAGCATCTTCCGCACTTGTCCTTGAACCTTGAAATTGCACTCTTAGGAGAAGGGGTGTGTGTGTGTGTGTGTGTGTGAGAGTTGAAAAAAAAACAGAGGGGGCTACTTGGAATAAACGCACTTTAGTGGTAGAGGTAGGCATGCAGTGATTTGCTAACTTCTTTCAAATGCTGATTGAGCAGTAAGTAACAGACAAAATACCCTCCTAAAGGTATAATCTATACATGCAGCACTTGATATGGATGAAAGGATGTGCCAGTTTGGAGGTGTGAGTGGCGCTGAGTGGAGGGGGGGGAGTGAAATCATTCTAGGAGGGGGAGGATGCACCAGATGTATCTCATGCACAAATTTGGACAAATAATGTGGAAAGGAGATGCCCAGAAAGTGAGCAATTGAACAGGACACTCTTTTCAATCTGGAAGCCTTTAAAGAAGTTAGACCACAATTCTCATAACCCATGTAGCTTCATGAACAGGCTGCCTGGGACAATGGGAACTGTAGTCTGAACACATTTGGAGGACATTAGATTAGGGTAATATCTGATACTAAATTGGGGAACCGAGCAGATATCTATCCCTGCAGGGCAGAGCAAGAAAAAATGGATTTGGCAGTGAAGATTAAGCCAAGCTTCTTGTGTCAAGGAAATAAGGTCGGAGCTTGGGGCTGGATGGTTGTGTGCCCTAGAGTGGAGAGAGAGAAGGTTATCTGAGTTTCGGGAAAAGTGTGCAAAAGGCCAAGAGTGGGAAAGGGAGAAGTGTGTGTGGGGGGAGGAGAAACCACTGAGAAGCACAGAGATAATGTGAAGATTGTGTGAGGCAGCAGAAATAGGCTGCCAAATATATGGTGGGGAGTGAAGACCCTAAGTTGAATGCCACAGCACATAAATGTGTGAATGAAAGTAGTAATGTGTAGCGGCAGGAGGGCCCTAATACGCATGCTCCAGAGTTATGACTAGCTTCTCAGTGTTAAGAGAGAATGTCTTGGTTCCCGGCAGGAGGTGCTGATAGCCCGTTACAAACTCTTTCCTCCTTGTTCCCCACACTGAGGTTTTCTGCCCTCATTCGTGTTCTCTTTGCCTCCCTTCACGGTTGCTATCAGATGTACCTTCCCTTCTTAAAATCCTCTTGTCCCACACAAAAGTTTGGGCCCCTCACTCTCACATACCCATTGCCCCAAGGCCAATCTCTAAGGTCTTTAAGTCTCTAAACACATGCAAATCCTTTACACAACTGGGGAGAAACTCTTAGCATTCTTCAGCATTGCAGTTCTGGATTCACCGCTCCTCCCCCCCAAGCTGAAACAATGTTCCTCAAAGTGACCCCCTCCCCTCCATTTCCAAACACTGCAGTTCAGAACTCCTTGCTCTGCTTGCCTGCTGGTTGGCTTCCTTGCCTCCTCTCTCTATGCAGTGAACCCCCCACCCCCACCCCAATCAAACAGTTTTGCACAAGAACTCAAGTTGCTGCTGCTGACAAGGACCCTCACCTTCCCAGTCCCCCTTTTCGTATATTAAAAGCTTTGCTGTCTTCTGAACTGCAGAGACAGCAGGTTGAGCGGGGGGGGGGAGGGGGCACCGCAGTGCAGTGTGGAAACCCCAGAGTTTGCAGTGCAAAGCAGGCATTTGGCAGCCTGTGGCAGCTTCCCTCCCTCTCCCCCCCCTCCTCCTTCCCTCCCAGGCAGTGGGTCTCAAAGCTGCAAACACTGTCAGATATCCTCATCGATTCTCCTTCCCCCCCCCTCCACTCCTTCTTCCCCCACATAGTTGGGAGCACAGCCAGGAAAAGTTGCAGTGGGAAGGAAGATGAATAAAGAAAGCAGGAATTTTAGTACCAGGGAGGGGGCCACGATTGTGGATGGTAGGAGCCGAGATTATGAGCTGGTGCTGCATTGGGCGGGCATCAAGTAAGGAGTTTCCATAAACGGAGGAGAACCATTTGGTGGACTAGAGATGACACTCCTTTACTGTCCCCCCCTCACTGTATTTAAAAAAGATTTGATTTACAGTTTTGGTAGCCCCCCCCAACTCACCCACCCAAGAAAAATAATGGGAATAAGATATTAATACCTATTGAAGACAGTGGAAGGAGACTTTTCATTGTCTAGCCTACTGTTCCTGAAATATATCAGCATCAAAAGCCTACAGAAAAAGGCTGCAGAGCTTATTTAAGTGGCCCAATTTTAACATTTCTTCTGTCTTTCTCCCACCCACCCCCTGCACCAACTTTCTGACATGGTAAAAAGAAAAGGAAGAGATGCGGGCTAGAAAGAACAGGTAGACAACTAGCTAAAGGAGCAGAACAGAGGTTAGGCAGATAGACCAAACTCTTCTGTAAAAGGTCTATCCAAGCCACATTTCTGAGTTTCCAGCTAAGAACCATGATGGATATTTTACGGCATTGCAAAGGCAGGATGGAACTTCAAAACTGAAGTTCACCACCAGTCTTCTGGTGGCTCAGCAGACTGATAGCGTTGTGATTAACACCAGCTGTCTGCAATTACTGTAAGTTCGAATCTCACCAGGCTCAAGGTTGACTCAGCCTTCCATCCTTTCTAAGATAGGTAAATTGAGGACCCAGTTTGTGAGGGCAATAAGCTGACTTTGTATAAATATACAAAAGTATGAAGGTTATTGCTTAACGCATTGTAAGCCGCCCTGAGTCTCTGGAGAAGGGCAGCATATAAATCAAATTTAAAAAAACCCTGTATATTTGATAACACTTATTGGATAGTTGCATCTAACAGCTGGAATACTGAAAAGTTGAGTGTGTACATGAAGAGAACTGTTAGGCAGCTCATAAAGACAACATATCTGTAGATGGATCCTTCATCCCCTCCAATTATCAAGTTTTTCATCTGTTTATGTAGTTTCTTACTTTCATCTTACTTACTTTCTTCCCCTTCCTTCCTTCCTTCTTTCCTTCCTTCCTCTTTCTATTTCTTTCTTTTCCTTTTCCTTCCTTCCTTCCTTCCTTCTTTCTTCCCTTCCTTCCTTCCAGGCAGTGTTCAATTCTCAAACTTTTAAAATTCCTTTAAAGAATATAGACAAACTGTTAGTTATATCACGTGCGTCCCAAGATTACTTCAGTAAATATATACTTCCAATAATGTGGATAAGGGAATAGATTGTAGAGCATATTATGCCAGTTGAATTAATTCACAGGCTGTGTATTGCAAATATAAGCATGTTCCTGGAAAATAAATCCCATCATACGCAGTTGGATTTTCTTCTCAGTAGAAAGTGGTTAGGGTTATTGTCAAAGTTTTCTTCTCCAGAATATAAACATTTGTTTTCATAAAACGAAGATATACACATAGAAAAAAAGATCTCACGGCTCCAGAGATTGCATTTCCTCCACACTGTAGATGGACAACTCAGTACAGGATTGCATGAACCTCTCAAGTTATCTTTCCTTGCAGGTTCCAGGTTAGTTTACCTCCCTTTTGAGGTGAAGAATGTATAGAAAATGTAGCACAAGCTTTTTCGTACTCTTTAAAATAAACAGGAAATGTCAGATGTAATCCAAATAATAATAAAACAACTGTGGCAAAAGAAAACAAAGATACCACCAACAGTAATAAGCACCTTGGGTGCAATTTCAAAACATCTGGAGCACCACTTGAATACCATCAAAATTGACAAAATCATCATCAGTTGATTACATCCTGTGACAATATCTTTAATATTATTAAACAACAACATCTGCCTGTCCTACATTCTTGGGAAGGACTGAATAGGTGGGCAAAAATGCCAAATGCAGTCTAAACATCTGGCTGGCTGTGCTACCAAACATAATAATACATTAAATTTGTATCCCACCCAATCTCAGTTATTTACAGGGTTGTATATACTCTTACTTCTATAGTGATCTTTTACCCTTCTCCATATCCATTAACTAGAGCTGTTGGGACCTCAAAAATTGATAACTGCTTTTATACTGCAGAACCAAGTACTTAGTTATGGAT